AATCCCTGTATGCATTAAAAAACCTGTGATTTGAGCATAATAGCAGCCTAAATGCTCACCTCAGTCATTGCATGCCTGAAGGTCCCCAAGTCTGGCTAGAAGTTTTGTACTGTTTCCGTGTACCTCTGGCTAAGGCATCTGTCTAGTATCTTCAGCCAGGTATTAAATGTGATTTCTGTTTAGCTAAGAAATCAAGTGAGCAAATCTCATTGTGCTCCATTCCTCCCCTCTCTTCTTACTCTTTAAACAGGTCTTTATGTCCCTTGAAAGTGTTTTGCTCTCTCTCACCTCAGGACCTTTGCTTATGCTGTTGCCCCAGAGTCTTCATCCCACTAATTCTTCCTTATCCTTAAAATCTCAGCTTTAACATTATTTCCTCAGGGAGGCCCTCCTTGAAGCCCTGATGAGGTTCGCTCTCTCTGAAGGTAAATCCTTCTATGGGATCCTAGGCTCCCCTAATGTGACATTCATCACACAAATAGTTTTTTTGAATATGGAAAATAAAGAGCACTCAATAAATATGAGTTTAATTAATGAATGAATTCTTCCCAGGAGTCTGTTTTCCTAGAGGGAAAAGTCTTAGAAGTTGTGTCAGTTGTTTCCACACATTATCTGGACGTGTCATTCTTCCCCTACACACCATTGCAGTAGGAGGAAAAGGGTCACATACCACAAAGTTTTGCACGTTGCCAAGAATGCCTGCGGTAGAAAAAGCCACCTTGACTGTCCCCTCTGCTCTCAGGTTGGGGCCCCTGCCCCTGGCCCCACCTGACCTGCTTACTCAGATATACGTTCCCCCTTGGGGCTGAGGGGCTTTGTTCTGGAACCCACCAAAGATTGCCTTGAAAAAGGAGGTCATGGACTGGCTTTTCTCTTTACTGAGTTTAGATTATGTCACAATCTTAACCTTTCCCTTTGGTTTCAGATTACTTCTTCAGTCTTCACAAGTCATTCAAGAAGCGTGCCTTGTGGTTTATGTTACAATTTGATGTCCCTGAATTGATCTGTCCTGAGGAGGGGTGTGTGTGTGTGTCTCTAATATTTGTTCACAGTGATTGTCTCCCTCTAGCAGGCTTCCAGCAGGCCTGGAGCCACATGTCCTGTGGCTTGTATTCTATGTCATTCTTTCTGTTATAAGGGGCACATCCTTTGAGTTGATTTTCCTGAGTGCTAATTGGTTTTCGCTGAGCCATTTCCCCTTTTTCAGTCTCTTCCCTTTGTGACTTATGGCAAGTAGTTTTAAGACTGCTAACATTTAGGTTTCTCTCCAGGTATCTTGAAATGTCCTTATTGACATTATGTCATTTGAAATCACAACTGATCAGTGTCATGTAGATGAAGGCAGGTATTATTATGTCTCTTATCCAGAGAGGGGTCAGTGGAGTTAGGCGACCTCTCCAACGCCCTTCTTTCACAGGTGGCACAGCAAGGGTGAGAATTAGGTTTTTCTTCTCCAGTCTCCTTTCTTGTTCTGTGTGCAGAGCCAAGTAGCTTCTCTAGTTTAACAGTCACACCTTTCCTGTAAGTTTGTGACTTTAAACCAGGATTTTCCTTCAGTATTACGATTCTTTACATCTTCCCAACTAACCACTTCTGGTTAGTATGTAAGTTAGATCTTAGGAGTCGAGCCAGGAAGGGTAAAATGGAAAAACCATTGGCCAGTAATCCTGTTGTTTCTGTCATGATTTTGTGATGTTGCTTTCCTTTTTGAAATCTTAAGAGTTTCACATTTTATCTGCTTCTTAGTCTATCAAGCATGGCAAGTTTCTTCCCAGGACTGGCAAACATAAAGCTACTGCGAGCTGTGGGTATGTGTCCAGGCCTTTCCGGAAAGCCTCCCTGCCTGGCGTGCTGATAAACGCTCTGTTGATAGGAGAGCAGGGGCCTACTCTCTGCTGGATTGTGCTGTTTGTGTATGCCTCCCTTTTCTTCTCTTTCTTCTTCCTCCTCTGCCTTCATTCCTCTTTCGAGTGAAATGCTTTTTCTAGCTAATTCAGTGTCTGGGTTTGTAGGGAAATTTCAAAGCCATCTTAGGCTAAGCTGTGTGAAAGGCACTGTGACAGAGAGTCAAATGGGTAGATTACCAGAGCTGGTTAAAAACATCAGACTGAGGAAGACAAAATGTGCACCTAGAGGCAAGTCCAGTCTGGACTAAGGTCCCCCTTCAGAACTCCCCCAAGCCTTCTGAGCTACAACTCGCCATGGAAGTAAGTTCTGTATAACGGGCCCTTTAGAAATACACAAGTACGCGGAGATGCAAACGAGGATACACATTTTGTAACTATAATTGTGAGAACCTGAAAATAACTGAAATACCTGCGCACTAGTAGAAGAATACTTACATTAATTATGGTGCATCCATGCAATTACAAGATTCTCATGTAATCCTGAGAAAGTAAGATCTAGAGGTAGTGATTGGAGAGGTGTCTGTAACATACTATTCAGTGGGAAAAGAAATCTGTGTTGGTTTCTATATACATATTGTATCTATCCATATATACGTGGATACATATCCATAGAGGAGTCTAGAGGCTATACTCCAAACTGTTAGCAGAAATTCATGAGAATAGGATTAGAGTGAAGGGAGAGTAAATGTTTTGCTGTTTTAGTGTATAAGCATTTGTAATATTTACTTTTTTGCAGTAAATCATCAGTTTTGTAATTTTAAAACTAACAATTATGGGGAGTAAAGGAGTAAATGATATATTAATGTCTTTTAATATATGCCTTTTCCCTGTCATTTTGAATTTCTGCCTGGGTTCTCAGTGATGAAACCCTGAGGGGTCATCAGGGTCATTGGGTCGCTGGTCTTGTTGTTAGGTGATGCTGTCTTCGATTTTTATTGTGTGATGTGAATTATCGTCTGTATCTGTTTCTCCATCAAGGTCATCAGCAGAGTATTCTCTCACTGGACTATTAAGACATATTAACTGAGTAGCAGTACTAGTTAAGTTAGTCCACCCTCCTTTTGAGATGTGCAAAACTGTTCTGTAAGAGTCAACCTGATGTAAGCAAATGTCAGATTTTCCTGTGTTCTAGGCCGCCACCTGACTTCCGTGCCTACCACAGTTCTGGGCTTAATGCTTGTCAGGAAAGAAGGGAAATTATTCAAAGAAAAAGTCATATTCCTTATAAAAATGAAATATTAGAATGCCTCTCCGTCATGTTCTTCTTCATGGTATTTGGTTTTGGTGAAGAAAGGAGAAATAATGAATGCTCTATCTGGGCTCTCAAAAAATAGAATGCCATCAATTTTGGAGATGGGGGTTAGAGTTTCAATATATGAATTTGGGAAGGACACAAACATTCATACGTAACAGATGATGTAACAAGTGAACCAAGTAGTAAAAGTCCATTAATTTCATCTTACTCATGTTTTCAATTAATCCCAGAGCCCAGATTAATTTCTCCTAGCTTTCTGGAAGGGAATGAAACTTTTGTTTATCTTTTTAATCTGGACTGAAGATTTAGAGAATATTGAATTATTTCTACGGTTTTAAGTTCCAACTTTCATTTGATGGTTTTATGTCATCTATTTCTGATGTAGGTATGTGAATGTTATAGTTCCAAATGCCTTCATGTCCACATTAGTGAAACAATGATATGCACAGCAGTGAAAACAGTGAATGAATTTATTTTCTTTCTGCTTGTACTTCAATTCCAAAAGTTAAGCAGTAAATTGGCTTTAGTTGTATTTATGCTTTGGTCATAGTCCAGCTCCCTGGTATGAAATTGGGACGTAGGAAATTTAGACACACCTGTGAAAACCCAGACTGCAGTTTCACATAGATGGATAATAATACCTTTTAGTCTCTTTTCAGTTGGTTAACTAAGTAAATAATATGTTTGAAGTATAATTAGATGATCATTTTAAATTTTGCTAAAAAAATTTTTTCAGCTGAAAAACTTTAGTTAGGTCTGTAGTTAAAACGAAGTGTCACATTGCTGTCAATAAAACCTGCATTGATTAATTTATAGCCCCTATCATCTTCTCCAGCCATCGTCAATGTATTTATATACCTTGGCCGTGAGGGCAGCTAGTCATTAATGAGGCAAAGTACCATGTTCCCCATGGTACACAGTTCAGCACGTCTTCTTTGAATATTTTTGTATCTTTTTTTTCAGTCAGTTGTTTTTCTCTTCCGTTGAGTGAGGGGCTGCCCCTAAACTAGAGACAGCATGCTCGTGTTATTAGTGACATGTCTGGAGGGGGCTGTGCACACACAATGGCCCTGTCTCTTTTTGTGCACTGGACCTTGTTTCACCCAGGATGGACTCTGGTGCGGCATCAGAGGAAGTCACCTTCACAATGGCTTTGCGTATCATGTTTTTCTCCTTTACCTTTCAAAGACCTGACTTCCTTACTCATTCTCTCTCTCCCACTTGAAACATAGTCTCTTCTTGTAATTTGAGAAGAGAAAGGATAATTTTCTGAGGACATTTTTGGTTCTTATGCTGAAACCCTGACCATCTTTGTAAAATTAGATTTATGCATTTATCTTTTCCAAACCTAGGCACTTCTTTCATCAGGTGGATTGCTGGTCTACTGTCAGTCAGTTATTTCCTAAAATGTTAGGACAGTAGGTTTTGTGGTCTCTGATTTGAGCGAATCCAGGATTGGAAGCACATAATCTTGTTGTGCACAGATTGCTTTGAAGTTGCTTCAAGCCTCACTAAATCTTCTGCGTGTTTTTTCCTGCCTTGTGTGGGTTTTTCCAGTTTATGGTCTGTTTTTTTTTTTTTTTTTTTTTTTTGTAAACTTATCAATCTTTCCCCTTGCTCTCCAACCACCATTTTGTTATTTTAAATAATAAAATGTATCAGCTTGTTTTCAAGTGCTTTAACTTCATCAACATTGCCGGGAACTTTCAGGTGAACTCTCTGTGGAGTACCTGCCTGCGTTTTCCTGGGGTGTGCCTGGCCTAGGTCCCCATGTCCCGGGCTTGTTTGGAGTCCCCACAGCCGGTCGGGTGCAGTGACCCTCCATTTCTGTTTCTCAGTGCCATCGCCTCGATCCTGAGGGCCTGGCTTGACCAGTGCGCAGAGGACTTCCGAGAGCCCCCTCACTTCCCTTGCTTACAGAAACTGCTGGATTATCTCAAACGGATGATGCCAGGCTCCGATCCAGAGAGAAGAGCACAAAATCTTCTTGAGCAGTTTCACAAGCAAGAGGTGGAAACCGACAGTAAGTACTTGCTTGGTTCCAGGGAAAAAGCTAGATTCTGATTCTGCGACCTCCATGTTGAGGACGTGTTCTCCCTGTACTTGATGAATGACCTTGGTTTCCCTCAGAAAGACAAGCTGCTGGCAATTGGTGGTGGGTGTAAAATTCTAAAGGTTATTGAAGTGCTGATTATAGAGCCTTAGAGTTTTGGAGCAAAGAGGGGGAATTTCAAGACCACCTAGTCTGGCTCCCTCATTTTATAGGTGAGCAAACTGTGGCTTAATGAGGTGAAGTAATTTCCTAGGCTTTCTTTTAATACCATAAAGAGGATGATCTTTTACCTTCCCTTGTCAACATGTACCATGCTGAACTTGAATTTACTTTTTATTTTCTGCCTAATGGCTTCTCCTTCTATCAAATGGGAACCCATTACGAACAACCACCCCCATTCAGCAGTCAAAGAATTAAATTCAGTTCTGCTGCTGCCCTCACCAAAGCTCGGAAAAGGTGTTTCTCCTTCAGCTAGAGAGCGTCACTGTAATCTGTCCGCTGCCAGGGCAGATTTCTGTCATTTAGCATCTCTGATGGCTTCATCAAAGGGAGTTTCTGTGGCTGTTTTTTCCTATTTGAGGAACTGACTGCCTTTTTTTCAAGGACAAAGCAAGGGCCACCACTGCAGGTCGAGGGCTGCTTGCAACTATCAGGCTTTGAAGAAAGTCAGAAAGAGGTTAGGACAGGCTTTTTCAGCATGACATCTTATCCCCTCGCTGGCGGCTGGGTGATGGTTGCCATGGCGGCTGACCCACTTGGAGCTTCTGACAGGCGTTTCCCTGAAGTGACGCCTGATTTCCTCAGTGAGGGAAGGGAAATGGTTCCTCAACACCGATAAGGGAAGCTGCATCAGCGCCAAAGAAAATATCCTTAAATTCCCCAACAGTACCTGTTGCATTTTTTATGTATGGGGGACCGGAGAGGGGAAAATGCAGTTGCATCATGAGAAGCGACTGCCAAGTGCTCTCTATCTCAGATGACTTCATCTGCCGGGAATGCTCGAATACCAGGGGCACTCCTCCAGCTGCTGGACCTCAACTCCCTTCAGGGCCTCCCCTCCTGTCTTTGTGCTGGAGTGGAAAATGCTGCGTTAGAGCCCAGCTCTCCCCATTGGGGCTGCCCCTGGCTCCAGGCCTAATTGGGGAACCGGTGGGACCAGTCGTTCATTGTTTCCAACCCGGGTCCTGGAAGGCAGAGCTCATTTGGCAGGCCGAGGCAGGGAGCAGTAGATTGCCTGACTTTGGAAAGGCTTTTAAGGCAGTACCCAAGAAGGCATTTTTTCTAAGTTTGGAAAATTTTAATCAAGAAAGCTCTAAACTCTCTGTTTATTAAGTACAAGAGTCGTTACTGAAAAGGAGTTTTAGGAGCTTGGTTCTCATGAGCCTGTTTCACTCCATTTTGTGCCGGCAAAAGCAACGAGCTCTCCTACATGTTTTTCAAAAGTAAAGTTTTGCTTCAAGGTTTTACTTACTTACCTCTGGAAGAGAGTCAAAGGCAGAAATTGTGAAGGCAGGGATAGGCCCCAGAGAGAAAGGACCACATAATCCTCATGCCTAGCAGCATCTAAGCGCACATCGGGCTGCTCTGAGTGTTTGCTAAACCAATGAGGAGATCAAGCCTTACCATGTACACTTTCTGGCTGAAGTGGGTCAGCCTCTGCATTGCAGAGTTATTGGGACAGATTTATTTAGTAGCTAGCAAGAGGGATGAAAGGCCCATTCTGAACCTATGTTTGGGATTTCAGATTTCGTATTCCTCCACTGAATGAGAGAGTACAGAGTTTTGTGGAGGAAAGGTAGTGAAGTCATGGGGTTTTAGATTTCTTTAACTCATGCCTGTTTGTGTCCCAGACTCTGGAGGCAGGCAGTGACCCCCTCCTACCTTCCCCAGTCGTAACTCAACCCCGTTTGCATCAGTACCTTCAACTCCAGGGTGAGGGGGCCATCCTTAAATCACATACACATCTCTGGAGTTGGCCTGTACCCACGTGGTGCCTCGACAGAGGAAGTGAAATAGGGTCCACTCTCAGAACCCCCTTCTCCCTAGAAAACTAAGAAAAGGCCATCCTACGAATCCCAAATGCCTAAAAGCCTCTTATTCTACAAAGAAAGAGAGAAAATACTTAAAATGGAAACATTCTGGGGGAGTAGTAACACACTGACTTAAATTTCTGCTTATATATGACTGAATGCAACTAGGTCTTTTTCTTGAGAACAGGTTTAACAGGCAGGAGAGCAAGGCGTGTGAGGGGGCATGAGGTTGGGAAACAACCCAGGAATTAGAAAAAGGTTCCGGGGAAAGGGAGGTGGGGGTTCAAATAAAACTTCCTCCAATTCTACAGTCTTTCAAAATGGCGTCTGGAGGTCCTATTCCATGTACTGAGCTCTTCAGCTTTTGACTTGGAATCCTAGGTAGTGATGATAGCCTTCTTCTCCCTTCTTCAGTCTGTGCCCTGTATAATCTGCTAATTGATGATCTTAATCTATAATAAGGCTCAGGTGAATTTAATTTAAGTCTCTTCTACTGCTTCAGGCATCCTTAACTTTAGGTGGCAGCTGAATGCTACTCCAAACATTTTGAGAATTCCAAGGACTGTCTGAGAATTCTGAGGACTTCTTCAGCATTTCTGCTACTAAAATGGCCCACTCTACTCCCCAAAGCCTAGCCTGACTTGATGCCCAATCCAGGCTTCTGGTTAAAAATGGTTGGGGTTTAGGAAGTAGTTGGATTAGTCCTTCAGCTGATCAGAGAGTTTGAGGGAGCCTCAGATGAGGGTAACTCCCTGAATATAAACCTAGCTTTGCTCTAGTCTTTGCCTAACCAGGCCCTGTCTTTGGCCTAGGAAGTAGGGGTTCGTCAAAGCGACAACATGAGGCCTCTGAACTTAATAAGAATCTAAGAACAAGCAGAGATTGCGAAGACCTCCATTTCACTCAGATCTATTATGCTTGCTGTTCTCTCCTTGTGGGTTTTCTGAAGGATTAGCCTTCTTCTTCCTAAATGGAAAGAGTTCAATTTGACTCTGTAAACAAGGTCATATACAATGGTACCAAATAACTAATTTTTTTGCCTCTGTGGACAGATGGATTTCCCAACACCATGTCCTTCAGCCTGGAAGAGGAAGAGGAACTGGAGGGTGGAGGGTCCGCAGAATTCACGTGCTTCTCAGAGGATCTGGTGGCAGAGCAGCTGACCTATATGGATGCAGTAGGTCTTCTCTTTGTGTCTCAGATGTGCTTCTACTTAAAAGGTGGGGAGGGACAGTCCTAGTGGCCTCGGGGAGGGCAGTGGGGTAATGTGAGTTAAGTCTTTTTGAATCCTTGAAAGAGGCTGTTCCTGTAAATGCAGAGTGAAGATGTGACTTGAATCAATCATTTGAATAATTCAGGCCTAAGCTCTTGCAGTCCTTGGTGAAGATGCTTTTTACTTGGCGCTCAATACACAAGGGGAAATAGGAATTCTAATCCTGGTGAAACAAAAATCTACCCTGTCCCGTGGGTATTTCTCTCCCTGTAGACTCGTAAATATTTCAAGATCTGAACTGTTTATTTGGAAGATTGTAAAGGGGTCAAAGTATAAATTAGGATAAAATAAATTCACTGAATCCGCATGTGACTGTATCTGGCAGCTCATTTCCATGTGTGCTTCTGGTACTTTTGAAGTTTGAATATTTTTGTTAACCGTACATATTTGATTGCATCAGTCACATTTCATAGCTTAATGTTAGCTGGTAAATACTAGTTGAAGAAGAGAGGACTGTTATAAATTATCGCAATGGTTTTAGCTCTTCTGCGCTTACCACTTCAGAAAAAGCAGCATAGAAAGTGGCAGAGAGTTTCCATCTAGTGAACATTCAAATAAACTGTCAGAAGTCAATCAGACAGTCTGTGTAAAGCAAATCCTGTTGTTCTCTCTTTTACACAAACCCTTACACATCTTGTATTGAGTTGTTGTACAAATGAGATAGGATTTGTTCAACAAATTTGTTGGTGGTGTTGTTCCACAACTGACAGCATAAGAGAAACATGGGAAACTTCATCCCATCTTTCTTTTTTAGGCAAAGACCTGGAAACCGGGCTCTAAATTCTCCTTTCTTCCTTTTACTGTGTGACGTTGAATCGTTTTTCCTTTTATATGCTTCTTAACTGTCTTAATTTTAAATAACCTGAAATAGTGACATGGATGAATGTCACAGGTATTGTACTTCTGATTCACTTTTCCCGTGGTGATGGAGCATCCATATGCATTATCATTCATGATCATGAGTGCCCAGAACGTGCCATGGTTATGATTTGGAGGTCAAGATAATCTTAACCACTTCTTTTTGATTAGTAGTATAGATTTTTACCTGACTTTCCTTCAAAGACAGAAAAGTCAAAATGTTTTTGGTCACGTAATTTTTCTTTTGGTCATTATGTTCCATTTGTTCAGTTGAGCACATTTAGAAAGAACATGTAGGAGTTTTTGATCAATTAATATATTAATTATTCACTTTTGTCTATTGAAATGCACACTATGAGGCACATCAAGTAGAAAAGGATTATGGGTCCATTCACGAACTGCTGATTTACAGGTGATCCAGGTGATGTGCTTTGCCTTATGAAATGTCTTGTGCTGTCCTTAAAGTCAATTCATCTTTTGTTCTAGCAACTATTCAAGAAAGTAGTGCCTCACCACTGCCTGGGCTGCATTTGGTCTCGAAGGGATAAGAAGGAAAACAAACACTTGGCTCCTACGATCCGTGCTACCATCTCTCAGTTTAATGCCCTCACCAAATGTGTTGTCAGCACCATCCTGGGCGGCAAAGAACTCAAAACTCAACAGAGAGCCAAAATCATCGAGAAGTGGATTAACATTGCCCATGTAATTGTCTTTTTTACAGTATTCTTAGTGTTTAGTAGATATTGGAGATGACTTCATCACTCTGTTTAACTGGCTTATCCATTTGGTTGAAAGCCAATCAAAAGACCATGCGTGAGGGTTCACTGAGTTTTTGTCATTGTTATTGTTGTTCTTCCAGAATAAGAAGAAAAGTTGCCTTTCTTGACTTGGGAGCTTATTTATTTTTCCTCTTTAAAAAAAATTGGTCCCTTGCTTACTTCTTTCTGCTCGTGGGCCCCCACACTGCCTCTTCTCCAGGGTGAGACCTTCCATCTGCTTTTTCCTTTGTAGTCACAGACTGAGTGTCGATTCTGCCCAGTGTTCAGTAAATATAAACTGATGGTCTAAGTGTTAAACAGACTGCTCTTCAACCCAGAATGGTTGCCCACGTGCCCTTCTAGGACCTGGAAGCTTTATATCTTCTGCAGATTTGAAGAGCCGGTACCTTCTCAGAATCCTGAATCTCTTTTCTAAAGGGCTGAGATAGACTGATTGCACGTTACTGGGGCTTTTCTGAGGGCCTTATATCTGAAGTTGGAGGGGCAGAGTCTGTTCCTAGCCCTGAATGACATTCTGCTGAGTGTCAGTCTAGTCTCTTGAATCAGCTGCTTACATGCCATATGACCTTCACTTATCAGCGTCTTATTTCATGATTGAGAAAAAGTGGACAATATTCAGTTAGTTGGTCACCAAATATTTTAGGAGCTCCTAAAGGTGCATAAGCTACAATTTTATGTACTTTGGGGACATAGATAGTGTAAACACAATTTGGTCCACAAGAGCCTGTAGTCAAATAAAGAGACTAAGATATACTGGAATTATCTCAGCCTGGGCAGAAGAGGAGCAGGGCCATGGAGAGCAGTGCTGCAGAAATGGAGGAGGGAGGAATCACTTCTGACTGGGAGGGCCAGGGAGAGCTTCACGGTTAGGATGACATTTGAATTTAGCTTTGAATAATAGATAAAATTTTAGATATTTGAAGATTGGGGAAGATTTTTTTTTCTAGGCAGAGGACATTAAATCAGCAGAAACTACGTAATTAACAATGATTTTTGAAAAATAATTATTATTTAAATATCTTATTAGTCCATCTTCTGGGCTGTATGGGTCAACCTTCAACCAAAACATACTTTTTCTTTCTATCTCAATATATACTTTTTCATTAAGCCCCTATCTATAAAGCATAATGCTTAAACTTTCACATTCTCTCTTTTTTTTTTTCCACATTCTCTTTTGTTGCCTTTGATTAGAGAGAAAAGTCATAATTGTGCCGGAGAATTTGCCTTATTTTGAGTTTTTAGCTGATGTGTTACCAGAGACTTCTTAGTATATGAAAAAAGTAAGAAATAAAGAATATCTCGTGCAACTTAGATTTCTGCTATTCTGAATTGAGCTTATTTCTCAACAAGTAAGAGCTACAAAGTTCTGATAGAGTGTGATCAAGCATAGAATTTCTCTTTCTTAGAATGAGGAGAAAATATTTTTGCCATAAATGTCATATCCTTTAATCCATTCAACTGCTTAGAAAGTCTATAGCAAGAATGTAGCATGTGTTTATATGACAGTGTGCCTCAAACAATGACTTTTTGTCTAAATTAAATATAAATTGTGCATTTATGCGATAATAAGAAATACAAGCTGAATAATTTGAGGTATATTCCAAATCCCATAGCACATGCTTAAATGCCAAGAGTCCTTACTCTTGGTGATGTAGTTTCCTATTATGGAGCATGTTGTGTCACTTAAAATTGTATAGAGTAACTAGTAAAATAATAAAATTCATAGGTGGTTTCCTGCCAAGATTTATTTTATTTTTTCCTGCATTAATCACAGTCAGTGTCTATTGAGAGGATGTTTGAAAAATAATAATAGTTTTGCATGCAGAAAATATTTCTGACCTAATATGACTGTATTTTCTTGGACAGCCTTACTGCTATGTTCTTACTTCTGTATCACATCTCCTGGAAGATACCTCCTTTCCTAGAAATGGAGCCAGATGCCTTTTGTACTCCTTTAAACCCTTAGCTTAAGCCTCTTTCTGAATAATGTGTTCCATATGTTTATTACAATTTGCATGAAATATCTGTGCCTGAGTTCCTTTATTTATTGCAAGTTTCCTGATTTTTAGAACATAACTTTGGGATTCTGAACCTTTGTTGAACCATGCTCTCATGGGCTTGGGTTTCCAGACTGACTATAATTCAGAGCTCTTTTGCTCGCTCGCTCGCTCTTTCTTTTTAAATAAGGAGAGGGCGTTGAGACATGCAAAGATAACGGGCATGACTTTTGTAAAATACTTTGACATATGCTCTAAGAAAACATTTGGGGGTTTGTTTGTTTGGCATAGTTTTAAGTAGCCAGATTTTGGCAGGCTAAGTTAGATAATGCACTTTTTCCTTCATATTCAGAATTAGCGCTGCTTCGTGACATGATCTTTTAAGCAATGTGCATTAATGCCCAACCACTCTGGGATCTCTGGCCCCAGATGTTCTCTACAAAGCCAAACCCGTGTTCACACGGTGTCCTCATTTGTGAACACTGGATGTATTATACTGCCAACGCCTGCATATGAAGCATCTCCTTTGACATAAGGCCTTGTCCACTCTCCCCATGTTGCCAAGAAGGGGACCCTCTCCCTGACTGCTTTGCTGTCCCTGCCATTCATTCAGCAGGACTTTGACTCCAAGGTCACTGGCTGCTGATGTTGTAGACTCCGTATGGTAGCCTAAGTTTCGAGATCAGAGAGCCTTTCTCCTTACCAAGAAAATGACACCGAGAATGTTTCCTGTTCTCTTTCTATTTTGTTTTAAAATGGTGCCAAAATGAATTTTATTTTAAAAGCGCAAGTTATTTTGGAAACATTGAGGTACCAAGGTGTTTCTGAATGTTTATGATTGTGCCACAAGCCAATTTGAAACCCAATGAATGTGTATAAAAATATTTCCTCTTGGCTAAGAGCATGAAAGCCAAAGTTCACCTTGTGGTGAATTTTTATTGCCAAGTTATATACCCCTCTTTAGACAAGAGTTGGCCATGAGATGTTCGATGCTATCTGACCTCAAAGTGGCTGCTGCCCGGTTCACTCTGTGGTCTGAAGGATACAGTGATCTTTCATGTGTATTTTTAGGGCGTCTGTGTGCTTTCAGCAGAAGAAAGTTTGCTTTCTCTAGCATAGCTGTGCAGACTCACCTCCATTCGTGTTTTTACTAGGAAAGCTGGAAACTATAAAACTGTAACAACAACGCAAAAAATATATTAAAGGGAGAAAAACAAGCCTTCAGTGCCAAAATCTATAAAGCGTTTTGGTGACTAGGGTGGGAGTAAGGAGCCACTTTTTGATGTTCAGTATTTGTACAGCTGCCTATTTAGTGGTAAGAATTCATAGCAGCTGCGATACCTCTAAAACAGGAAACCACCAACTCACTGTATTATTGATATTAAATGCCTTTTATGTTTTAATCACTCTCCATACAGGAATGTAGAATCCTGAAGAATTTTTCCTCCTTAAGGGCCATCGTTTCGGCACTCCAGTCCAATTCCATCTATAGGTTAAAAAAGACTTGGGCTGCGGTCCCAAAGTAAGTTCCCAAGTGCTCTGCTTTCTCTACCTGGGGTGATTAGTTGCTGTTTAAATGGTGCGGGTCCTCACCTTCAAAGCTCATATCATGTAACTAGAGAAACATATTCTAAAGCCTTTGTTTCAGGCGGGGGGCATTTTACGCGTAATCATTAATGAGTTTTGAGGCGGGAGTGCTGCAGAAATCACACTCATTCTCATATGTGCCAAAGCCAAGACTGTTGACTTTTGGGGTGACTTTAAGGATGTGCTTATTATCTGGATTTTGAGGGATAAGGTTGTGGCAGGATGAAGTTACAGCAATTTGCCATTCCTTCTGGTTATTTTTCAACCACATTCCAAAGTCCTAAGCTATCCCAAGACATGAGGGAGAATGTGTGCAGACAGGACATTAGTTCTTACTGTTCAGCAAGAACCCCTTTAGGTAGTTTCTGCTCCAGCATATTAAAAACTATCTTAGTGATGTTAAAAACCTCGAAGTGTTCCTTCCTAGGTACCTGACTAAAATTACTAACTGGCCACATTCTATATTGTTTTTCTTCATATTTTTTGCTGTAACCTTTGGAACAATAACAATTTAGTGTTCAGATTGCACTGTTGCTCTCTCCCCTATTTCCAGAGCTTCCCCTGTAGACCAGGGAACTTTTTGCAAAGGAGGGAAGGGTGAGTGAGGAGGCAGTTCTGGTCCCATATCAGCACAGGTTTAGAGGCTGGGGAATGTGTCATGGTTGCAGACTAGGTCAGCTCCATCCAACAAGTCTACCTAAGTTGGAACTAATCAAGAAGTCAGGAAGAATGTGTAAACTGTTTATAGTCTATGCTGTGTGCGGTAGAGTCCGTCAATCAGGAGAGAGGCCAGCTTGCTCCCCAGGCAGGCCTGGTCTTGTGGAATTGGTGGGTTTGGTCCTCAGAGTGGAAGGTCCAGGTACTCCGTTTCCTCAGTTCAGTTAGAGCTGATTAAGCCCTAAGGGACCAACACTATCCGAACCTGCGAGGTTGGTAACCCAGAGTTTCCTAAATTTTTGCTGCAAAATGAGTTCCAGAGTACTCATGCTTAGCGATGAGCTCGTATTCTCAACCAGGGGAAAGTCTACTTGGGGGAAGTCAAATTATTGATTACATAATTTTTCAATGGATGAAGAGAGAAAAATTGAAGTGGATGATCTTGCTGCCTGGTGTTACAGAGCTGTAGAAGCCACAGCCACTTGGACTCAAAGCTCAGGCTCTGTTTACAGTGCCGTTACCTGTCTGAAGGAAACCTGGCAGAGAGGGTTTTCCAAGTCCAATACAATTTTCTTGATTCCCACTCTTTTCTTGGGTTCCTTCTCCTCTTCATTAGTTTGAATAATCGAGGTGACTGTGTGTGAAAGAGAGATTAGTTGAATGATTTTCCTCTGCACATGAATCTTATGAAAGATACAGGTCATATAAAGTCATTAGATGATGGGCCCTGAAACACGATGGGGAAATCAGATGCATACAGTCTCCTCATCCTCAACACCGCTTACCTCCTCCCTTCCCCTTATCGCTGTTCCCCAGCTGGGGCATCAAAAACAAAGGGATGGGGCCAGCCCGGTGGCGCAGCAGTTGAGTTTGCATGTTCCGCTTCTCGGCGGCCTGGGGTTCACCGGTTTGGATCCCAGGTGCGGACATGGCACCGCTTGGCACACCATGCTGTGGTAGGCATCCCACACATAAAGTAGAGGAAGATGGCCATGGATGTTAGCTCAGGGCCAGTCTTCCTCAGCAAAAAAAAGGAGGACTGGCAGTAGTTAGCTCAGGGCTAATCTCCCCCCCCCCAAAAAAACAAAGGGATGCTCAGGTGCTAAAATGCAGCATTGTCTAACTGCAACCTTCTCTGCTTGCAGAGAAAAGTAATCCTGTCTTTCCTTGGTGGTTGATAAATTGAACACTATGGAAAGTCACTTAACCAGCCAAACATTTTGTCCACAGCAGATTTGAGGCTGAAACACAAGTGGACTTATATCTTAATTTCTTGGTTACCTTAAGAGAAGGTCCATTCTTCCAGTTGGCTTTTTTAACTATTAAAAAAAAAAAAACCACTAAACAAACCTGAAAGCTTCATGCTATACAATGTGGTTGTCTGGTTGTTTTTCAGTTGGTTGGTTCATGTTTTAGCAGAGATGCTACAGAAATGTCACAGTTCCTTAGAGAAGACAGTTTCTTGGCAGCTTTATGAATTTTACGTTGCTAAATTCAAGGGACAGGGTTAAGATATCTTATTTGGTTATTGCTTTCCTATAATCACACTAGTAACTTTCAGTGGACAGGGAAGACGTCTATTTTTTTCTTTTTATTTAGGCCCACGTGTAATTAAGTTCTTAATTATTTTTTCCAAAATATAAATAGCTTTAATGGCTTTATTATAAGAGTAATATTATACTCATTGTAAAACAAATTCTTAATAATGACTTTCTCATGATAATGAAAATGCTGCACATACAATACTATTGCCCCTGTTAATTCTGTGTGTTCTGTTCTCAGTAACCCTGGAGGGGTGTGTAGAGAAAAGCAAGAGGCCCTTGGAGATGTAGAGTACTAGAAAGGGACCAGGGCAGAGTAGGTGCTTTCTTTATGGGATCCTCCTGACTTTCACCGCAGCCCTACAAGGGGACGCTTAGTGTTTTCATTGTGCAGATAATAAAATTGGAGCTCAGGAAGGTTAAGTGACTCGTCCAAGATCAACTGGGGAGTGAGTGGCAGAGTTGGGATTTGAACCCACGCCTCTGACTCCAGAGCCCGTCCTGATTCCACCATCTACTCCGACTCTGAGAGTAAGAACGCTGACCTGTGGTTCAGGAAATTTGAGTTCTATCCATGCAACTCTCAGCAGTTGGTAGTGGAAATTTGGGCATATCCCTCACCCTGGCATCTCCATCTCTAAAATGAGGGGATTGGCCAAGATGATTTCTCAGGTCCCACGGGACTCTATGTGTGTTGCTGAGATATGTTTTTTTTTAACTTGCTGATGAGAACATGTCCCAGTTGAAAACTTAACGCCCCAATTTAGCAATCCTTTTTTATGATTATAATATGCATGGTTAGAAAATTTGCCTCTCTTCACACAGGTGACCATATCTGCTTTTTAAAAAAGTCACCCTGCGTGAAAAGCGTCGTTGACTTCACATGTGCTCATTTTGCCCACTGATCTTGGGATGAGTACAGTCCTGTGTAGCCATAGGTACTGAGGACAGCTGCGCTGACAGTGTTGGGCTTTTACTGACTCTTCATTTGTTAATATTTTCTTAATCCCTCTTATAGGGACCGAATGCTGATGTTTGAAGAACTTTCAGATATCTTCTCAGACCACAATAACCATTTGACCAGCCGGGAACTTCTGATGAAGGTGAGGCTCTGGGTGATGGTCCCGGGTAGCACTATTGCTACTCTGGAATCCATTCAAGGGAAGAGTAGCTTGAGGGCTCTTTACGTTCCTGCAGTCCCACAAGAAAGCCTTAAGTGACCGGAAGCCAGAATTTTTGGTTTTTATGCTAAATCTAAGAGGGTTGGGGCTGAGAACATTCAACGTCCAGCTCCTCAGCTCCACTTATGCAACCAGATTGCGAAATTTGTGCTCGTGTGTGTATCTCTTTAACAAGCTGCTCTGCAAATACCAAGTCTGGCAGTTAGGTGGGTGAGAGGCCCCGGAATATTCCTTCTCAGCAAAACATTTTCTAGCATGACAGAGGCCAAGCCTGCAATTCCACATCCTTTATTTGGACTAAATTGCACAATCCGTCAGTCAGCAATATTCGTTGAACACCAAGTGAGTGCTGACTGCTGGACCACGGGCTAGGTAAAGGTACAGCCTGGTTCACTTTATCTCTCTAGACATTTGTTGAATGCCTGATATTTGTAAAGCATTGGACTGGCCTCTAGATTCCGTGAAGATGACTAATACAGACCCTGTTTTCAAGAATTCACTTTAGAGTTGGTGGATATAGATAGTAAACAAGAGTAAGGCATCCAGTAAAGGTCCAAACAGCAGATGGTGAACAATCATAAGAGGGGAACATAGGCCAGAAGGTATCTTCTCAGCCTTTCTATAGAGTAGATTTTAGCATCCTCATTTTGCAGATAGCCAAGACTCAGAGAGGTAAGTAACTTATCCTAAGTTACACACCTGGTAGGTGAATCCAACCTGGTGAGACTCTGAAATCTGTGCTTTTATCACTGTGGCATGAAACTATTTCTTCTGATCACTTGGCTGTAGGGGGCGGGGTAGATCAGGTAAAACTCCAGAGAAAAGGTAAATCAGTAATTCAGCAAATAATTGATTGAGCATTTACTATGTGCTAGGTGAACCGTATTGAAGGCAAGCTCTGATCTTAAGGAGATTCCAGTCTCATGGGGGAGGTAGAGAAGTAGACAGTTATGAAACAGTATGGTACGTGCTACCATAGGAGGAAGCCCTGAGCTGGGCAATTAGATGATATGATCCTTGTCGTTAGTCTCCTTTTCTGTAAATTGGAGACTATAATGGCATTTAGTCTACTGACCGTGTAGAATTGTTTTGAAGATTGACTAAGATAAAATGTTTGAAAGCACTGTTCAAATGTAAATTATTTTTAGTATTTGGCAAGGTATACACGTATGAAACCAAAGTATGCATAACAAATGAATAAATTATAAACTATATATGCAAGCTTAGGGCAGACCCTTGGAGTAGGGATGAAGGTCAAGTGGAGGTGGGGTTACTAAGAAAAGGCATCAAGTTGATAACTGTTAGTCTGGCTGTTCCTATAAGGGCATCTGTTATGGTCTTCCTGACTGTTCTCCTCCTAAGTCCTACTCTTCCTTCTGTCTCTGTGTGGACTCCCCTTCTTCTGGAAGCCTCCCTTAACACTCTCAGGCCTGATTAGGTACCTTCCCATGTGCTCCAGGAGAGGCCTGTCATTCATCTGTCCTCACACTATCATCATATGCTACATTGGAATTGCCTGTGTACTTAACCTGTCTCTCTACTGGCCCATAAGCCTTTTGCAGGCAGGGACTGGGTTTATCTTTTTCACTGTTATGTCCCTAATGCCAACACAGTGCCTGGCACATAGCAAGTGGTCAGAAACTGTGTTTGACTGCATGAATTGATGGGCCTTAGAATTCACATGACTTCAACCATTTGCCCACTCTTAGCCCTTCTTGGGTTAGACGATATGAGCAGGACAGTTTATGCTGACATTTGACATTGGATTTGGCCTACCTGATTCACTGCGCTCTAAACAATGCTTGCTGAGGTTGTGTTACTCCCTGCTTCACATCTCCCTGAGTTTGCAGACTTTAAATGGAAACTCATCTGGCTGGAAGGAGATGGCTTAGTAGTCTCCCTGTCGGTAATACAAAGCTAGACTAACTGGAGCCACACATTCAAATCCCGATAGCTCTGAGTCATCTTTCCAAAGTAGATAAATTGAATACTGTGCAGCTCATTGCCTGGTGGCAGTCTTCTGGCTGAAACCTTAGAAGCAAAGCTATATCTAGACGTTAAAGGTCCCATAAACCTTTCTTAAATGTAAAAGTTTACTCTAGTGCTCTAAGTTAAATTTCTTGTATATAGCTCAGATTCCAAAGAAATGAAAAACTTGGCTATGAATTCATGCAGTCTGTGCATTATCATTAATGAGAGTGGAATGTTTTGGGCAGTCCCTATGTATATGTAGGTCCCTTTCCAGTCATCTTTGTTGATCATTCTTCATATGAAGTATATAATTCTGGTTGTTAATTCTCAGCACAGTTGTAAAAAAATGAAATCAATGTATTTAGGTTCTCGAAAGAACCACTGAGAAAACTGCCAGCCTTTGTGTCTAATATACCACTCCTGGACTAATTCTGATTTGTGGTTGGGTAATCTTAGTCTTAAACAACCTATCCTCTCTTCTACTTCTGGGTCGATACAGTGTGCCACATCTGTAATATTATGGCTGAGGCAACATCATAATTAGCAAAAATCTATGGTTTTCCTTTTATTGTTGGAAAAAGTGTTTTTATTTTTCTCAAAGATTGTCTTAAACCTGTTTCTACCTTATGGTGTCTGAAACTTAGATAATTCAAGCAGATGAACTGTAGGCCCACAAATTTCAAAACAACAGGAAAGCAGACTATCACCAAATCTTAGTTCTTGGAACTCTTGATGAGACTTCTCCCTGGTTGAACTGATATAAACAACTGTTAGAAAGGCCGAGGAATTTGGCTCTGGTGGAGTGTATGTTTAGTGAAGCTGCAAAACACACTAAAGTCAGAGTTGGAGCAGAAGACTGTTAGGACTGTGAAAACCTATTCAAATAATTACCGTTAACTTCTGAGCTATAATTTAACCAACATTTATTGAGAAGATCCAATGCCTGTGTAGCAGCCTAGTGGAAGAGGCCCCCCTCCCACCCGGAAACAGGATGGATGAGGGCAGCTGAACCCTGCCAAAGATGGAGATAGAGAGAAGGTGAGACTCAGGTGAGAAATTTGCACAAGGAGAGAGAGAAGGACAGAGGCAGAGAGACAAGAGGAGAGCAGGAGGTTGATGGAGGGAGACAGAGAGACTTGGAGCTCATCCAGACATAGGTGATGCTTATGGTCATGGGACTAGATAATATCTATTTCCAAAGACATGAGTATAGCGGAAAACAAGAAGACGCAGGAAAGAAGAAGAGTCACTACTAAGGGAGTGTGAGCAAGCAGCAAAGGACCCAGGAGGAAACAACAAGAGCGATGCAATCACAAAACCCGTGAGAAGTTTCTGGAAGGTTAATGAATTGGTGTTGAGAGCAAAGGATTTAGGGCCAGTAAAGGAATAAATTCCCACCATTGGATGTGGGAAACAGTGGATTTTCAGTTGACACCTTATTTGGAAGAACTGCCACTAGTCAGTCTTTTTAGTTATCCCGCCAGAATGGAATCTCACGCCCCTGAGATCATGCAGTTGTGGAATCAGCAAGTCTTTCAGCTCCTTATCTCGGGTCTTTATCTCTCCTCCCAATGAGGAGGTTGTCCTAGTGCTCTTTAAGATCCCTCCCATCTCTGTTATTCTTTGATTCTCAAGAGCTTTTTAATTTTTCAGAAATCCTTAAGAATTTTAGATATATGTGCAATAATTTCCATACATTATACCCCTGCCAGTGATTGAGAAACTGGAAGGAAACCAGAAGGACTGACACACTGGAAAGAGATGGACACTCGCACTCAAGTCAGAAAGAATTGATTTCTCACTCCTAGCAAATTTGCAAGAATTTGGGAGGACTCACAACCACCTAGCACAGGAAATGGCACATTTTAGGCCACTTTCATTCATCCCCAAGAAAATCTTTAAGTAGGAGATCATGAAACAATACCTCTCTTTGTTATCATTTGTAGTAGGGAGACTTAAAATAAAGAGATAATGAGTCCCTCTGAGTTCTGTCCCCAGTGGGGTACCAGGACCTGGGGTAAAGGCTGGTGAATGATAGAAGATATTGATGCGTCACTGTCATCAGAAAGGCTGAGTCCCTGAAAAACATCCTCATGTGGTTGTGCTGTAGTGGAGGGTCACATGTTTTGGTAATATAACAAACCCGGGAAAACTGACTAAGGAAAAACTAGTGTAGAGGTTATACACTCCTGAATTGTGAAATTTGCCTCCCATTCATACAGTTCCTGGAAAATGAGAACTTAACAAGACCCTGAAACCACAAAACCGAAAACACTTTATGTTCAGTCAGCAAACTCGAAATTAGTCATTATGTAGACGAGTTGGTTGTTAGAACGGAAGGGAGCAGAGAAAGGGTAGCCATCTGTCCTCAGGCACCAGCAGGAAGGATTGATTTGTAAGAGTTCCAAACCTGAGAGGCAACTTGGGAGGACTGACTGTGGGAGGAAGAGGGGGAAAACATGTATGAAGGCCCAGTTTTCATAGATTAATGCTGTACCACGATACTGGACTTCCTCAGAAAACTTCCGCTAGAAAAGTTTGCTTTAGCTGAAAACTACCACAAAATGCTGGCACATGCGTTTCAGGCCAAGATCAAGAAATCACAAAATGTACAGAGGAAGAGATCTTCATTTCTAGGACATGAGATTACTTTGAGTGAAATTTATGATGTGTAAAAATTGTCTCCACTTTCAGGAATTGCCTGCCTTGTATTGACGATTGATTTTGTAACCAAATCAGGGGCTCTTCTTACAAAGTCAAGGAAAACAGGCTAATCCAAGGCCACTGCGCCTTTTTACAAATAGGCCACTTGCGACAAGCCGGCCAAGTATTTGCATAGTACAGCCCAGAGCCTGCTGGAGGCCTCTTCGTTTTCCATGGCATTCAGATGGTCGTGCAGAGGTTCTGTACCACAAACTAGATGCCCTTTCGCCTCTTTCTAGTGTCGTCCTCCGTCACTCTCCTCTGTGTGTGCTTCTGTTTCTTAGGAAGGAACCTCAAAATTTGCAAACCTGGACAGCAGTGTGAAAGAAAACCAGAAGCGGACACAGAGGCGGCTTCAGCTCCAGAAGGATATGGTGTGTACGCCCTCAGTCTTCCCTGAGAGCCTGCCAGGGAGTGGCCCTGTGTGGGTAGCTGGGCTCCGTGCAGGCCTGGCACCGGCACCTTCAACCTGCAGGGCACCCATACTTTCAAAAAAGATCCCCTGTCCTTTACCTCATTTGTTCCCAACAACCCTGGGAAGTCTGTAGGAAAAATAGTATCGCTTCCACTTGACCCAGTAGGAAAGAAACACTGAGAGCCCCAAATCGTGTGTTCTCTGGAGCGTTTTTTTTCCTGGAGGTCAGGGAAGGTTTGCAGCAGGTGGACCTCTGGCCCTCTTGCCGTCTTCCGCCATCCGCTCCTGCGCTAAGGAGCTGCTGCTTCCTTGGCCTTGAGACCTCCTGGGCTTCAGTTCCCAGCGGCAATGCCTGTTGTAGTCAGCTTTGGACACACAGTGGCCTGGGACCTGGGTGCTGAGGAAAGAGAGTGTCTGCTCCCAGGAGGATGTGGTCTGTGTACTCACATCTTTTCATTTGCTCAAAACCCTCCAGTCATTTCCCAGCTCTCCTTACTAGTCCCAAGTACTAACCAGATCTTTCTAGCTTTCCAAACTCAAAAGAGTCTCATACCTCCCTCCTTCAGACTGAGAGGTAGTTGTTGTCATCATTAGCTGTCTTTTAAGACCTCTCCTAATTTTTAGCCTAGACGGGGAAAACCAGAGAAGGGAGATGAGAGACTGACAGACTCTAAATATCCTCATCCCTGCTTTGAGAGGATTTTCTCCTTCTCTGGGAAGCTGTCCGTAAATCAGAAACGTTTTTGAATGAGAGGACTCTTCTGTGATGTAACGCCTAAAAAAACGTTCACAGCGTTTCAGACTTTTCTGGGTGTTCAAAGACAAGTTAAAAATAGCTGTAAAAAAGATTACTTGAATTCAGGATGAGACCTTGTACACATAATGGGGAAGGACACACTGCAGCTGGCAGCGAGTTCCTGGAGGACAAAGCCCTCCTCCGTGTGACCCTCACGGAGCAGTTCTGGCTGAGGAAACGCCAGCCTCACGTCGAGCAGCCTGGTCTTGCCCTGGTTGAGACTTTATTTTCTTGCCAGAATTTCCCCTAAGTTCCTTCATGGCCTTTAGGATAAGGTGTCCACGGAAGCCCCTTTTTATTTTCTCTTCAGAATGGAAAGTGCCTTGGCCTCATGGGGAATAGAGATCATTTCAAAGGAAATTTGGTGAAATTAATATACTATGTCCCTGCAGTTGGAGTACTTCTACCTTCATTTGCAAGGGACAATTTTTTTTAAATAAACTTTTCATTTGGCAATTTAGAGAAAAGTTCCAGATAGTACACAGAGTTCATGTGAACCCCTCACCCACTTCCCCCCTTGTTAACATCCTCTGTAACCATGACACACCTGTCAATACTGAGAAACCGACACTGGCATTATACTATTAACTGAAATCCAGACTTTATTTGGGTTTCACCAGTTTTCCATTAACGCCCTCTTTCTGTTCCAAGGACCAATGCAGTGTACCCCACTGCATTTAGTTGTCTCGTCTCCCTAGTCTCCTCTGCTCTGTGACAGTTTCTCAGTCTTTCCTCGTTTTTCGTTACCTTGACAATCTTAAGAAATACTGTTCTGGTACCCTTAGAATGTCCCACAACCAGGGTCTGCCTGTTGTGTTTCTAGTGAGTAGACTGAGGTGATGGGTTTAGAGGAAAATATCACAGATGTGAATTGCCCTTCTCATCACATCGTATCAAGGAGTGAATGACAGCAGAGTGACATCTGGTGTCGTTAACTTTCATCACTTGGTTAAGGTAGACTTCACCAGGTTTTCCACTTTAAAGTTACTGTTTTTCCCTTTCCCTCCTGTATTCTTTGGAATCAAATCACGAAGTCTAGCCCATCAGGCCGTTTTAATCGTGACATCCCTTCCTCTTGTGCTCATGCTTCCAGTGTGCAACAGCCCACTCCTTTACCAAAGATAAGGCCATCCCTCTCCTGGGCCATTCTAAACCGCTGGGAGTGTCCGCACCTCTGACTCGAGTCTGGGTGGTATATAAACACCTCTGTGAACACACCTGAACATGCTTGTATGATCTCCTGGCTTTGACACTTAGTTTTTATGACTTTGAAATTTAGACCTTGATGATGGGGTTCCTGTCCTGTTTGTGTGGGAATTTAAAAATTTTCACTCATGGAGGTTAGCACTAATGGCCCCAAATTTGAATGACCCTTCATTATTCTCTAAACGTTGTCAAGGCTTACCTGGGCCGTTCAAAGATTGCTGCTTCCGACAGCAAATGGGCACGTTGCTAAGTGTAGCCGACAACAGATCCCTTTCCTCCAGTGTGGAGGTGACTGAAACACTTAAACTTTTCAGTAACAACAAAGACAGTTTTGCTGTGCTTGCTCTTCAGGGTGTGATGCAGGGAACTGTGCCCTACCTGGGCACCTTCCTGACTGACCTGACCATGCTTGACACTGCTCTTCAGGACTACATTGAGGTGAGTTGTGTACTGGTGGTGAAAGTGGACCTGCAGCCTTCTCATTGGACACCCAAGAGAGAAATTCACTTTTGTTAGTATCTACTGAGGGCCCATTATGGACGTGGCATTGTGCTAGATGCTACGAGGAATGCAAAGTTGAATAACAGCAGAACTGGCTCACAGTCCAGTTGAAGATATATGTCAAAGCAGGCGGTGATTGACAGAAATAGTAAGAATTCAAACAGAAATACTGTGGGAGCAGAGGCAAGGTCACGATGAGTTCCATATGAGGGGATGTGGTGGCAAGGCCTTATGAAGGAGTGGCTTTGAGCAAGACCTTAATGTTGGGTTGGACTTTGGCGGGTGGAGCTGAGGGAATAATAGGCCCTAACATTCTACCTGGTGGGGTAGGGAGTCAGTCAAATTTGTGGATTTTTAGGTATTCCTTTTTTTTTTTCATATCATTACGTATTCTGAGGCGTGCGCTCTGTTCTCTCTCAGCATGAGAAAAGAGGTGAAACCCAGTCATACAAGCTACTTGTTAGTAGCTATAATAAAACATTAACTGGAAAAGACATGTGATATTTGGAGTGAGATTGAAGTCTTGCTTGTATATTTAAGATTACCTCGCCTCCCTGGTTATCACAGGCAGGCAGCCTGCTTTTACTCGGTCATAATTAGGAGGAGTAGCAGTTATTCTGCATATGCCTACGTCCAAGTTCATCATAAATGTGGACATGCTCATTCATTTTGCATTTCCTGAGCTCTGCGTCTCTTCACATCCTCTGCCTCAGCTTATCTCAGGAAACACTCATTAGTGTTGGGGAGTTTTTGGGGAGTGACCAATGGTTTACAAGTTAAATTCAGCCTACTGAGAGTAGGAGCTGGGGGCATGAAGAATTGAAACTTAACTTTCATGACGCTGTATAGAAGTGACTTCCCTTTTGATAAACCATTGACAATTTGGTTTCCAGGATGACTCAATGACCATCTGTTTTTGTTGCTTTTGGTCAAGAGAAAAAGTGTAATGGAACATTTAGTCAAGCTTTTGCCTTTACTGACTCTGCAAATGTATTTGGATTCTGAATTGTAACTCCTTTATCGTTACTATTTTAGTTGGTTTCAGACATTTTTTAAAGAGAAAGCTGTCTCTCTGTCCTGTCCTGTTATCATTAAAAGAATGCTTTTCTTGAAGCAAACGATGCTTCTCTTCCTCCGTAGCAGCCATAATTATGGTGTCATTAATAATTGTGACTTTATCATCCCTTCGATCTATTTTAATAAGACCTAGAACAACATAGGGCTGTGTTTCAAAGTAGCTTGGTTTGTCACTCTTTTCTTTTTCTTTTTTTTTTTTTTTAATTCAGGGTGGGCTGATAAACTTTGAAAAAAGGAGACGGGTAAGTAGAGATCTTGGCTGTGGTTTTTCATTTTAATTCATCTGGGCATGAAAAATATAAAAGAAGTGGGGACTTCAGGTTTTTTGTAGGGGCAGAAAAAAATGAGCATTTATTCAACATTTATCATACACCATTGTGCTTTGCATGTTCCTATATATTATCCCCCAAGAGCCCTGTGAGGTAGGTTTTATCATTCTCAGTTCAAAGGTGAGGAAACTCAGAGAGATGAAGTAACTTAACCAGAGTTGCCTGGTAGCAGAGCCAGGATTCAAACCTTTCCGAAGGAATCCTGCCTCTCCAAAGCCCACGCTTCTTCCCTCACCCCCCCATCATCTCCTTCTTTACAATTAGCTTCAGCAATAACAGGGTCATCCTATTAAGGAGAAGAGGGTTTCTATATCATAAGAGTAAATGATATAGAAGAGTTAATAGTGATGGTTAACTCTTGTGGGTCTCTTTGAGAGAGGAAAGGAAACGGCTTCATCATTATATGTGGATAATTATTCTTTTCCTTTCCTGTCACCACAGGAAGGGGTGTTCAACATCGCTTTGAATTTTTCTGTGGATCATAAAATAGTTCTGCACTGTACTAAAAAGATAAAGGAGAGCTTTGAAAATTCGCTATGGTTTTAGTGTTAAAATAGTGTATTTAAATGGATATTTAGAAGATTCAAAGGAAGATGAGTGAGCAAAATAACTTCACCTCATAGTACTTTCATTGTTCTGTAGTCGTTCATTCATTCTTTCATTCCACAAGTATTGATCGCATATCTGGCATGGGTCAGACACTATGATAAATTTGGGGATTATAGCAGAAAAAAACCAGAGCTCCCTGTCCTCATAAAATTTGCAATCCACGAGGAGGGTAGACAAATAAATAGGCAATTATTGTACAATCTTTTAAGGGCTTGTAAGCAGAAGTAGTGGGTATTATAGGAGCGTGTAGGAGGGGCATCTGTCCCCTACTTGTAGGGTCTGAGAAACTTTCAGGAGAAAATGACATTGAAGTTAAAACCAAAACGTCAGAAGCTAACCAGGCTGAGCTCATTAGTAACAAGCTATACCAACTTAGACTCTCCCTGGTAGAGTATGCTTTCTTCTTGAGCGTGATGATAAATGTTCCTTGAGGATACTGAGACCAAGGGCTGAGGTCATTGGAGGGGAAGTGGACACCCTGCCAGTTGTTGAGTTACTTCTGTTATGTCCTCTGATGATAAAACACATTCAGTTACTGCCTCCGCAGTTACCCCTCTTTGTCCTTTAACTTCAGCATAACCCTGGATGGTAATCTCTTTCATTTTAAGACTAGCAAGTTAAACTTTTGGAAAGTTTGAGTAGAAAACCTAAAGCTAAATGTTATACCCATTGCTGACTTAAAAAACTTTTTATTGAAACATCTAAATAAGCATAAATAATTTTGAACATAATTATATACTTGCTTCTCTTGTGAGCTTTAGAAGACTTAGTTAAGTGATTTACTGGAGCAGTAAAAACCCAAGGATTTAGGAAATCTAAACATTCAAGTTTATGGGCCCTGGACCGTTTAGATATTCAGCTCCACCAAACTCAGTTATTGAGGGGCAAGGGTTGAAGAAGGTGGGGGTGGGGAACTTGGGAGCTTCCTGATTTCAAGTAATTTTTTTCTTTATCTTTTAGGAAGTAGAAATAGAAATTTTAAATATATTTTAGAAGTACTCAACTTTAAAAAATAACTTTTCTGTCCCTAGAATGAAAATGGAAAAGAGAAAAAGGAAGCCACTGTGCCTTTAGGTCGTAGTTGGTTTGGATTGCTTTGCAAGCTTGTTTTATTCATATAAATTGCTTTTTCAAGGAGAAAGGAGGATTGACAATTAAAGCATACAAGGACTTCAGAGATTCAGAGTTAGAATTTTTGAGTTATTCAGCTATTTTATTTCTAAGGAAGGCAGAACTTCAGAGTCCTCTTAGATGGTTTCTCCATGGTTTATCCTAATGTGATGTGTTTTCATGTTGAAAAGGTGTATATTTGGTTGGCCTTATTATTCACTCTTTCTTTTTGGTGTTCTGTCTGCTTTAGGAATTTGAAGTGATTGCCCAAATAAAGCTCTTACAATCCGCCTGCAACAGCTATTGTATGACCCCAGACCAAAAGTTCATCCAGTGGTTCCAAAGGCAGCAGCTCCTAACAGAGGAGGAGAGGTAGGCAGACATATTGCCCATCAGGGTGGAGCTATGGTGTTGGCGAGAGGGATACTCATCCTGTTCCTCATTTGGCCATTTATTCAGCAACATTTAGTGAGCAGTTGCTAGGCTCTAGAGCCTCAGTTTTCAAAGGATGATGGTATGGCAGGAGAAGCTGAACTGATGGCATCAGAAGATACACTTTCAGATTCTTGCTGTACTGTTTATTTATCTTTGTAACTTTGAACAAGTCACTTATTCTTCCTGATATTCAGAATGCTCATTTATAAAATGTTTGTGAGAATTAAATGAAATCGTATTTGGGAAAGCATTATTAAAGTACTTATCATCATCATCATCATCCCCACCACCGCCACCATCAGCACCATGTTTGTCACTACTGTTAATTGGTACTGGCTTTCAGGGAGTTTTCAGTTGGGGAGGAGAGACAGACTCGTGAAGAATTGAAGTATCATGGGTAACTAAAGTGCTACAGGACCTATGGGCAGGAACAATTCACTCGGCCAAGGATAGGGGGATATGGGGAAGGTAATCATAAAGGCGTTCACATTTGGGCTGGGCTGCGAAGGAGAGGTAAGATTTCACGAGAACTGGAGAATAGCATTCTAGACAGAGAGAAGATCGTGATCAAAGGCCTGGTGGCCTGACATGCTTGGCATTTGGAGGGACAGTGAGAACTCTGATATGGCTGGGCCATATGGGACAGCTTTCAGAATAGAGTTTCAGAATAGTGACGAGCATAGCGAGGTACATTAACCCCAGGGCCTTGAATGTTGGCCCAGTGGGGTGTAGTCTTTACCCTGGGGTCCAATGGGTTACAGTTCCAATAAAGTTTTATTGGAACCCAGCCCATTCACTTACATCTTGTTTATGGTTGCTTTCCTGCTTTAAAGGCAGAGTTGCACAGTTGCAACAGAGACTGTATAGCCTGCAAAAGCCTAAAGTACTTACTGTGTGGTCCTTTACAGAAAATATTTGCTGAGCCCTGCTGTAGACCGGGGGATTTCCTTGAAAGCTTATCATCAGGGAGAGCGAAACTGATGACAAAATAAGTATTTTGCCAATGAGGAAATTGATGCTTAGAGAAGTATTATAACTAGTCAGATTCACACTCAGGTCTGCCTTGACTCTACAGACTAAGCTCTGAAGGTGGTTGTATAATGTAGGGCAAATCATGTGACCTCTAGAAGCCTCAGTTTCCTCGTTTAAAAGATAGATGATTTCTGAGCTCCTTTTTAATGCCAGAGTAGATTGGTCCTGTTACATTAAAACAAAACCTTTGATTCAGAGTACTCATCAGTTGGTGAAGGTTTTTTCTTTGCCATGTAGAAAATAAAGCAGTTATTGCCTCTCTTTACATCTACTAGTCTGATGATCAGTTTGTATGAATTAACTTTCTCTTTGTGCATCCTTCTCACATATGGAACGTGCATACCATGGCTGGTGGTTTGGATCAGAAAGTCCAGGCTCAAAACATCAGCTGTGTATTGACTTTGTAATGATTAAAGGGATCTGTTAAACAGATCTCATTTTTTCTTGCTATTTATAAAAACCCTTATGACTTACTAATATTTGAAAAATTCCCATATCAATGAATACTCCTACTTGATCAAATACCTGGATACATCTTTAGGTTTAAAAAAAAGGTATGCATAATTAGAAACTTACCAACCTAATATTCTCCACACTTCCCCTTCCTCACCTACCCAGAGCCAAATATATCTACTAGCTAGAGGTACAAGCTTTCATCAAAGGCATTTCAAGTCAGATATAAATTCCTCTTGTGCTTATGGAACTTATATCTGCCTGGCATATGGATGTCTGAATCTGGAGCATTTTTAATTTAGGATATTTTGACAATTAAAAATCATATTTAGAGACTGGCCTGGTGGCATGATGGCTAAGTTCGTGCACACTGCTTCAGCTGCCCAGAGTTTGCAAATTCGGATCCCAGGCAGAGACCTAGCACTGCTCATCAAGCCACACTGTGGCAGCATCCCACATAAAACAGAAGAAGATTGGCACAGATGTTAGCTCAGTGACAATCTTCCTCACACACACAAATCATATTTTTATATCTTTATCAGTAATATACCTGCCTGTGTCACTGAAGATTAAATAGTTTATAAAAATCCCTTCTTTCATTTCCCTTCAATAAAAAGTAAGATGAGCATTTGCACACACTCACACAGAGTAATAGGAGGGAGGTAGGAGAGAAGAAATGATTCTTTCCCTGGCCTCGCAGTGGGATGAGAATGGTCAGGAAGCAGAGTCGGGTTAGTCTTGGATGTGCTGCCAGAGCACACAAATCCATGATGTGGAGGCATGCAGAGCTGAGCAGCCTCAATCCGTATGCCGGTAGGGGGAGGAGGGGAGGAGGCACAGATGTAAATTTGTAAAATCTGGTCATTAGGTCAGTACCCTCTGACATTTGTAGTAGAACAATGTAGTATACATTTTTACTTTAAATAATCAAAACCTTTCTCTAAAACAAAACCAGTAAATCTTGTGAATTTAAATCTTTTCTTCCATTCTCAAGCTCTGACCTCACGAGCTCGCTTCTCTTTCCCAGCTATGCCCTCTCATGTGAGATCGAAGCTGCTGCCGATGCCAGTGCCACCTCGCCCAAGCCTCGGAAGAGCATGGTGAAGAGGCTCAGCCTGTGAGTGTCACCCGGGGGTCCTAGGGCCCTGAGAGGGTCCCATTATGGGGAGGGAGAGGAAGGGTATTCAACACAGTTCCCCTGAGTCAGGGCAAAAGTGAGGCACAGTTCACTGACTTGGTAAATAGTTTATCTTTCTGTCATGAACTCAATACGTTTTCCAGATCTATTCATTCTTCTCCGCTGTTCCCTTTGGTATGAACCACCAGCCTCTCCTGCCTGGACCACTCCAGCAACACCCCTACTGGCTTCTGGCCCCACCCTTACCCCAACAATCCATTTTCCACCGGATAGTCTGGTAGTCTCTCAAAATGTACACCAGATTATATAGCTTTCTTGCTTAAAAACCCCCAGTGGTTTTATTTTAAGGTGCACCCAAACTCCTAATCGTAGTTTCCTAGGCCCTGCGTGATCTTCCCCCAACCTTCTTGGCCACCTTCCTCTCCTCCAGCACTCTTCCTTGTTCACGAAGATCCAGCCGTGCCCATCTTCTGGCCCTCCTTCAACCATCCCAGGCTTGTTCCGACTTCAGGGCCTTTGCACTAGATGTTCCTGTGGCCTGCCGTGCTCTTTCTCTGTGGCTACCTCCTTCTGATATTGGCAAAAATGTTGCCTTCTGGGAGAGCATGCTCTCTATTGTTGCCGTCTGCCCCAGTTGCTCTCAGTCATCCTGGCTGTTTCCTGCAGTAGAATGGAAGGCAGCTGAGAGCAGGAACCTTGTCCATCATACTGATGGCTGTATGCCCAGCTCAGTGCCAGGCATATGAGAGGCCTTCCGTAGCTAACTTCACAACACGTTGAGTAAAATCCAGAATCCTTACCATGGCCTTCAAGACTCTTCAGGATCTGCACTGTCATCCCAGCCTCACCCGCCTATCCTGTACCTGTCTGTCCTCATCTTTCCCTACTCACTCTACTCCATGCATGCCAGCCACCCAGAGGTCCCTGAACGCAGTAGGCATACTCATTTTATTTGCCATTTCTTCTTTTTAGAACACTGTTCCCCAGATAGCCAGGTGGCTCGCTCCCTCACTTCCTCTAGATCTTTGCTGAAATGTCACCTTCTCAGTGAGCCTTTTCTGACCACCTTATTTCATACTATAGCCTATCCACCTTCCTGCCCTTGGCACCCTCTCTTACCTTCACCTGCTTTGAATTTCTTCACACCATTTACCTCCATCTGACATACTGTATGTTGTATGTATCTGTTTGTTATCAAGAATGCAAACTCTGTGAAGGCAGGCATTTATGTCTGTTTGTTCATTACCAGAACCTAAAATGGTGCTTGGCACATAGTAGGTGATTAATAAATATTTATTGAGTGAATAAATTGAGCCATGTGCCCACATTGTTCTAAGAAAAATACATGTATTTCTCATCCAGTTCCAAAATAACCTAAGTGGCAGGTCCTACTTCCTACTATTATACCCATTTTATATACCAGGGAAGTGAGACACAGACAGGATAAATAGTATGCTAGTTATTGGAAGATCTGGATTCAAACCCAAGATTTGGCTCTAGAGACAAGGTTATAACATACTTTTTTATCATCCCGCTTATTAGAAAAATGCTTTCTGAAGGAAGAGAGGAAGTGAAGATGGAATGGAGGTAAAAAGTGGAGGAGGAAGGAAGACGGAGGGAAGGAAGAGAGTGTGAGGAGGAAGGGAGGAAAGCAAGACAAACTGGTAGTTTACTTAGACCCTGTACTTTCATTGTGCTGATTTTTATAGAAGAGCCTTAAGAGAACCTAGTGTCTGTCTTGAAGTTGCTCTGTTAGACGTTACACTCTGAAAGACATTAGACTAATGAATCTAAGGAAGGCTGAACAGGTGAGTGCAAGGAAATAGGATTATTATTTGATTAATAAATTTGCTCTTCTCTTTTGAAGACGTGTACCCGTGTCTGATCTTTTGGCTGACACAATCTGCATTGGCCGGGGACAAGCAAGAGCAGTGATTAGGGAATATTGGATAGTTTTTTCATGGCAGACTGGGCTTGGGAGCCACGCTGGCCTGACAGATCCCACCCCCGCCAGTTGCTTGTTGTGTGAACTTCTGTCATGTCATTTGTGAGATGAGGTGACAGTGTCGTCCTCAGTGGGTTGTTGTCAGGACTAGTGGGGTTGTAACACTCCTAAAACAGTGCCCAGCTCTCAATGGGTGCCTGAAAAGCCACATTATTTCTTGTGAAACAACTTTCTGTTGCTGCCTTTTTTTTTTTTTGGTTAGGATTCTGTCTGTTTCTGTGGGTTTTTGGTACTTCCCAGCACTGTCTCTCCACCTTCCTCAGTGAGTCGCATTGAGACGTTGAAGCAGGGAGGGCACATGACTTTGGATATTGTCCTATTCCCAGTGTAACATACACGGGCCCTTATTGGGTGTGGACATGCTCTCCATATCAGAGCCTGCGTGGGCTTTTACCTGATGGCATTTGAGGCATTTGAGGATTAGGTTGGAACATGGTGATTTTACAGAAAGCATATTGAAGGTAATCCTCATGTCTTGCCAAACCCCTTTTTTCGTTCAGATGCCTACCCTGGCCTCCTGAACACTAGATTTGTGAGCTTTTAGATTCACCTCTGTGGAATTTTCCATAGTATCTTGCTATCTTTTCATTGCTGCAATTTCGGGAGAGGAGAAACTTTTGTTTTGAGATGACCCAAGGGCCTGACCAAGCCTTGTCAGCTGGTAAGATCGACACCTGCACAGGGAATCAGGCTCACTGACAGGTGAGGCGAGGTTGCGGGGCCTCTTGGTGGTCCTCTCTGCATCAGAAAGAATGGGGAATTTCCGCTCCTGCTGTGGCAGTTGGAGGTCAGTGCAGGTAGATGTGATCCCACGTGCTACTACCTTTGCCCTCCTGCTTTTCCGTCCTCAGTTAGTTGCCACCGCATACTCGTTTTTCTGTAACTGCTTCTCTGCTGCTCCTCTCCAACCCACGTGTCCATATTTATTCTGCTGGGTTCTCTGGCACCCTGGGTCGTCCCTCTGCACCAGCTCTGGCAAGTGCACTGCCTCTGTGAAGACATTCATGTGAAATCCAGCAGAGGCAGGACTGTCAGGGTGCAGTGCCCTGCACAGAGTGTGGTGGACACCCACCGTATCTCTCTCAGGAGCAACATCTTGCCAAGATGCTTGCATTTAACCCTTGGTATTTGCAGTTGAGTTTGAACATTTATTATCAATAAAACAGGTCACATGTCCCCCATCTTATTTCTTGTACATATAAGGGTGTTTGTATACCAATCAATTTCAAAAGATTTTATGATCTTAACTTTTTTACAAATGCAAGAAATGTATTTTTTGCTCTTCCCACATTTAATGACCCATCATCCAAACAGGTTGGAGAGAATTTTGGAGGCCTAGGGGAAAGAGTGCCTTGTTAGGAGGCCAGAGATGCCCGTATTGACCTAGAATTAACCATTACGAAGCAGAATGGCCTCATCGAATTGTACAGAAGGAAGACCTTTAGTCTTTGAACAATGTGCTTCTGAGCTAGAGACTCTCAGATACTAGTTCACAGCCTTCAAAGGTCTACCTTGTTATTCATGGAGGAGTCAGACACTGGCATTATTTTTTCTTTGAATTGTGGTCAGATTTTAGCTCTTCCCCCTATAGGTCCAGTGGTGCTTGGAGGTCCGAGAAAGGAGGTGACAACCAAAATGGGGCAGGAGGTGGTAGGGTGGAGATGAGGCAGAACAAAGATATGCTTCAGGTCTTGGGATTTGAGCTTACAATTCCTAAAATATTTAATAAAAAATCAAGCCCATCCTCATTGTTCCTTCCCTTGTTGTTTTATACAGTCACTGCTTGTTTGAGTTTGGTCCCATTTGCTAGTTTCTTTACATGCCACTCCTTCTTACATGTTACTCCTTCCCTCCTCTCACTGCTTCTTTCTGTGTTGTATGTTAATGGTGAACGCTCTCAGTCTTTGAGAAAGTCTTTATTTTGCCTTCCCTCTTGGAATTATATTAGGTGGGTATAGAATTCAAGGATGATTGTTCTTCTCACTCATTTGGAAGATATTGTTCCATGTCTTCTGATTTCTGTTGCTTTTGAGATGTCTGAAGTCAGTTTAATTAGTTCCTTTGTATTATCCCCTGGCCCTGTCGATTTTAAGACCTTCTCTTGTCTTTGACATAGCGTTATGAAGTTTAAGTGGGGATTTAGTCTTATTTATCCTAGTCGAGATGTGATTCCTGCATCTCAGGATTCATGTGGTTCATTAGTTCTGGAATCTTCTCAGCCAACCATCTCTTCAGATATGGTCCTTCTTCAATTCTCTCAGCTGGCTTCCTCTGGAAATCTTCTTACACACATGCAGGCATTTCCTATTCCATTCTCCATGTCTTTTAACCTCTCTTATTTTCCATGTCTTTATATTTTGATGCTAATTTCTGAGGATTTTCTTCAGATCTATCATCTAGTTTGCAGTTTTTCTCTTCAACAGTTATTTGATCCTTCCACTGAATTTTTAATTTAATTCACTACACTTTTCACTCTAGCAGTGAAATTTTCTTCAAATTATCTTCCTCTTTTGTCAGAGTGTCTTGCTCTTAATTCACATTTTCAATTTCTTCTCTTATGTCTATAATATTTTTAAGCATACTTATAGCTTGGCTCATGGTAGACACTCAAATATTTATTGAATGCACAAATACATTTTTGGTTGGGTTTCTTTCTGACAGGTCTTGTATCTGAAGTACTCAGGAGTCTAAACTTGCTGTTTATTATGCCTGTTGATTCTCTCTTTGGGTGGGATATTTCTTTGTGTGTATTTTGTAATTTTGTTTTGTGAGCTCATCTTTATCAGGGAATTCTCTGCAGCCTGGGTTGAGGGTATATTCTTCCAGAAAGAATTTTTTTTTTAAATTCTAGTTTCCCCAGGACTATCACTGGGCTGAGAGTCCCTAGTTCCTAGCCCACGTAGGTAGCACATCTGAGTGAGGCGCTAGCAAAGGGTACACATGCTTTAGGGGAGACATTTGTCTTCTCCCCAAGCTCAAGCCAACAGACAAGTTTCCCTGTTGTCTTCCTGTGCCAGTAGGAAGATATTTTTCTAGCCCATCTTTTTACTAAGGGTGCAGCCCTTTGAGGGTCCTAAGGGGCTTCAGTTCCAGCTCCCCACCTTACATAATCAGAAGCCTTCATCTGTGGGCCCTGTGAATGTATTAGAAACCCATGTCCCTACTTTCCCAAGGTTGCCGTCCCCCTCTCCCCGTACAGAACAGCTGCAGAATTAGCCCACATGCTTCTGGTTTTCAGTTCCTTTTTCATTTCTGGCCTGTAGGGATTTTCCTTATGGTCTTGCAAACCCAACTTTACAAAGAAGTTTTAATGGGTCTTATATAATCGTTTTATAGTGAAGTTGTTTAGCTTATTGTAGTTCACCAGATTGTTGGAAATGAAGCCTTCCTCCTAGATTTCTTGTCCAATGCAGTTCTAGCCTTCTTGTTCAACCTCATGGAGTTCACTTTATGGTGGGAAATGATAAGGGTCTGGCGATAGTATTTTGATCCTTCCAAGGTTGTCCATAGACTGTTAAAAAAATGGAGAACCAGTGACCTAGAAAAACCACAGATTAATATGGCCCTTCATTCAGCTAAACAATCTGTGTGTTTCTTGAGGTTGGAAATAACCTATTGGGACGAGATGTTTACTATGGTCTGTTAGAAACTTTGTAGTAAATGTTTTCCTGAAATAATAATGGCAGGGCATGCAAGATTGAGAAAACATCAAGGACTTGATTAACGGAAAAATATTTGCTTAATCCTGGATTCCAGATTTATAAGAGTCCGAATGCCTGGCATTATGTTTTCTGCAGACTGTTTCTGGGGTCGGACATTATCACCAGTAGCACTCCCACCAAAGAGCAGCCCAAGTCCACTGCCAGTGGCAGCTCTGGTGAAAGCATGGACTCCGTCAGTGTGTCATCCTGCGAGTCAAACCACTCAGAGGCTGAGGAGGGCTCTCTCACTCCCATGGACACACCTGATGATCCTCAGAAAAAGGTATATGCTTAATCCCTTTCCGTAATTCCTAATGCAGGCACCTGACATCGTGTTTGCCATACGAGGAATGTCTGTTTTCACGTTTAACACTCTACAGTATTTTGAAAGTCATGTTTTTAAGAGGTGTCAAAAGCAGAGTTCTATCTGGGGACTCATTCCTTATAGAGACAGGTCTAAAAGCAATGAACATGTTGGTTTATTCATCTAGCCTCTGAACATTCCAAAATGTTCCATACCCACATCACAAGGCAACTGAAGGACTGTGACTGTGACCTGTAACATGAGCTATACTTTATTTAGGAAATGTGGGATTTTCTTGTAAGGAGCAGAAAGTCAAGAGACAGAGATGTGTCAGATTCTTGGTGTCACATCTTGTCTTAGCCAAGCTTTTACCATAATAATGTTGCATAGCAACCACTCCAAAATTCACTGACTTAAGACAGCAACCATTTGTTGTCTGTCCTGCATCTGCAGGCTGGTTGATTTGAGTTGGGCTTGGCCCTTGGCCATGGGTTTGGTCCAGGTCTACCTGCCTCTCATTCTTTTTGGAGTAATGGGCTACCCAGAGCAAGCTCTCAGCATGCTAGGACAGATGAGCAAGAGGGTAATCTTAACCCTGTAAGCACACACCAAGACTTCACTGGGGTCATATCTACCAACATTTTATTGGCCAAAGCAAATCCTGTGGCCAAATCCCACGTAAATAAACGAGGCAGGAAGCTGTACCCCACTTCTTATGGAGGAACTGTGGAGTCACAGGACAAAACGCCTCGATGCAGGGGAGGGTGAGGAGTCGGTAACAGTGAGATAATCCACCACATACCCAAAAAAGGAAAGTGATGAGAGGTGATCAAAGAATTCGCATAGGGAGTTTCCATTTTCCATGGCTGCATAAATAAATGAAAAGAAAACAAAGATCCATCTTAATCTTCTGTACACATCTGCTTCAATCTGTTGGTCAAGGAGCTTGGATCAGAGATGTCAACTTTAACATAACTAGAATTTACACCGTTTCGGGGAGGATTTTGCCTGGCCAAACTTGATGTGTAAGTGACTTTTGGCCCCTTAGCTTATGCTTGGGCCAGTGAGGTAGAGTGTTGGTAACAATTCCTGCCTTTCATTTGTATCTGCCCTTCTGCAAGGGGATCTGTGTGCCATTCATATTGTGTTGTAAGCAACAGCAGCAATCTGGGAACCCTCAAGTGACTTTGTCACAAAGTAGCCAGTCCAGGCAGGACTCATTAGACTGAGATGACTCAGATGCTACCCCAGCTGGATTTCTCATCTTTCTGCTTTAAAATCTGGGGACACGTCTTTAATGCTCCAAATATTGAAGGAAAAGCTCCTCAGACTCCGGTGGACTGGCTCTTCTCTCAGGCGCTTTTCCCAGGAGAGCAGTGTAATCATTCTCCATGGCTTGACAAGCAGCGTTGAATTTGTCGAAATCGGGAGTGAAGTCTCGTCATTCACCTTTTGACAGGTTCTTATGCTTTGTAGGCTCCATTTCTGATGATGGGCATTGTACAAAAGTGATAATTGAGGTTATTGCCCACATCTTTGTGGGACTCCTCCCTGTCCAGGAAGGAGATAGAATCACATTTGCACATGTTGGTGTGGTGGGCATGTACATAGGTCCAGCTCATCCCTTTTAAAACTCTGCAGAAGTCCAGTGTGTCCTTTGCACGCCCCTTGCTTCATCCTTTTTGTCTCCTCCTTTTCTTATCACATCGGCTCTTTAATTTCTTGTACATGTCACGAATTTTTATTCTTTGGATGAATCTCTCTCAGAATCATGGATTTCTGTGCATTTAAAAATGAGTAATTGACTTGGATGCACCTAGTTGCTGGGCTGGCTGCAGAATCCCTGAATGTTAACTGGAAAGGCCTCAGGCTCCTGCTCAGTGCAGAGCTGGAGATGGGTGACTCCAGCGTCCCTTCCTGTTCCGAGATCCTGCAGCCCTCCAACCCACCCTGCCTTCCCCGACTGGCTACACTGTGAGGTCCCTTTTTTAGTGAAGTGTAATTTGCATTTCTCTTCCTTCCATCCCCTGATTGTGATTTCTACACATTTATTTCACATTTGCTCCTCACTACTTAAATTCTCAACAAGAATTTGAGGGCTCATCAGGTGATCTGTTTAGAGCTGCTGTAACCCAGGCATTTTCAAGGCTTTATCTTAATTATAAATGTCATTAAAATCGTGGAAAATCTAACAAAGGGAAAAGGATTTATGTGGAGGAAAAGAAAGATGAAAGAACTTGAACCAAGAACTGGAAAATGGACCCTCTTGGCTACTGTGTGGTCCACCTGCAAGCAGAGTTAGGCTAGTAAAATCATCCACCATCAGTTAGCCCTCAAATTGAGCCACTAAGTTGATTCATTTGGGGACATAAAAAAATGTAACTAAACCAAGTTATGATTGAGCCACAGTAAGACTCCTACATATCGGAGTTGTCACAACAGCTTGCTGGCTCTAATTAAACTAATCATGCTGTAGAATTTTGTGTATAGCTATGCCGTAGGAAGAAGTCCACAGGAAATAAGATAGAGTAGACTCCATTTTACTTGGAAACTGGATAATCTGAAAGCCAAATTTCTATTCTCTGTTTCCATGGAAAGGTAGATAGGTTTGAAAGAAATTAGTAAGTTATTTATTTTTAAACTGACTTCCAGATTATTTTATAGGATTAATGTGGTATAATTTAGCTTAACTCATTCTGAGAAATTATTTATAATTTTCTGCAATAAGAACTGATGCTTAAAATGACTCAATTTAACGATTTTTTGGAACACTACTGAGTGAATTTTGGGCATCCTGTTTCTTTGGTAATTGGAATTGCACAGATGATAACTAAGTAGTTAATCAGAAAAGCACATTAACTATAGCACCTCATTCCTTAATTATCCTTTATATACAACATAAAAATGTGTACAGTTGGTTCTAGAAGCAAATGTGGAAAGTGGTGTAGCTGCTCATAGGCTGTGTTCCCTTGGGAAAGTCAGTCTCTTTCTCTGAATCTTATTTCCTTCATCTTTATAACACTCTGCATTTTGTTCACAAGATAGTTGTGAGACCAAAATGAAGTAAGATATGTGAAAGCTCGTCACAGACCTCAGAGTGCTGAACATCACCGAGGTAACGGTGTACTGTGTTTGTTCACCACACACCGTACACTGCACCGTCTGGGGCTTGGCTACACCCTTGCTCTGTGAACCTGGCCATGGGAGTAAGGAAACCCGGGAGCCAGTCCTGGAGGTGCTGTCAGCAGTTTTCTCTCTGGCTCAGGTTCCTTAGCAGTAGAAAGGGAAGGGGTCAGCCGATCTCCAGGGCCTTTCCAGGACTAATGTTCCCTGCAGAGTTGTGTAATCTATGGTCCTTATCTTAGAAACTTCTAAGAAATATAGACAATTCTCTCCTGCTACAAAATCTGATCATGAAGTCAGAATTCAAATGATCTCTGTGGGCGCATCAAGCATCATTCTTGCTCAAGGCAGTAAGACTGATAAATTGTTGGTAAGGCTTTCCTCCCGTCCTTTGTAAAGCTCCCTGTTTCCTTTGGGAGCCCGTATTGCCTCTGGTTTCTAGTATCTGCTGCCATCTGCTGGTAGACTTCCTTAAGAGCAGCTAAAAACTAGGAAGTGCGAGAACCACCTTCCTCACGTGGATGTAGAGTGATCAAGTCAAGCACTGTGTCACTGATAGGCATCTGCCATGGGGGTGCTTACACCAGAGACAAGATGCCTGTGTGCTGTGGGCAATTGTGGAGGAAATAACTTGTTCTTCTCAGCATCTACGTCTGCTTTGAAAATTGTGAAGCACAGTGTTGGCCAAGGTTCTAACAGCTCCGTTTTCTTCCGGGTGTGTTTACTCTTCCAGCTTTCCGAGTCTTCCTCATCCTGTTCCTCTATCCATTCCATGGACACAACTTCCTCAGGGATGTCGTCCTTAATCAACCCCCTCTCCTCCCCTCCGTCCTGCAACAACAACCCAAAAATCCACAAGCGCTCCGTGTCCGTGACATCCATTACCTCGACAGTGCTGCCTCCCGTTTACAACCAACAGAACGAAGACACCTGCATTATCCGCATCAGTGTGGAGGACAACAACGGCAACATGTACAAGAGCATCATGGTGAGGCGCTCAGACCGACACCTGAATACGCACAGTATTCCACAGACACGTACATTCACCCAACATGAATACGTCCCAAATGAATGCACACCCACGTCTCCCTGGGTACAGACTAATAATGTATTTATATAAAAATCTACACACCAGCAGTGCATATAGGATATAGCTTTTGCATCTTAAAAATTGCTAAAACGTACTCATCCAGGTCTGTATCACGTTTTTGAAAACTATCAATTTGGACGCCAATATAAATGTATTCCAAGGAGGATGCCACTGCTGCGTACCTTGGAAGTCTTCCTGGGGAATTACGTGTCTGGATTTATCATTGAATTGCCCTGCCTTCTTAGCAATGTCTTCCGTGGTGGCGAATTTTTCTTTTTTAGTCATTTGGAATCAAACGTAGTAAAGCAGATGATCAAGCTGCAAATGCAGTTCGAGTCCATGAGGGACTATGTTTATAAATAAATGAGACTGACCTTTTTGAGCTTCTTGGAAAAACTGTGTTTCTGAGCACAATCCCAAAGATGTTTTGAATAATGGCAGTCTTTTTGGAATGCATTTGGACCCTCTCCTGGGGATAACCTTGGGTGTGTAAGTCTGGTGTGTTTATTACTGAATAGACTCCTTAGTTTATAGGACATATCATGTATTAAAAAGCAGATTCTCCTTTCCAGTAAAATCCTGCAGTGAATCCTACATCTCTCCTCATCTTCATCACTTGTCTTCTTTGAGGGCACACTGAGTGCTTCCAGTCAGCTCTGAATATGACATAAATGGTATGGAGTCACTGTCTTTTAACATTCTAAAGAAAATCTCTACTAAAGCATTCATTGAATCAATAAAATATTTCTTGAACATTAGTTGTGTACTAGTCTTCGGACCAGGCTTTGGGGAGATGAACGAGCCATTGCTGTCTTTGAGGAACTCATAATCAAAAAGCATTATTCAAAATGTCCTAAATACTCTAACAGAGGTCAGGTCAGATTGTAAAGGGCTTAGGGCCCCCATGAAGGAGTTTATGTTAATCCTACAGGGAATAGGGTCTTATTGGAGGCTTTTAAGGTAGTGATCACATTTTTTCATTAGAAAACTAACTGGCATTGTGGCGACTTGATGCTGGAGTGCAGGGGCTGAACTGGAGGTAGGGAAGCAAGTCAGGAAGCTGCTATCATATTCCCTGTAGGAGATGATAAGGGCTTGAATGATGGTCATGTGGCTAGAGATAATATGGATTTTTGAAAGATTTTCATCAGGTAGAATTGTAGAATCTGTTCGTTTAGTTACCAACTTTTCAGTTACTGGTGTGGGGGAGGGGGAGGAGGCAGGACTAAAGGCTGTCCAGGCGGCTCGGTGGTTGGTGGCCCTGCCAGGTGAGATGTGAACTACTGGAGGAGGCTGGGGGCATTTGAATCAGAGGTACCAGTAGGACATCCAGATGGCATTGTCTAGTAGATGATCAGAAACATGGGTTGGTGCTAGGCTAGTGCTGGGGTTGAATACTGGGAGTGGTCCAGCCCCCCTGGGTGGGTACAGCCATGCAGGGAGCCAGTGTAGGTTGAGATAGAGCTCTAGTGGTAGTGGGGGAGGGACTGATAAAGGAGCGTTGGAGAGGTAGGAGAAGCACTGGGAAGCCAAGGTCATCAATGTTGTTGTATTTTCAGTGTGGCTTATTCACATGGCTTCTCTTACATATGCTGGCCAGAGGAGTTCGTTCCACCTCTGTAACTCTGTGGTGTCCCTGAACTAAAAGGAACCAAGAACCGATGCATATAACAACGTGGATGAATCTCTAAAATGTCACGTTTAGCCAAAGAAACCAGACACAAAAGATTGCATACTGCAGGAGTCTATTCTTTCAAAAATAGGCCAAACTAACCTGTGCCGTTAGAAAACTAACCTCAGGAGAGGGGCACAGGGAATTTTTTGTATTCCCTGTTTAAGGTGCCTCAAGGTAATAACCAAGCATCATTCAATCCTGTGCCGTTCATTATAGTAGCCACTAGTCACACGTGGCAATTGAGCGTTTGAAATGGGAATAGTTCAAATTATGATATGCTGTCAGTGTAAAATGTACACCAGATTTTGAAGACTTAGAGCAAAAAAAAGAAAGAATGTAAAATACCTCATTAACCATTTTTGTATCAATTATATGCTAAAATAATATTTTAGATGTAGATTAAAATATATTAAAATTAATTTCCCTTTTTAAAAGCGTTTTTAATGTGGCCACTAGATATTTAAAATTAGAAATGAGGCTCACATTATATATATCTACTAGACAGTGCTGGTTCAGTATATCAGCATGAGGCTGCATGATTGAGCTGTTAATACTAATTGTGGTCATTAGTAGCTTTTATGGTACAAAGTAATAAACACTCAAGGAAAGCCCTTGGCCAGCCCAGCCTCGCTTGGACACACCTGGGGAAGTTTAAGTTAAGGAAAATGAAGGTAGCTTGGCTTTCTCCCTAAGTAGGTTTAAAGTTGACTTAATAAACCTAACGTTAAACTTTTAAACTTAACATTTAAACTTAACATTGACATTTAAACTTAACATTAACACCCTTAGCTTGACATCCATCCCCCAGGTAGTGTCCTTTCTCCTTTAACTTCGTACTCCTAGTCCAGTTTGATCCAGCTGTGGGGGGTATTTCCTTCAGACTATCAAAGAACATATTTTCCTCCTTCAGAATTTTGTGTGCATCTATTTCTCCCTTGTAAACGGATATGCCAGATGTTGTGGTAATAGACAAATGAGCAAGGTCTTTGTCGAGCACAAGGACCCCATTGTAATGCATGTTGTTTATTGAATTGCAAATACGGGCTTCTGCCCCAGACCAGAGGGAAACAGCTAGCCCTGCCATCCTCAGGCTCTCAATGACAGAGTTTCTTGGAAGAAATTAGACTTCTTTTTTTGGCTGTCTCTCCTCTTACCTCCTGGTGAGAACAGCTTTTATTTTTAAGTAAGAATAATCTGTGTTTTCTTCTGCTTTCTTTCACGTTTAAAGAAATCACCCAAGGGATGGTATGTAAGTCAGCCCTCTTTTCCTGTTATCCTGAACACCTTGCAGATAGTTGGCTGATGGGCAGAGAAAAAGGGGAGAAAGTCAGAATTGGGAGTGAGGAGAACCTTTACTTGTAATTTTTAAAGAAATGTTAGATTTATTATGTTTGAACACACTGATTTTTATGGAAGCATAATTTACGTACAATTACATACACAGATCGCAAGTATTCAGTTCTTTGGGTCTTAATAACTGTATATCTATGTAAGCACCACCTCAAGTCTAGATAAAGGACATTTTCATCCCCCCCAAATTCCCTTGTACCCGTTCCAGCAATCCCCCCTCACCTTAGTTTGGCTTAGGTTAGTGAAAGGGAGTTTTCTAATGCCACAGCTTAGTTTGGCCTGTTTTTGAAAGAATAATCTTTTGTATCTGGTTTCTTTTGCTCAACAAGATGTTTTTGAGATTCATACATTGTCGCGTGTCTCACTTCTTAGTTCCCTTTAGGGGCTGAGTAGTGTTCTCTTGTGAATATACTACAGGTTTCCCCAGTTGTCCTGCTGACAGAGATTCAGGTTGATTCCAGTTTGGGGCTACTATGAATAAATCTGCTGTGAACAAATCTTTTTGTGGGCATATGTTTTCATTTCTCTTGATAAATACTTAGGAGTGGGATTACTGGATCTAGAGCCACTTGTGCTTTTTGAAATGGTCAGTGTGCAGAAGTAAGGCCATTTCTGACCCACAGGTTGTCACCAGTGCCATAGCAGCAGCTCAACAGGTAAGGATAATTTTGGCCAGGACTGAAAATGTCATGCGTTTTCATAATGCCCTCATATATATTCCTTCATTGGAACCTCAGCTGGTGGGGGAGATAGACAAGGCACGCATCCTCTCTATTTGAATAGGGGAAGACACTGTGACTCTGAGAGAGGAGATGACTGAAAGAGTTGATGACCAACATCTTTTGACTACTAAGGGTAGAGCCAGGACTAGAACCCAGGAGTTCTGCTCTTGGTCCACTGGGCCATTTCTCCCAGAAAGTCACTTGACAGCAAGAATAGAGGGTCAAGAGAACTGTTTCAGGAGATATGAAGCTGAATGCTTTACACACCCATTCATTGTCTTTCCAGTTGACGAGCCAGGATAAAACTCCCGCTGTGATCCAGAGGGCAATGCTGAAGCACAACCTGGAATCGGACCCAGCTGAGGAGTATGAGCTGGTGCAGGTCATCTCGGAGGACAAAGGTGGGCATGTGTTCCTTCTCTTGGCAGATTGCCCTAGTTTTAGAAGACAGAGAAGGGATACACTGTCTTTGTGTGTGTGTGTGTGAGGAAGATTGGCCCTGCGCTAATATCTGTGCCAATCTTCCTCTCTTTTTATATGCGGAACGCTCCCACAACATGGCTTGATGAGCGGTGTGTGAGTCTGCTCTGGGGAGCTGAACCCATGAACCCCAGGCCACCAAAGCAGAGTGCAGACTTAACCACTGTGCCACCAAGCTGGCCCCCTGATATCTTTTTTTAAATGGAACCAAGTGGGAGTTTCTAATTGTGCAAGAGTAGAGTTGTGTGGGGAACCATGCAGTCACCTCGCTTGTAGAATTAAGTGTCTGAGGCTGTCGCCTCAACGATTGTTTTTTCTACAATTTGTTGAGCATTCCTCCTGCCCATTCTTTGTAAGCTTCCCATCAAGCATTCTTCTAGGAAGAGGTCTCTCCCTGTGTCAGGAGGTGGGGGTAGCTGGGGGGTCTGTTGGGTCTTTGCAGTTGGCCACGCACCTCTGTCACCCAATAATATGCGTCTAAGTTCTGTGTGAACCTGAAATGTCGCAGCTCGTGCTACAATTTCTCATTGTTTCAGTTAATCATTTGTGAGAGTTTATAAGTTTATCTTTCAGTTTATCTGTATTTATGATTGATCTTCAAGTCGCAAAGCTTCCAACCCCAGAATTTGAAGCGTTTTTTTACCTCATACTTATTGAGGTAAAGAACTGGTGATCTTGAAATACTTCAGTATGCCTAGGAACCCATTATTTAAAGAAATCCTTTGTATGAAAATTCTGGGCAAATAATCACCCTGAATGTATCTATTTGTTTATTTGAATTGGGGTTGAGAAGAGGGCCAAGCTGGTAGATAACTCCTCTATACCCTGTCACATCGTGGAAGGTGACTCAGTCAGAATAAGTCTTTTTTCCGAAGAGCAGAAGGAGCAGCAAATACTGTTGACTGAGGCCAGCCCAGTCTGCTGACAGACCCAGCACTAACCAGTGCAAATCTTCATATAGGGCTGTTCACCAACAAGCAGCCCCCTATAAAGAAAGAGAAATACTTTTACAAGTTGGGGGAGGAAGGGAGCAGCTATTCATACTCCATTTGATGGACAGATCGCCCAGGGCTGTATCTTGGGCCCAGAGGAGAGTGGCTGAAATGAGAGCAGTACCTTTTCCTGGAGATGAAAAGCTATAGGCTCTGAGAAAATTCTTTTCAACAACCTCTTGGAAGTTTTCTCATTCATTCAGTTGTGCCCTAGGTTGTGGGGCAGACATTTCTTAGTTATAAGATATCTTTGAATGTGGTTATAGTTAAAATCTTAAGCCTAAAAAGTAGTTTCTTGAGTTTTACCATGTTGCCCACAAAACAAACACTAAGGTGAGGCTGGTGGGTCTGAAGACACAGGAGTCCCGAGGTGCAGCCAGGGTCCAACTTTGTTCACCAGCTGTGTGGTCTCAGGAAGGCTGCTTGACCTCCCTGACCCTGGTCCTTAACTAGTTAAATGGAGACAATACCCTTCGTTCTTCATACATCACGGGTCGATTGTGTAGATGACAGGCAATAATGTACCTGAAAGTGCTTTGGAGATACGCTAAGTGACACATAGCTGTGAGGTCTATGTGCAACATGTGGGAAGGAGATTGGGGACGCTTTAAGGGAATTGTTCTTTGTGGAACATTTGGGTGAAATATGCCAGAGTTACCTAGAACCTCATTAAATCAGTCTTGCTGTAGAATCTCAGTGTTTGACGGTAACGTGAAGTTGACTTAAGACACTTCTGGCATCAGCTGCCTCTACTAGCTGGCTTCCCCCATTCCACTGTCACAAGGCCAGACTAGCACATTTTACATTTTTTTATTCCTTCTTTGTTTCTTTAGATACCCATTATCCCTTAGTGCTAAATAGGATATACTTTCTTTTACAAATAAAAATGAGTTAAATAATTTTGCTTAATAATTTCATATTATACTTGGAGTAATCCTTGTTCAGAAATTGAAGCTATGTAGCTGGGAATCATTGAAGTAGACAATAGTTTAAATGTTAACAGATATACACTATCTTACATGGATGCTATTTAATATTAAAATGCAAACTCTTGATGAAGCAAGGAATAAAATACTGGTTTGATTTGGGATTGCTTCAAAAAATATTTGGATATTCCAAGAAAAGAGTTCTGGAAGAGGCTGTCGATTTTCTCCTTTTTTCCCACGTCATTCTCTTAGTCTCTGAGAAAAGCTGCATGCTGGAGTAGAATAGAAAATGGACTTTGGGATGCAGGAAACTGGGGTTCTGGTCCCAGCTCTCTCATCTACTGGCTGTGATCGTGGGAATGTCATTTAACTTCTCTTGGCCTCTGCTTCCTGCTTCCTACTGCACTTTCTTATAGCTAAAACATTCTGTATTTGAACATTTAATTCATGTGTTAAATTTCTAAGTTCGTATTTGCACTTCGTTTTTTGGAATTGGAATTAAGTTGTTGGAAGCAGTTTTTTGGGGAGTGGTCATTGTCTGGTTGAGTTCACATTCCAGGGACAAAGGGCCATAGTCCCAGACTTGTGACTGGGCAAAATTTCTACCTGCCACAGGTCTGCCAGTGCTGGGCTGACCTACACAAGCTGACTACCTTCTCTTTCCTTATCTTTTTTTAGAACTTGTGATCCCAGACTCCGCAAATGTCTTTTATGCCATGAACAGCCAAGTGAACTTTGACTTCATTTTGCGCAAAAAGAACTCCATGGAAGAGCAAGTGAAGCTGCGTAGCCGGACCAGCCTGACATTGCCCAGGACTGCTAAACGGGGCTGCTGGAGCAACAGACACAGCAAAATCACCCTCTGAAGGGAGGGACCAGTGGCCCCTGCTTGCCAAAGGCAGAGTGGGGCCAGAACAGGCCGTGGTGATTGCAACTACCATCCAGTGTTAGAGAATCGTTGGTGAAGTCAGCAGATATTTATTGGGTACCTCTGGTGTGCAAGGCACTGTGATAGGCATTGTGGGGAAATCAGAGATGAATTTGACATGAAAAAGATGAACGATTCGCTGATTCTCTTTGACCTATTTGAGACTGAAATGAAAAATTATCCACATTTATAAATATATATATGTACACATATTTGGTGTGTATGTGTATGTATATAAATATATGAGGGACTTACGGGATATTCTGGACTATGGAGAAACAAATTTGCACAATGGCCTAGGAAGCTGAGGTCACTTTTTACAGGGAAGTAGAAGGAACTGAGAACCTAGTCTCATACCTTCCAGGTAAATGTAATCAGTCCTAGGAATCCAGAGTGTCCTCTGTGCCAGTATTACAAGAAGTCCAAGCTATTTTTATAAAGGGAGAGGACTACTTTCTCAATAAAGTGCCACCAGAAAAGAACAACCGCAGAGGCTGGAACTGCCACGGCTGAATGAAAGGCCACCTTGGAAAGGGTTTGGATGAGCCGGTGGCTCTTGACCTCTGTCTGCATCTGCCGCTTTCTGCTGCCCCAGGGAGGGCAAGGAGGAGCTTCCGAGGCTCGTCTGCCCACTGGTCCAGCCATCACGACACCTCTGGAGTCAACACAAGCCCATTTGGATTTCTGGCCCCCGCATTGTGTTTCTGTTCTCCCCGCTAAAGAACATATCACAACCATTATTGCACAAACAGCTTTGTTCTTTGGTAACTTATCAGCCAGAAAAGAAAGCGCAAAAGAATGATGACTCAGTGGGACTCTTCTCTGTCTTGGAATGCCACTACTTCATTGCCTTTTTCAATTGCGTTTTGCATGGAAAACTGTGTGTCTGGAGTCTTTTGCCATCTGGACTGTAGTGCCTCTATATTATGTGCAATTTGTTCCTCAGGTGTAGAAATTCCTACTGCGATTGATTATATTTGATTATTTTGAGCCTGTGAAAGATTTCTGAACAGTGATTGCTCTGTTAATAGCCCCTCGGAAGGTGTTCCTTGCTGATAGCAGCATCCTATTTTACTTATTAACTTTTATAGCATTACTGCGCCTGTTCATGGGGAAAGAAGTGGGGCTATGTACATGATCTAAATCATTTCTAAAGAGGTACATTCTTCCAGATGGAATCAATAACATTTTTTTTTTCTGGTCCCCACACTTGTTCTCACAGTGTCACTGTTAAGTGACATTTTTGTCTCTAGTAATCCCGTCACCCTCTCCCTTCCAAATTTGAGCTGTGCTGAACTAAAAAGCCATATGTGGGATGTTGACATGGGTAAGAAGCACTTTCAGAATGTTGTCCTTTTTAAGAAAAAAAGTCTCAAAATACCAATTTTTATTCCAAAAATAAAGAGAACAAACCCAGATATAAAGTGCAGATTGTAGCATGGAGGGTTTCTTTTCCCCCTAATCCTGTAAGACAGCTCCCAAAGGTTGTGTGAGATTTGTGTTATGTAAATAGCCATATGAAATCTGAAAGAAACACCAGGGACCATTTAGAGATTTGTGGCAGTGGACCAAAGAATGAGCCAGGAGGCCCTCCAGTGTCCTTTCATCTTCCTAGGAGATCAGACTGCGCATTGTCAAGACTGGGTTTCAACTAGTCGAAGAGCACTTTGTCCTGTTTCGAGGCTTGTCTGATCCGTGCTTCTGTGCTTGGAGGAGAGATGGCCTGGGTGCTAGACATCATGGAGATTGAAGTAAATGTACCCTCAGCCTGAATTTCTTGGTTTGAAAGTCAAAAAGAAAATATAGAACTGCCAGCGTGGTTTAGGTTGTCACCAAGACATAGATGTTGTGCCCATGTGCCCGCCCCGTGTATTTATACTGTACATGTAGAGTCTAGATTTATATACTGCAATGTAAAATATATATATATTTTCCTTTTTTAAAGACAATGGAAATTCCAAGTAGATAAAACATAGCCTCATTTATTTAATGCCACTTTAAATGTCTTAAATTTGATTCCTGGTGGACAGCTGGGTAATGCTTTTAGCTGCTCGCATGCTTGTCTTTCTGCATTTCCATCATCTGTTTACCTTTTGGTTAAACTAATAAACTGGTTTGGGACTTGGTTGGCATGTGCTGCCAAACCCAAAGGGCTTGTATCTGGCGTATTCATCAGGTGGGTTCTGGGTGCCAGCTACGTCAATAAGCTTTTTGGAAGCCCCCTCTGGCTTGCTTGGAGGGAGAAGAGGGAAAGCCAGTGGCAGAGTTAGGAGGGGATCCTCTCCACTGGCAAGTATCAGGAGCATTTGGGGGAAAGAATGACGTCCTTGGGAAACGGCAGTAAGATATGATGCCTTGCTAGATTGCTATTCTTAGGAGTCAGGTGGTAGTGGACACTTCCTATAAAATCTAACAAAGTTAGGATCTAAGGTAGTTCTTTGCCTTCTTTCTGACAGCCTTTCCCCCAGTCTGCAATTGTTACCATCTGTGTAATTCTAGATACCGTCCATGGTGCTCTGGAAGCAAGGAGTTCCTCCATGGAGAAAGGAAAGACGGTCTTCCCAAAAGGCAGTCAGACTGAGGCACGCTTCACGCAACAGATGCACAGTATCGTCATTTCATCATATTGTTTCCCAAAGATCCACAATTATTTTCCAATGGATTCTTAAATGGGTCTAAATTATCAAATTTTCTGGACTCATGTGGGATTTTAGAGAAAGCCAAGTAGGTGATTTAATAATTGATAATATGAGGTAGCGCAGGAAAAAGGATTTCTATCTTTGGCACTAGGTGACTGTTTTTTCAAGATCATTCTAGATAACTCGTTCCCTTGTTTGGCCTCTGTCTAGAAAGCTTGGTGACTTTTGGCCTGAAGGAATAATGTCTTAAAATTTGCTTCTTTGGAGCCTTTGTAAATTTGCCATGCCGCATCCACTATTAAGAGGCATACAGTGTTGCTCTGTGCCCGGATTTCAGTGCTACAGAGAAACTTGCCTGATGCCACTCCTCTTTTTCTACAGATGCTGCTGCAAGGGCACTGGTTACAACCTGTCTCCACAATTCCACTATGAGAAGTTATTTCCATTGTGTTTTGCATTGCTGTTTCCCCTGGAATCTCTCTTAAAATGAAATACTTCTGAAAGGGATGTATTAGGCTAGGTTAGTCTAGGCTGAAGTAACAAACCATGAGATCTCAGTACTTTAAGACACAGAGTTTTATTTTTCCTCATGTCATAGCATAATACAAATCAGGCAGCTCTCCATAGTGACTTTCCTCACAGTGGCTCCAGGATCCGGGCAGTTCTGTCTTGCAACTCGACCATCTCAGGTTTTTCCTGCAAGTCACAGTGATGGTAGAGAGAACTCCCAACTGTCCCAACTGCCCTAGACCGAAGTGCCAGTGGCCATTAGACAGCCCATGGCCTGGACCTAAGTGCAGGGGAGGTGGGCGGATGCAGGGGAACACCTGAGTGGTTGATGAGCATCACTGTCCTGCCACAGAGCAGGTATGTCTTCTGACTAGGGTGCACGGGTTTGTTCATCTTTCCACAGTCATCAAAAAAGTGTTTAGAAGAGAGAGCAGTAAGGTCTTGAGATGGGGGCTGCAGAGAACAAAGGCATGGTTGAGGAAGAGAGGTGCTCAAAGGAGGAGAAAATACCAGAAAGAGTAATTTGGTCTAGAATTAGCCTTACAGATTTTATTTTTAATTTTTCGCATGCAGTCACCACCAATTTCCGTGCTTCTAATGTGGTCTCTACTTTGACTACTCTAGGACTACTGTACAGATGTAGTTGTATGTCAAGTTAAAAAAAAAATCTAGGAAATTTAAAGTGTTTACACATAAACCACAAGATCAAATGGAAACCAGGCAAATTTAATTATTTTAGATTCAGAATTTGCAAACCACTATTTGGTGTGGTTTCACATCTCTACCCAGAAACTGTGTGGAAGCAATTCATTTATGAAACAGTTTGAGGAATCCAGTGTATTTAATATTTTCTTAAGAGTTGGAAGGCATCTCACAAATCATGTAGCCACCCCCTCATAGTACAGACACGAGGCTACAGCTGGGAGCAGTCAGTCAATTGCCCGAGGTTAGGGGCAGAGCTCTGAATCATTGAACCCCACTGTGGCCTGTGACACTGGGCTGGGCACTGAGTCCAGGAGACTTTCCTGAGAGAGATTCTTCGTGGAGCTGGCGAGAATGCCTGTGGTCTGCTGGCTCCCTCCCCAGCCTTCCCATCATGTGAGTTCACACAAGCTACCTTGGTCAGATGGGCATCTGATTGGTTCTTTAAAGTCTCTAAGGAACATTCTGCTGCAGGTCAGAGCACCATTCCATCTCACAGATGAGGAAACAGGGCCATCAGGATCAGGATGACATGGTGAGTTAGCTCCCAGCTAGGATTTGCATCCGTTTCTGGTGCATGAACTCGGCCAGCCCATGAGGGTGCAGAGGGTGCCTGGGGAGAGCCTCCTGTGAAAGGCACCAACTGAATGAGGAATTAAAGGAGGAGTGGATGCAGCTGGGGCTCGGATGCCGTCGAGAGTCAGGACCTCCCGGCTCAGCCTCTTTGTGAGCCAGTTATCAGTACCCGAGTACTTTATCTAGGCTTCTCGGAAGAAACCATTTCCATTCCCACCATTGTTTAACCCCAGTGCAACATTCTGTGCTACAGTTCCAATTTCTTACGCAGAGTGTACCAGTAAATCAAGTTAAAAAAGAAAAAGCGAATGATTTAATCTGTTTCCGGATTGCTCCAGCCATTAAAAAAAAAAAATCATAGCACCAGTTTCAAAATAGAATAGGAGAAGCATTCTAAGTGAGACTTAGCCTGCCCCAGACGTTTATTTCTGATCCCCGTTTACACAATATCTGACGCCCAAGCCTCTAGCAAAATGTCACCAGAGAATTGTCTGATCAGCTGAATAATCAATATATGAACTTTCATACGGGGAAAGTAAACATGGGGGCTGGAGCTGCAAGCCCCTAGATAGATCAGGCTGTGTGTGTGTGTGTGTGTGTGTGTGAGAGAGAGAGAGAGAGAGAGAGCGAGATGGAAACCCTAGAAGTTAGTGAGAAAACAAGAAATGAGACAGACTATCCCCCAGGAGCTGTGCATGGATGTGGTCAGCATGAGTGGGATCGGACTGCCTAGGTCTGACTCCCAGGACACTTACTACCTTAGGCAAGTCACTTAATTCAGCTATTGCTTCATCTGAAAAAATGGGCATTAACAATAGTTCCTCCCTCTTGAGTGTCATGTACGCAGTACGGTGAAGAAAGCACTGTTCACGTTGGCGCATACTCTTGACTTAGCTGCTGTACTCCTGGAAAGCTTCTGGCCTAATGGGAGTCATGTCTTCACAGAAGCCCCCCAACCTCCCTCCCCGCCTGAGCAGCCACACGGGCAGGTGTGACTCTCAGAGTGGGACTTCAGGTGTGTGAACAGCACCCTGGGAGGATCCAGCCTGCCACTGCTGTGGGGAGAGATGGAGTCCCAGGGTTGGAGGGCAGCCAGGGCTCCCGTAGCTCATCCTACAGCCGTGGTCCAAGGAGGCGCATGGGGAGGGGCGTGTGGGCCCGGCCAGGCTGGAGGGTGGACACGCACCGGACAGGCTTTGACAGAGGGGCCAGCCGACGTGAAGCAGCCCTGACCGGGCTGGAGCCTCCCTCCCCGAGCCCGGGCTCCGTCACCACACAGAGCTGGTGTGATTCCCACGAGGGCTCCACCTTCTTGGATTCCCGCTGCCATTAGGGAGGGACAAGTTTCTTACCGGAAGCCCCGCTCCCTGCTCCCGTGTCCTCCCTCTTCTGTGTCCACCTGGAACCTGTATCTTTCCCAGCAGGAAGGGGCTCTGTGCTCAGACGGCCCCTTTCGAGGACAATTCAGATGCACGACCTGGAGTTGCTGCTGTGCCACCGGCAATGGGGGCACCAGACATCCCACCCGTCCCTTTGCAGGCTGTTCAGCTCAACAACACCTCAACCTTTCACATCGTTGCAGGTTTGCAAGGAAAAAACAGTCACTTTACGGACCAGGCGTTGCCAATTCTGTTCTAAGCCTCCCTTCTACTACTACTGTTCCCTCTGGTCCCCTCCCTTCTTTTCCAGCCTGTGCACCAGCCTCACTTTCTCTGCTGATGGCCAGCCCTGAATCTGTGTCTTCTCCCCCTGTTCTGGCGCTTCTCTCCTGGGCTCTGTGTGCTGCGCCCTGGAAGCCACCTCTCGCCTCTCTCCTCAGATTCCCTCAGGCCTGTGCCACTCCTCTGTGCCCTCACAGTCAGCTCTGTGCAGGGTGTCCTCCCTGTGCCCAGCCTGAACCATCACATTCCCTTCAAGTCTTCACAATCGTGCTAGCAGTTTTCAAAGCAGTTAAAACCCGCAGACCACACCATCAACACTTAGACATCTCGACTCCTGGCTAGGGGTCTTCTCCAAACGGCCAGTTCTCTTTTGGGAGAGGACACTCTGTCACGGATTATTTTCTAAGCTTATCTGAAGAACAGAGAGAGAGGGCTGTCCACTACACTTTGAAAATCAAGTTCTCCCATGAGCCAGAGCCCAGACATCTGTCCAGCCTCCCTTAGAACGGGAAACGCCCAGAGGAGCCGCCTCTGGACCAGGGGGGAGCTGCAAAGCTGGCGCTCTGCAAGGCCCAGAATTGTTCAGACGTGGAGATTTTATTAAAACACCCATTCCAGAGGCAGCCAAGCTGAAGAAACTACAGGGAGGGGCATAAAAATAAACCCAGTAAATTAAAAATAAAGAGAAACCCATCCTCAGAGGCAATTCTTCATTCTTTCCACCCCTTTTGAGGGCAGATGGGAGGATAGCTTTGGGCTGGGAGCAGCCCAGCCGGTGTCGCAGGAGCAGCTGAGCAGGGATCATCTCAAGTATTAGTACGTGTACGGGTGGAAACAAAAACAGGCCATTTTAGATGTGTTAGAGCAGAAGGAAGTCATTCTCCCGCCCAATGACAAATTTAAATGGAGCCTTTCCACTCTTGCCTTGGAATCCTATTGAGTGTTTAATTGTTCTGTCAATAAAGTCTTCCTAAAAGCTCATCTAAATTCTTGGTGTTGTAATTCAAGCCATTTCATCTTGTTCTGCGCTCGTGATAACCGGAGGCACCATTTTCTATGTAATCAATTGTGATACAGTTTGCGTCATAAAACCCACCATCATTATTTCTCTCTTTTCCCACCAGGCAAAAGGACTTACTGGCCACCACTGGCCAGAATCTTTGTCCTTGTTCCAGCTGCCCTGTGTTGACTTAGGGCTGCCATCAGCCTGCTCACAGGGAGACCCTCTAACATGGAATTGCCATCTCCTCCTGGCCTTCCTCCCTCGGCCACATTTAATCAGAACATCTCTAAGGGAGGAAGGTTCTCTCTGAAATAATAAACATCACCACAAAACACAAATATGGGCGTGACGATTATTTCTAAGGCTGCCTGCTCTTAGGTTTCTGACTATGTCACCCATGACATGCTATTTTCTTACCAAATGACCAGCTTCATTTTAACTCTCACCTTGTCATTAGTTAACTCCTCAGGGAATTAATTTCTTGTCGGTCATGGAGATCATTCCGGATCATTTCGCTGCCACTCTGTTTACTTGGAAAGAATGTTTCAAAATCACATCGTAGAAGACTCTTGGGAAGACTCATCTTTTTTTACATTTACTAGTTAGAGTGATTTGTAGCAACCATAAATGAAAAGATTCCCAAGTTTGTAGCTGAATGGGAACTTTTCTTGTTTTAGACACAAACATTTTACTAGAAACCTCTGCGTTGTCTGTCAGGAAAGTAACCAAACCTAGAGTTCCCACAGGAACAATGGCCTCTACATTCATGATGACATAGTCCAGAGAGGGAGGGTAGCCGACTTACCTTGTCATCATTATTGGGTCTCAAGTCTTGTTTCCTGGCATCAACCCTGTTATATCTGTCATAAGCATTTCCTGTCATATCTGACTCTTCAGTCCTACCCAGTTCCCCATCACTCTCCAGGAGGCCCTTTCACAGTCCCACGCCTTCGCAATGCCTAGAAAGCATTCCCATGCACCGTGCCCAACACTCCTCCCTCTTTGAAACTCCCACTCCTGTTCCAAAAACCAACACAAATGTCACCTTCCCAGCAAAGCTGCCTCAATAGTCCTCCTCAGCAGAACTAGGTTCTCTGGGGTCCTGGGGTCCACTTTCTTCCAGCCTCTGAAATAAAGCCATCCTGCCTGCATGGCTCCTCCATTGGACCATGGAGCCCACGGCAGTGGAGACCTTTCCTAGCCCTCTGAGCCTCGCAGTGCCCAGCACAGGGCCTGCAACAAGGTGCTGCTCACACCTGGTTTTTCAGATTTGGGGAAGCCTGATCTGAAATTCAAGGGGTCATTGAGGCCAACATGGATTCTCTCTCCCCCCAAGCCGGGAAAAGCTCTTTGGCCATGGACAAGCATCTCAGTGTCTTTTCATGAACGGATAGACTGACCTATTGCACAAAAATGAAACATGGACCGTCTATCACCACCCAACCACTGGGGACTCCTGACTTTCTGCAGCCTGGAATCCCTTTCAGCATACCCACATCTACCCAGCAGTCTACAATAACCCCCACTGGACAGGAAGGTCAGTGACCAACCTCTTGCTTGCCATGGGGATCATGCAGCAGTGATGGTTATCTCTGGCCTCCAACATCCTTGGTCCAGTGCAGACCTGGAAATTCCAGTAGTGTTGGCAATTGATCGGTGTTGGAAGAACCAATGAACAATCATAGCATTGAGCTGATTTTTTTAATTTTTCAAAAAGAGCTCTAGAAGGCAAGTAGTTTATCACTTCCCCACCCTGAAACGACATAGCATGACAGACAGTGTAGGATGCTGGGATGCTGGCTGTTTCTTGTTTTCCAGAGTTCCTGCATCAGTCTCCGGGGAACCCAAAGCAAGGCCTGGGCAGTGTGTCCTCTGCAATTGCAGATGCTCAGAACACTCAGCAGCACCAGCACTGCTGAAGTTGGGGGTGTCTGTCTAGAAGATTCTACCTTGGATCCCAAGATCCAGACAGGGATCCAGATGGGGAATCTAGATGGAGTTTAACTTCCAGAGGCAGAGAGCAGGTGGTATGGTCAGAGACAAAGGCCTCTGACACTGCAAAGGTCAAATGTCTTGACTGAAGACCAGAGGGGAGGCAGGAAGAATAATGAGGTCAAGGAACCCCTGGATTGCTGGAGAGGCGACTGTTTAAAGAAATGCTAGGTCCGTAGTTCACGAAGTTCACAGCAAAAGAACACTGCTTGGAACTCTAGACCTGAGCACGGAGAAGCAAGGGCTGGGCTAACAGAGCCAGAACTTTATTCACAGTAGAACAGTCCTAATCTAAAATTCTAGAATTTAAGAACAATATCTTCTAAAAATGAGAATTCATAAACCCACCAGACCAGCTGACAGGGAAAAAGGAAAAAAAAAAAAAATGTTCTCTTTTAAACAAAACCACACAAAAATCAACTCAGTCTTCCTCTACTCCCAGTACCCTAGTCACCTCGCACCCTGTTAAAAAAAATCATGAAAGTCACACACACTTGCACACACTCAAATATGCAAACAACACACAAAATACCCAAGGAAATCTTAGGGATCACCTAAGGGTTTTTCACTTAGCTCCCTGGATGCTCTTTCTGGTTTTCTAGAAGAAAAAAGTCAAGCCCTGACAGCGATGTCTAAGCAATAAAAATTGGAGTCAGCTGAGGTCCCTTTCCTCGGTCTCCTGGCTTATTAGTCAACGTAGAAGAAAATTAACAGTAAGTCAACAAGGGAGGCTGAGGCGGGTGTTCTCGGAAGGCGAGCTGCCTTGTTGTCCTGCAGCCTGGGGTCGTCACTGTGAGCACTAAGCTTCCTACACGCAGCAGCCCTCCCCATGGGCTCTGCTCCAAAGCAGGAAGCTCAGATTGTTGGGTCTGCAGAGCCTGACATTGAGGACATCGAGGGAGGAGAGTGTGTATTTCTCCCCTGGGAGGGTACTTCTGGAGGCAATTTACTGCTTGTGGGCATGAGAACATAAACCTGAAGCAAACCATCACAAGGTATCTGAGGATCACAGATTGTGGAGCTGCATGAGATGATGTCGTCCAACTCTGCATTGCACATAGCATCAATCTATGAAGAAAGCAGAGGGGTTGTCTGCCCAGAATCCTGACTCCAAGAGCTTCCCTGGTTATTGGCCTAAATCTGTTGATCAGTCCACTGTTTCTGACCAAGGTCTCTCACCTGAAATGGAGAATCATTGGTTTCCAGATGGTTGTCTCCCATTCAACAGGCCTTTCTGCAAGAGTCAGGCTGGGAAATGCAGGAGAGCTAGATTGTTGAACCCGTGTCTACACTGACCACTCCTCAGGTGCAATGAAAGCTTGAAACATCTGTTTCTCTATCTTATCCTACAGCTGTTTCCCCCACATTTTGTAAAATAAATAATTCAATATAGAGTGAAAAACCCAGGCAAGGACAGTTGCTGGCCTGAGAACGCGCTCTGCCTCTTAACAGTGACTCATAAAAGTCACACCTGCGATTCCTTCCCAGGCTGAGGGGCAGGGGAGAGTCTGACATGCTGCAGAGGCGCCTAACCCGGGGGACAGCAACTACACACCAGCCCTAACCCCTTATATATTAAATTTATCTTCATAAATAGAGCATCCTAACTCAAGTGACCACAATAAAAAAAGGTCAAAGTTTGAGTTCTTCTTTCCTCAAATATCTAAACAAACCCTCAAATATAGACTAAACTCTATCCACATGGCAAACTTTATGACAGCTTCAATTGCCATGAGAGTCAAAGGCCAAGACTCAGACAGACCCAAATGCCCATCCCTGTTGGATAACGAGGACAAAGAGGAAAAACTCACTTCGAAATAAGGCTCATGATAGAATGCCTTTAAATAAAAAGCCCAATTAATTTGATTTTAAGTGATTTGATTTTTCCCCCAAACTTGTTAGATACACAAGTTTTCAAGGTCACATCTGTGACATAAAATGGGCCCACCAGACCAACAGATGTGGTCCAGTTGGCTTGGCTGCCTTGCTGACCCATTTATTGATGTGACAGCATGCTGATCACCTTTCTCTTGGACGAGAGTCTGAGCCATATTGTTCAACCTTCATGTGGGAACCAGTATCGTCTGGATAATGAGCTGAAGGACTAGGTGTCTGGATTGGGGTTTTTCATAATGGTTGCCATAAAGTCTATCTTCTAGCCATCCTAAGAAATTTGGGTTTAGTTTCCCTATTCTCCTCCTCTGTCAGAAATACATTAATTTTGATCAAATTAGACCACTTAGATTGGATGACTGTGACCACGAAAAGAAACTGGAGCAAACAGATGAACAGCCCATTAGAAAAACCAAAGGGTGGTGACCGCCCCTGGAGCCTTCACAGCTCATCCCTGGAAGGCACGGTGTCTAGGGAGGTTGGTGACGGCAGGGCCTCTGTGTTCTTGGAGTTGCGGTAGATGCGACTTTGCTTCCGGGACTTCCAGGAATGTGTCCTGTCCCAGTCAGTGGCCACTGTCTCATTGTCCCAGATGGTCGAGGTCTCCGTGTCACTCAGATACCCCGGCTGGCCTGTGTAGTGTGTGGGGTAGATGAGCAAGGGTTCCGCGGAGAAGGCTTTCAAGTCCCTGGACTCGTAATACTCCTTGTACTCAGCTCTGAAAACAAGAGGTGTACACGTGCATGAGGGAGCAGATGCTTACAGAGCAGGGGAAGAGCAGAGGGGCCGTGCTGGTTATCTCTTAAACTGTCACAGATTCATTTGATGATGATTATTATTTTTGATGAGGAAGATTGGCCCTGAGCTAATATCTGGTGCCAATCTTCCTCTTTTTGCTTGAGGAAGATTGTTGCTGAGCTAACATCTGTGCCCATCTTCCTCTATTTTATATGTGAGACACCGCCTCAGCATGGCTTGATGAGCGGTGTGTAGGTCCGTGCCTGGGATCCAAACCCATGAACCCTGGGCCGCCAAAGCGGAGCACATGAACTTAACCACTACACCACTGGGCTGGCCCCTCCATTATTATTATTTTTTTTTTTTTAAGGAAGATTAGCCCTGAGCTAACTACTGCCAGTCCTCCTCTTTTTGCTGAGGAATCCTGGCCCTGAGCTAACATCTGTGCCTATCTTCTTCTACTTTATACATGGGATGCCTACCACAGCATGGTGTGCCAAGCGGTGCCATGTCCACACCCAGGATCCGAACCAGCGAACCCTGGGCCGCTGAGAAGCAGAACGTGAGAACTTAACCACTGTGCCACCAGGCTGGCCCACCTCCATTATTTTTTAAGTTGTATCCTTTGTGGAAAACTTTTGTCTAGAAATACGGTAAAGCTTTCTTTAGAAGCTTTCAGATTGTCTAAACAAACACAAAGAAGAAGGTCAGGGTATTCCTATTGTATTTAGACAGATTAGTTTAAAAAAAGAATCTCAGGTCTTGTTCTAAAAGTTAAGAATTAAGTTCTGTTGGACCATAATGATAAATAAACGTGATCACTTTTTAGAAAAATGCCCTGTTCTGGATTAATAAATTAGACAGCTGAGATCCGGACCGCAGCGATAGGGCCAGTGAAATGGTATTGGCTTGGAGGCATACCACCTCCACCATCCAGCCTAGGGTTAGGGTTAGAGTCAGAGTTAGGGTTAGGGTTAAGTCCAGCTCCCTGTGAGTGTAAAGTAGAGGGATGGCTTGACCTTCCTCCCAAGGCTCCTGTACAGATTATATGAGGCGACATCTACTTGGCTTCTGGGTCTGTGAGTGCATCATAGGTGTTAATTTCCTTTCTGTTAAGGGGCTGATGGCTGACCTCCATGTTGGTGCCAGGACACAGAGATAAAGTCAGTCTCTGACATGGTGTATAAAAGAGGGTGAGGAGCTCCATCTTTACTGAGGACAAAATGAGCAACATGCAAGACAGGAACTCTCAACACTAAAATGAAGACCTTCTAGTGAGGAGATCACCCAGCAACTGAGAGAAGGAGCCAAGGTTAGAACCTGGTATCCTGCTCCATTAATGAATTTAGGAATCACTGATTGAGCAGATCAAGGTGTAGAGTTTGGACCAGGATCTAAGGACATGGAGATGTAAGACTGTTCCTGCCTCAGGGGCTCACAGGTTATTGGGGAGACTGACAGGTAAGCCATCAATTGCCACACTCTTTGGTGAGTGCTAGGTCAGACTGAACTCCTGGGCTATGGGAACCCAGAGCACACTGTCTTCTTACATGGATACCCTGCTCAGAGGCCACCTCCGCTCTCCCTGAGCTTCTAACACATCTCTGTGACGGCAGGTATCACAATATATCACAATGACTCTTCACGGGTCTAGGTTCTTGACTAGATTGTGAGCCCCTGCCTGGCCAACGGTACAACAAATAGACTGAAAAATCAACTGAAAGCTCTGAGGTGCTTAGGAAGATGACCTTCACCTTTGAGGTGTATGAGTTTATAGAAGTGAGAAAATCAAAGACAAGGGGAGGACTGAGCAGATTATGTCCAGTTAAACTACACAATGGGCATTAAAGAAGACCCCTATGCAAGACTCACCATTTCTTCCTCATCTTCCCCTTCTGTAAAAGGGGATAATCACTTGAGTCAACCTCTCTGGGTCATGATTATGGAAAGATCATTTAGGAAAGCAGTACACCTTTAAAAAATATCAAGCACTACTCAGAATCTGAGTAGCATAACTCATGAACTGGGCTGTGCCCAAGGGACAGACAGGCAGTTCAGGGTGACTCACACAGGATGCTTATTGTACATGATAGGCAGAAACTCGTCCACTGGCAGCATCTTCCCAAAAGGATTGGCTCCAACCAGCTTCTGGGCTCCTTCCAGAGAGATGACATAGCCCAGCGTCCAGTAGGAATAGTCAGCTTCGACCAGATTTACCACATTGGGCACTGCTTTCTCTGGCTCTTTTACTTGCATCCTCTTCCTACCAATATAACTGAAAGAAATGGGTGGGGGAGAAAAATTCCAACTGGAATATTAGACAACCATCAGAATGGAGTACTGCTTTGCAGACACTTTTGAAAGCCTGGACCCACTGTGTCTTCTATTAAAAGCACCACACCACAAAGAGCATCATATCGCCAACCATGACTGTCATCTGCCATCAATGTGGCTATTTCCCCACCTCCGTTTATCAACATCCCAACTATTCTTGCCTAGCCAACTGTTCCAGCCTAAAAGTTAAGATGTAGAGAGATTAAAAGATCTTTCAGATCATTTCCCAAAGATGGTATGGGATTTCCAGCTGTGTTTACAAGGTTGGAAGGGCACAAAAAAGGCCAGATGTGAGAATCCTGAGTTTGCTGTTTTCAAGTCCCCAGAGTTTCAGCCTTCAATGTTTTCTGCACAGCTCTGCAAATGCTGGTGGTAAACACAGGACAGAAAAGACTGTGGGAAAGAAACAGTCTGCAGTAAAAGACTTGGGAACCCCAGAGTGGCCCCAAGGGGGTTCCTGGGGAGAATGAATGACAACGCCTACATGGCTTTCTCCTCATCACATTCACCCAGCTGTGCTCACGCTTCCTCCCGGGTGCTCCGTTCTAAGAAAGGCACCCAGGCACATCCTGTCCTCCATGAACAACTTCTGCAACACAGGATGTACTCACAACCATCCCCACCTTCCCCTAGTCTACTCACGGATCTGTCATCCATTCCTTTGGTCTGGAATCTGTTTGTTTCCCACTCGCCTAGAGCCAGTTGAGGAGGTGCCAGATTCCTCTCTGCCAGGTAAAGTCACTTCCTTTATTTTGCCCTAAAACTATCTCTTTCAACATTCAAGGGATTCTTCCTGTCAAAACATCCCAGGATTTGTAGAACAAGTCTGTGTTCACCTTAAGTTCCTCTGAGGACATCAATTATACATCCTCTTGGCCACTGTCTCTTTAGACTAAAATCTGAATTTCTCCCATGTACCCCAAGTGGAGGAGAAACTCCTGTTGAGCACATGCAACGTGGCTAGACTGACTGTGGAATGAAGTCTGTACTTAACTTATTAATTTTACTTAATTTAAATGTAAATTTTAAAATTGAAGATGCGTAAAATATTTTTTCTGTTAAACAAAATTTATTGTTTTGTTAGGCCTAAGTTTTCTTCAGCAGCTGAAAATTTAGCATCTGGATTGAGAAGTCATAAGTGTAAAATACACACTGGATTTGAAGATGATAGGAAAAAAGAAGGTAGACTATCTCGCTAATAGTTTTTAAATATTGATTACATGTTAAAATAATAATATTTGGATATGTTGGGTTAAATAAAACATTTTTAGGTTAATTTCACATAATTTATTTTCGTTTTTTTGATGTGATTACTAGACAATTTTAAATGATGTATGTGGTTCATGTCATTTTTCTATTGGACAGCATTGCCCTAGATGATTCCAATGGCTTGTTCTACTCTTCCCATTTGCTAGTTCTTTTTTCTGGAGAAATTTAGTAATGTAGCCATGGACAGCTTATCAGCTTTCATGTTTTGGGTTTAAGTAGCACTTGTTTCTTATTCACTTTAGAAAATGAGAGGTAAAAAATTTGAAACCCCTATAATTTTTTAAGATTGTATAATAGATTTCAATGGAATATTTTGACTTGATCAGTATGTGAAATTGAGGAAATATCTTTTTTTTTTTCCTGTATCCCTATCAGGACAGTCATTCTCCTTTCTTGGATCTGTTAGTACTTTGTCCTGTGAAATGAACCAACCAAACGACAAGTGGACAGCAACATATGCCGGTTCTAAGCCATAGACTCCTTGAGTCGAGTCCTCTGTGGCTCTCAGGCTTAAGAGAAAGCTGCCTTTGCACATGTCACATGAGCATAAAATAGCTTCCAAGCTCCGTGACTGTGAGGCCTTAATCACAGGCCACAGAGCCACAGATTCAGAAAGGCTGAGGTGTGGTGACTTCTGGAGGATTATAGGAACAAACAATGGTCTTAAGGGACAGTGCAGAATCTAATCACATGACTGATATATAATAAGAAGCTAGGGCTTTTATTACATTTATTATTCTTATTTCTCTTTCTATTACATAGTACTGATTTCTGGGTCTGTTTCCCATGGGTTCGTTGAGCCATCGCTAGGTTTCTTTTGAGCTGAGAATGGTACATTTTCTGAGAGAGTAACTATCCCAGCTGGGCCCGTAGTTAAGGTCCCCTCTGAGGAGGGGACGGGTAGGGACAGCTTCTCTGCTGCAGCTGCTCCAAAGGAACAGGCTCTCATTTGATGGAGTTGCCTTTGACACGCAGCTGGGGAGAAGCATAATGCTTGAGACCTTTCGCCCCATTGAAGAGAAGTAAAAAGTGTCATTTTGGTTTAAAAAGAAAATGAGAGGAAGAGGGAGAGAGAGAGAGAAAGAAAGAGATTGAGAGAGAGAGAGAACTCAATTCCCAGAGGCAGCAGACAAGGAGCATTAACTAGACGTCAGTGCAGAGCCAGCGCTCCCTTGGTGAGCCTGGTCCTCCTGTGACAGCCTCTGACCCTCCACCAAACCAGCTGCCAGCGTTCCCCTGTTTGCACAGCTTCCATTCCCAGCAGAAGTTTTCTCCCCCTGACCTTCCAACCTCTCACACTCTCAGGGGCTGCAGAGGGAACCTGCTCTCCTGGGAGCTGAGGCTCAAGTATGACACAGGACTCTTGCCCTTGAATGAATGCCTCCTCCTCTCTCTCTCCATCTCCTCTATGTAACAGGTTGCCTCACAGGTGGGATTTCTACTGTGCTCCCAAGTGAGTGCTCAGTCTGGAGGCCCCCGATCTATAGGCAGACTCCAGGTCTTTTAAAGAATCTCCCATAGTTTCTTTCTCACACTGTAGAACATATAGATGCAAAACCCAGTGGCTATCCTCTATGCACTTCTTGTTTCTGGGAACATTTATGGAGTGAAGAACAGGTAAGTGGGGGCTTGAGCTGGGGAGGTGGGGCTCGCTGCCCCTCGAGAAGGACTGAGTGCCTCTTGGTGCTCTCTGATAAGCCTGTCTTGTCACTCACATCAGTTCCCAATCCAGCTGAGCACGGTCAATGTCATCCATCAGCTTCATCAACTTCTTCTTAAACTGATGTTCAAAACGCACATCATCCTCAATAACAAGAGTCTTCTCCAGCTCTCGGTCAATTACCTATAAAGTTCATCAGTGGGAAGACACCCTATGAAAAGTTTGGTACTTATTTTTTATTCAATAAGTAAGTATTAGAAAGCTGAGGGTATGCCAGCACGATATATAATAGCTTATAACTGGAATCTAAGAAAATCCATCAACAGTGGAATGGATAAATAAACTGGGTTATATTTACAGCAATGAGAACATATGATTTACAATTAAATGCAACGGTATAGATGAATCTCACGAATGTAATGTTGAGAGATTGTACATACCAGATGGTCCCATTCATATTAAAAAAGGTACAAAAGTAGACAAAACTATTGTGTGCTGTTAGAAGTCAGGATGGTGATTATCCTTGGGGACTAATGACTAGAAGGAAATACAGAGGAGATGCTTCTAGGGTGCTGGTAACCAGTTTCTTGATGTGGGTGCTGGTTAACATGGGTGTATTGTTCAGTTTGTGAAACTTCATTGGCCTGTATTTTATGATCTACATACTTTTATACAAATCTATTACATTTCATTTAAAGTTGAAAGAAAAAAAAGATAGGCATAGCCTGGATCATTCAAAGAGAGAAGGCATTCAAAGGGCCCTTCTTAGGGACTTTTTCTTTTCTTATGGGAATTGACCCTTAATCAAAAACCCCACACTCCAATACCACTCCCATCAATGTCTGGTCTGTAAGACATGGGTTCAAGTCCTGCCTCTGCCACTTCTGGCCTGGACAAGATATTTAATTATTTCCTCTCGTGTAAAATGAGCCCACCCTTCCCGACCCACCTCACATGACTTATGTGTGACATCTTGTTTGAAATCACTGAATAAATGATGACATGCTAGATACATACAAGGCATTTCTACTAAAGATGAGAATGTATCAACAGGAGTGTGGCCTCCAGAACACCGGTATGTTCCCCTGTCATCATCCCAAGTGGCACCAAGGCTACCCTTCCTTGTTTGTTGCCTGCCTTGTGTCAGAGGGAGACATGAAGCAACAGCAATTTCCAAGCACACTTCTAGAACAGTTATGGGTTCACTTTGTGTCTGGCCCTAATTCACCTACAAAGTCCCACTCTCCTTCCTCCTCGTTACAAAACCGCACATCTAAGTAAAGCATTATTTACCTCTTTCCAGACAGAGTAGTGGCTAAGAAAGCAGCCAATTTCACCCCGGGTTAGAGGCCTAGAGGAGTAAGGATCTCGGTATCCAGGCAGCATTTCAATATTCAGGGCCTTCAGCTGGCTTGTGTTGAGAGCCCTGCACGACAGAGAACATGTCTGAAAATTAACAAGTTGAGATGCTCCCACCATAGAAGCCAGAAGAGAGCGTTCTGCCTTTATGCACGCTGAGAAAGACTTCTCAGCTTTCCCATCATTCCTTAGGAGTTCCTCAGGGTTAATGTGTCATGGCACCATTATGAGCTTTGTGAAGACAAGAGTGTCTTATATTTTGTGTATCCCTCACAATGCCCAACCCTCACAATGCCCAATGTAGTTTTAAGTATCATCAGTTTTTTGGCAATTTTGAAAAAGTATTTTCCTAATGAAGGAAAGTGGTTAAGAGGAGCATTAAACACTGGAAGGGATAAGGACAGGAAGGAATGAGGAGAGGAATTGTGTGTGTGCATGCATGTATCTTTGGACATAAATGTAAAAAGAAAAAAAGGTTAAACACAAAAATAGCAGAGAGAATCTTGTAAGCAGCAAGAGAGAGGTGACTCACCACATACAAAGTTTTCTCAGTATGATTAACAGCTGATTCTCATCAGAAACCACAGAGGCCAGAAGGCAGTAGGTTGACATACTCAAAGTGCTGACTGAAAGAGACTCAACCAAGAATTCTATATCTAGATTCACTACCCTTCAAAAATGAAGAAGAAATGAAGATACTCCCAGATAAACAAAAACTGAGAGAGAGTTTGTCACTAGCAGATCTGCTCTACAAGAAATACTAAAGGGAGTCCTCAGAGTGACATGAAAGGAAACGAGAGAGTAACTCACTTCCACGTAAAGAAGAAGCAATGCTAAATGTAACTGCTTAGGTAAATATAAATGACAGTGTCATTGGTTTTTTGTTTATAACTCTTTTTTCTCTTTTCTGATTTAAACTATAGTTGCATGAAGCATTAATTGGAAGTCTGTGTTAAAGGGTATATAATGTATAAAGAAGTAATTTGTGTGACCCCAACAGAACAAAGGAGAGGGAAAGGAATGAAGCTATAGAGCAGCTCAGTTGTTGTATACTGTGGAAATTCAGGTTTTTTTAATTGAGATATAATTGACATATAACATTATATTAGTTTCAGGTGTACAACATAATGATTCGATATTTATATATTGTGAAATGATCACCACACTAATACTAGTTAACATCCATCACCACACATAGTTACAAATTTTTTTTTCTAGTGATGGGAACTTTTAAGATCTATTCTTTTAGTAACTTTCAAATATGCAATATAGTATATTAGTTAATGATAACTATGGTCACCATGCTATACCTTAGATCCCCATGACTTATTTATTTTATAACTGGAGGTTTTTACCTTTTGATCCCCTTCACTCATTTCACCTATCCCCCGCAGCCCGCGGCAACCACCAATCTGTTCTCTATATCTACAAGTTCAGTTCTTTTTTTCTTTAGATGCTACATATAAGTGAGATCATATAGTATTTGTCTTTCTCTCACTTATTTCACTTAGCATAATGCCTTCAAGGTTCATCCATGTTGTCACAAATGCAAGATTTCAATAATATTCCACTGTGTGGATAGATAGATAGATAGATAGATATCACAATTTCTTTACCCATTCATCCAACAATGGACACTAGATTGCTTCCATGTCTTGGCTATTGTAAATAATGCTGCAATGAACATGGCGGTACATACATCTTTTTGAGTTAGTTTTTCTGTTTCCTTTGGATAAATACCCAGAAGTGGAATTACTAGATCATATGGTAGTTCTATTTTTAATTTTTTGAGGAATCTTCCTCTGTTTTTGATAGTGGCTGCACCAATTTACATTCCCACCAACAGTACACAAGGGTTCCCTTTTCTCCACATACTCTCCAACACTTGTATTTCTTGTCTTTTTGATAATAGCCATCCTAATAGGGGTGAGGTGATATCTCATTGTGGTTTTGATTTGCATTTCTCTGATGCTTAGTGATGTTGAGCACCTTTTCATGTACCTGTTGGCCATCTGTATGTCTTCTTTGGAAAAATGACTATTCAGATTCTCTGCCCATTTTTTAATAAAATTGTTTGTTGTTTTGCCATTGAGTTGTATGAGTTCTTTATATATTTTGGAAATTAACCCTGATCAGATATATGATTTACAAATATTTTCTCCCATTCAGTAAGTTGCCTATACATTTTTTTGATGGTTTCCTTTGCTGTGCAGACGCTTTTTAGTTTGATGTAGTCCCACTAGTTTATTTTTGCTTTTGTTACCTTTTCTTTTGGTGTTAAATCCAAAAAACCATCACCAAGACTGAGCTCAAGGAGCCTACTTTCTATGTTTTCTTCTAGGAAGTTAGTATTAATATGAACTAGATTGCTATAAATTAAGATGCTAATTGTAATCCCCAAGGCAGTCACTGAGAAAAATAACTAAAAAATATACAGTAAAAGAAATAACAAAGGAGTTAAAATGATAGAGTAGAAAATATCTTTTTGAATCAAAAAAGCAATAATGGAGGAATAGAGAAACAATGAAGATGTAAGACGTATAGAAAACAGCAGACATAAATCTACCTTATCAGTAATTATTAAATGTGGATGGATTAAACCCTGAAATCGAAGGCAGAGCTTAGCAGAATGAGTTTTTAGAAACATGATCCAACTGTGTGCTGTCTGCAAGAGACAGATTTTAGATTCAAAGATGTGAATAGGTTTAAACTAAAAGGATGGAAAAAGACATATCAGGTAAACAGCAACCATGAGAGAGCTGGAGGAGCTATACAAGCATCAAACAAAATTTATTACTAGAGACAAAGAAGAACATTTTCTAACGATAAAAGAGTCAATCCGTCATGAAGACACAATTATAAATATATATGCACCTTACAATGGAGCAAAAACATGAAGCAAAAACTGACAGAACTGAAAGGAGAAATAGACAATTCAAAAATAATAGTGGGTAGGAGTTGGCCTGGTGGCTCAGTGGTTAAGTTTGCACATTCTGCTTCAGCAACCCAGGGTTCACTGGTTCAGATCCCGGGTGCAGACATGGCACCACTTGGCAAGCCATGCTGTGGTAGGTGTCCCACATATAGAGGATGATGGGCATGGATGTTCGCTCAGGGCTAGTCTTCCTCAGCAAAAAGAGGAGGATTGGTGGTAGATGTTAGCTCAGGGCTAATCTTCCTCAAAAAAGAATAATAATAATGGGAGACTCCAATACCCTACTTTCAATAACAGAAAGAACAACTAGGCAGGAGAACAACAAGGAAATAGAAGACTTGAACGACACTGCAAACCAACTTGACCTAACAAATATCTACAGAACACACCACCCAAAATACACATTCTTCTCAAGTGCACTTGCAACATTCTCTAAGAAAGACCATATTTTAGACCATAAATATCATACAGACCATAAATCAAACCTCAGTACCCTTAAAAGGAGTGAAATCATACAAGTTATGTTCTCCAACCACAAGAGAATGAAACTAAAAATCAGTAAGAATAGGAAATTTGGAAAATTCACAAATATGTGAAATTAAACAACACACTCCTAAAGGAACCAATGGGTCAAAGAGGAAATCACAAAGGAAATGAGAAAATATTTTGAGATGAATGAAAATGAAAACACAGCACACCAAAACTTACAGAATGCCCCTAGTGCAGTACTTAGAAGTCTAGTTATAACCATAAATGCCTATATTAGCAAAGAATATCTTGTATAAATAATCTTGTCTTCCATTTTAAGATACTAGGAAAAAAGAGCAAAGTAAACTCAAAGCAAGCAGAAGGAAGAAAATAATTAATACTATAGTGGAAATAAGTGAAATAGAGAATAGAAAAGCAAGAGAGAAAATTGACAAAACCAAGTGTTGGTTCTTTGAAAAGATCAACAAAATTCATCAGAAAAGGCATTTGATAAAATCCAACTGTGTACGGATTGAATGTTTATACTCCCCCCAAGTTCATACGTTGATGGTGTTAGGAAGTGGGGTCTTAGGTCACGAGGGTGGAACCTTCATAAATGAGATTGCTGTGCTTACAAGAAGAGACATGAGAGAGCTTTCTTCCTCTCTCCACTCTGTGCTCTCCGCTATGTGAGGGCACAGCAGGAAAATAGCCATCCACAAATCAGGAAGAGGTCTCTCACTAGAATCCAGCCATGCTGGCACCCTGCTCTCAGACTTCCCAGCCTCCAGAACTGTGAGAAATAAATGTTTGTTGTTTAAGCCACCTGGTTTATGGTAATCTGTTATGATAGCCCAAACTGACTAAGTCACCAACACCCTTTCACAATAAAAACACTCAACCAAATAAGAATAAAAGAGAATTTCCTCAACCCGATAAAGGCCATCTGTGAAAATTCCACAGTTAATATCAAACTTAATGTTGAAAGACCAGATGCTTCCCTGTAATATTACAAACAAGACAAAGATGTCTACTCTTACCACTCCTGTTCAACACTGTACTTGAGGATCTAGCCAGGGTAATTAGGCAAGCAAAATAAATAAATGATATACAGATCAAAGAAGAGGAAGCAACAGTATTTACATTTGCAGATGACATAGTCTTGTATATAGAAAATCTTAAGGAATACACACACACACAAACACACACACACACTGTTAGAACTGATAAATGAGTTCAGCAAGGTTCAGGATACAAGATCAATACAAAAATCAATTGTATTTCTATATACTTAACAATGAGCAATCTAAAAATGAAATTAGGGAAACAACTCCATTTACCATAGCATCAAAAAAAGTAAAATACTTTGGAATAAATTTAGCAAAATAAATGCAAGAACTTTACACTGAAACTATAAAACAACATTCAAAGAATTAAGGAAGACCTAAATAAATGGAATGATCCCGTGATCATGAATTAGAAGACTTCATATTGTTAAGATAGAAATACTCCTCCCAATTGATCACCAGATTCAATGCAACTCCTATCAAAATCCCAGCTGCGGTTTTTGTGGAAAATGACAAGCTGATGCTAAAATTTATATGGAAATGCAAGCGACCTAGAATAGCCTAAACAATCTTGAAAAAGAATAACAAAGTTGTGGGGCCCGCCTCGTGGCCGAGCGTTTAATTTTGCATGCTCTGCTTTGGTGGCCCAGGGTTTCACCAGTTCGGATCCTGGGTGCAGACATGGCAACACTCATTGAACCATGCTGAGGCAGCATCTCCCATGCTACAACTAGCGGAACCCACGACTAAAAATATATAACTATGTACCAGAGGGCTTTGGGGAGAAAAAGGAAAAATAAAAAATCTTTAAAAACAATAAATAAATAACAAAGTTGAAGGGCCTACACTTCCTTACATACAAAGCTACAGTTATCAAGATAGTGTGGTATTGGAATAAGGACTGACATATACATCAATGGAATAGAATTGAGAGTCCAGAAATAAACTCTTACATTTATGGTCAATTCATTTTTGACAAGGGTGCCAAGACAATTTAATGGGGGAAAGAGTAGTCCTTGTAACAAACAGTGCAGGGATAACTAGATAACCACGTGCAAAAGAATGAATTTTGACCCCTACCTCACACCATATAAAAAACTAACTCAAAATGGATCAAAGATCTAATGTGTAAGATACATATATATATATACAAGAGAGAAAACTAAAAAACTCTTAGGAGAAAATACAGAAATAATCTTTGTGGCTTGAATTTGGCAATGGGTTCTTAGATATGACACCAAATGCATAAGCAACAAAAAAATATTAATTGGACTTCATCAAAATTAAAAACGTTTGTGTTTTAATGGACCCCATTGTGAAAGTGAAAAGACAACACATAGAATTGGAGAAAATATCTGCAAATTATGTATCTGACAAGAGACTTCTATCTAGAATATATAAAGTACTCTCACCACTCAACTAGTTTCCTCTGGTCCATGTGGCCTATGAATGGGATTGGGGCTCTCAGGAGTATTTGAAGCAGTGTTTCCAAACTCTAGTGCACCCAAGAATAGGGTCGCCAGATCTAGCAAGTAAAACATAGAATGCCCAGCCAAATTTAAATTTCAGATAAACAATGAACAATTTTTAGTATTAAGCCCCATGCAATATTTAGGATGAATTTAACTAAGTGTCCTATATTTTATGTGGCAATCTTACCCAAGAATCACCTTGAGGCTTCTTAAATGCAGGTTCTTGGCCCTAGCTCTAGAGATCACGATTCAGCAGCTCTGGGATGGCACTCAGGAAGCTGCCCTCTTAACCAGCCTCTGAGCACACTAATGTGGGTGTCCAGGCCATGCTTTGAGAAACATTGATGAGATTCTCTAAAGGAATCACAAGAACTTCCACAACAGCTTCTAGCCATACTCCTTAGAGCCATTCATATTCCCAACTAACATAAAACATGGAACTGCAGGTTTTGCATAAATCTATGCCTTGAGATAGAATGTCAGATAAAAGGGCAAAGCAAAACAAAGTAACAATGACAGCAATAACAAAAATCTTTGAAGGAATCCAACTGAGTATCAGTGTGACTTTCCTGCCACATTCCCAGGAAAAGTGATCAGCCCAGGCAGACTGTAGCAAGCATCTTATGCAACAGGATACACAGACTGTTATGCATTTTTTCCATTTATTTTCTTCAGGTCGCCCAAGTTTAGACACTTTGCTCTAAATCAGGCTCTGAAGGCTACTCTGAACACATTCCTTCCAACACATTACAGAAAGCTGGAAACCACCACAACCACTGTGAGAACTCCCAGAGACAGGGGAAAATCACTTCCAGTGTGAGCTTTCAGCATAATGAAGACAAGAGATCACTGAATGATGAGTGGATTTCAGGCCTGCTCTACCTGGTGAATTAACATATACACTACTGTAAGTCATAAAGTTTCTCCCAAAGTAGATTTCTCCCAAAGTAAGTACAAGTAGCTATTGTAAAAACATGTCTATCTTCTAATGACTACAGATTCCTCCCACCCAGGACTAAATTTCTCTCAGAGAGGGCAAATCCCCGCTCCAACCACATCTTCAAGGGTCTGAGAAAAAACCCGACTCACTTTCCATCCACAGCCTCGACAATCTTGACTTCAATCTCCTGCTCGTACAGCGTGCGTAACATCCGGTCCCGTCTGTCCTTTCTGCGCTTGAGGTTTATCATGAAAATCTAATGCGGGAAGGAAAATGGAAAAGAAACACAGATGATTCAAGTCTTATTTTAGGCTGTTTGAAAAGTTAAGTAAACGTAAGCACCAAAGTTTTAGTTAGAATAAGGAGTGGAAAAGATAGGGAAAACTGTGGTGAAGATTTGTTTGTGTTTCATATCAGGCCGAAGGATATTCGTCCAAACAGAATTACTTTCAAAACTGAGCCTTTTGCAGCGACTCAACTCTCTCCTTGTTTCTCTGATTGCTCGTTGATGGACATGTTTGCCCTGCTCTTGAGATAGGAAAGTTTAAAAAGTTACTCTTCAGAAGGCCAAAGATGAATTAAACCCCAAACATACAAGACTAAGGGGTAGGAGGCAGTTGGGCAAGTGGTTAGAATTATCAGCAGACCTAAGTTCACGTCCTGAGTGTTACTTACTAAGTGTTTGCCTTGGACCAATCCCTATGCCTCAGTTTCCTCATCTGTAAAACTGGGATAAGACTGGTCCTATCTCACAGGTTAAATATTAGCCATTACTATAGTTTATATCCACTGTAGATAATGAATGATAATGAATGTTAAAGTCATTCAAAGGATAAGAAAAATCTAGTCTCAACAGATTCCCTTATTTTCAAAGTTTCCAAACTGAATTATCAAGGTCTCCATTTTAGTAGCTTCTTTGCCAGAATTCTTCAACTCCCTTAGAGATAAGGGAATTTTTCTGAAAGAAGTAAAGAGAAGGGGCCTTCTCCTTGGGGGGCAGCCCTTAGGGGAAGGGAGAAACGGAAAGGCATGATTTCCACATCATGTGGATCCGAAGGAAACCCTATGTAGAGGACACCTACAGGTCCATGAAGATCAGAAAAATGTGCCTTCGGATTTGTCCCCATGAAGGCTGGGTCCACCTGCAGCCCCTCACCTTAGCCCCTAAATTCCTGATGGCGGCACTAAACATACACATATCGTGAGGCCACTACAGGGAGTTACAGACAATGAGGCTGTCCTGACTATGTCCAGATTTAAGGAGACACAAGTGCACCTAAGGTCTCATAAATGCCATTACAGGTAAATAGGTGTTTTAATAAGGTCCTTTTGCTACGAGCAGTAATAAACTCACGTCGAACATTAAACTAAGAGAAGGAGACTTCAGCTGCCAGCAAGAAATATTGATGACACATAGCATGGAAAAGGAGAAACCTACAGGAATGAGTTGTATGACGTTGGCTTCATCTTGACATACCATCTAGATGACTTTGAGGAAGATGTTTAACGTTTCAGGGTCCAGTTCCCTCGTTTGTAAAAAGAGGGAGTTGAACAACCTTATCTCTCAAGTCCAGTAAAGATTGAAAGGTCTATGACATGTGGCTTATGGTAAAGTTTGCTTTATGCACTGTCCAGAATGAAGCAGAAACTGTCTTATAACCAGCCTGGAATTTAGACTTTACTGGGGGCTAAGCTTTGGTTCGCATGGTCATTCTGAATGTAATCATCAATATTTTATATATTTTACTGGATGAAAAGCTGCACTAACTAAAATTTTAACCCTTCCTTACAAAATATTCTCACTTTACAATACCCACTTTATAAATATCCATTTATGAAGCTCTAGGCAAAGAGACTGATATGGGAGCAAGATGTCTTCTTTGAAGAAATCATCCACCTGATGTAGGGCAAAGTGGACTAGGTGCATGATGATTTCATCACCTCCTCTGTTTACCTAACTGGGTAATTATTTTTTTTGAAACAATTTCTGTGGTCACTCTATTTGCCTTGTTACTTGGGACTTCATAACTTAATAGGTTATATTCTTTTATATTTCATTTTCTTCCTGCTTAGAATCCTACTTTGATGCACCAGGTTCCATCTCCCAGTTTTACAAATATGGAAAGGAAAGTGCATGTCCTCATGCAGACATATGGAGCTACCTGAGGTCACTCCAGGAGAGCAAAAACAAAACAGAACAAAAATTAACAGAAATACAACAAAAAAAAAAGTCCACTCAAACCAGAGACCTCTGGTCTGGGAAGACTTTAGTAAATAATAATCCAGTCCCAGTTCCTGCCAAAACAAGTGCAATAAAAAGTTAGCCATGAAGGAAAAACACAGACGGCTTGCTCCATACTTAGTGAATAGTAAACAGAGAAAGAGCCACACAGTCAGTGCAGCCCAGACACCACAGCAAGGTCATGGGGTACTGGGAAGGTTGAAAAGGCCCCTGAAAATCCCTTTTTCCACCATCCTATCTCTGTTCCAGACAGAGAGATGATTATCTAAGCTCAGGAGAGTAGAGTCTCTGTGCTGTGACACTTCCTAGAGCTGGCATGTCCCGGGAGTGACCCAGTCCTTATGACCACATCCAAATGGAAGACCAGAGCTGGAAGATCTTGGCTTTGTCTCATTTTATTTGCTTTGGTGTGGTCCTCATCAGAACATGTTTATACAAGGAAAAATGGATACATGTAAAGATACTTGTGTTCTTTTATCTAGAGAACTGAGAGCTGATGAGAACTGCAGAGAAAGGAAAGCTACAGTCATACACGAAAGCTGGTCCAGCTCATGGTGTGGGCCAATCTTTCCTGCAGCCTTGATCATTTTTAAAAATGATTTACTCTTTAGTCTAATTCCTCTCTTCCACGCTTAAAATCATCTCTTCTCATTCTGCCTTCTGCGGAAATAGCATAATAGCTGTTAACTCTTTTCCACTTAATATTTATGAAATACTCCTTCCCATTCCTGAAGTCCAGCTCCAAATCAACTTTACAGACAAAGTCCCAATTCCCGGTCCACTAGCTCTTTAAGATGGCCATACTTTGGGGACATGTATTATATGGTACAGGCTAATAGACAAGGCATTTTCTCTCAATGCAGCAGGGGCAATGAGCACAGGGCACAAAGCTTGGCCTATGACATATCCAGAATCCATGGAAAAAAGTCTATCTCAGTTTGTGGATTCCTGAGCACTGTCCTGGCCTCTAGACCACCCAGCTCCTGAATACTGATCAGCAGCTACATGACATGAGGGACTCATGAAGGATTCAGTGACTTGGAATACAATTCTGGCCCCACCAAGCGTCTGTTGTATTACCAAGAGAGGCATTTCTTTATATTTCTGCTTCATTCTTTATACAATTGAAACTTAATAATGAATGGCCCTCAGAGAGCTATTATGACGTTGTTGCCTGCTGAAAGGCAAAATTTTAGAACAGGTTTCTTTTTTCTCTTTTTCTTTGTCTTCTCAAACCTGGCCTCCAAACTTTTTCCATGGAAAAACAGCAGAGAGAAAATAAAGCACAGAGTGTTCCAGAACGGTTTCCACCCACTCAAAGTTAAAATCCTCTAATACCTAATGCATATATCTTCTTTACCCTTGAATCTTGATGAAAAGGTTGATGAAATGTGGCAATATCTACTCTTAGAATATATCAAATTCACTTTCATGACTAAATAGCAACTTCTCTCTGATTCAATGATTAATTCACTTTTATCACGATGCTCCTCTTTTAAGATAAGAAAACTGAGGCACGACAAAAAACAAGTACTTCACCCAAACCCTTAATGCATTTTCAACAGTCAAGCCAGTCTGGCTCTCAGTGGATGCTCAGGCTTGTGTTCCCATTAAAAACATACAAGCATGCTGCACGCATGCATGTGCACACACACACATTGACACCTTTCCTACCTCGTCAAATCCCATCTTGTCGGGATATTTAGGGACAACTGAGACAAACTGGGAAGGTTCCATTGGAGGACCATCAACTGGAAGACACAAGAAATACGCAGAGTGCTTTGTTAGGGAAAGAGTCAGAGAACAGAATTGCATCCACACACCCGATCTCTAGGAACACAACCTGGATGAGCAGAGCGGGGGATGACTGCTGAGCAGTTCCCCAGGACTGAGTGGCTACACAAGAACCCTCAAGGTCAGGGCTCTGGTTCCCAGAGCACTTGTTTATACGCAGATGGCAGAATTTGCTCCATTTCCCTTAAGACCTATTTGAAGAGTATTTGGGAGGTGGTTTAGGGTAATGGTTCAGGGTGAGGGCTCTGGAGTCAGATGATCTGAGTCCAGGCTTTGGTCTATAAAGGTCTGGAACAGTTATGTAACCTCTGTAAGCCTGTTTCTTCATGTGTAAAATCAAGTTAAGAACTGTATCTCTTATTAAATTTATATAAAATTTAAATGAGACCTGCATGCAAAGCACTCATAACCTAATAAATGCTCAATAACTTTGTGCTATTATTTATGGTGGCCCATGATGAAAGAGCTCAGAAATAGGCTAGACTTTTTCTGAATAATGCTTTTTTCTATACACTTAAAATTGTCAAAGTCTGGGAATGATTTTAATCCCATCCAGGCAGGTTTAGCTACAGGAACACAAAAGTCCTTTAATTTAACCCGAACTCACCTTTGAAAGCCAGCCCATGGACCAGGAGTTAGTACAGGGCTAACACGCAAGTTTCCAGATGTGAGGGACATCGCATCTTAAGCAGTAAAAATTTTATTTATTTGATACTCCAAAAAAGCTTTCTTTACAAACTACTATATATTTTAATCGTTGAATGCAATGTTGATTAAAGCACCTGAGAAGGTCTTTAAGATTTTTGGTACTGGAGAAATTCAAAGTACTTGTTTGGTTTTCCTTAAAGGTAAAATGCAAAGAAAATTTTAAATGGGAGCTGGTAACTGGGTTGTTTGTATCAGCGATGGCCATTACTACTGTTCATGAATATCCATTCTCCTCTATTCCAGGTACATGAGAGGAATACTTTCTTGCCCTTGAAGTTAGTCGCGGTCGTGTAATTTGCTGGGAAAGCTTTAAATTGCCGCCACTCAACTCTCCAAACCCTCCTTCCAGCCCCACCCCAGCCTCACCACAATGACCATAGTAGCATATGTTGATACGTAAAAACCACGAATTTGGAGCAGCCTAGAATGATGTGCTAACAAATGGAGGGCGGCTGCCCAGGAAAGACGCCAGGACCACTGCAGACTTTGCACAGCAAGAAATAAGCCTTTGCTGTATTAAGCCAATGAGATTTTGGCACTATTTGATATCCCATCCTACCTTTGCCTGTACTGACTAAAATACTGTCCTTTCACCGGGATATCAAAGAGAAACCATGACATCCGGTTTCACAATGATCAGATAATGTGAAATTCTAGAAGATGGTGAGACAGGTTTCCTAAACCAAACACAAGAGTTGGTCTCATTACTTCAACCTCTGACCCTTGCAGTCACATTTCTGTGAGTACACAGTGCATGTGTTTCTGTTTCCATTAGAGGCTCATTATATTTTGGTCCCTTCTGCTGCATCCCAATTCTCATTAATTTCTTTTAAAATCAACAAATATTGATTGAGAGTCCACCACATACAGGGTTAGGTTTTTAAGAGAAAGAAACTTAACATACAAACTCCTTCCTGTTCATAGTGTTGTTTGAGGAGCTGTCTCGCTCTCCCTCCCTGCGCCCCCTGGGAGGGGGTTATATTCTGAGTTACCCTTTCCAGGCTGTTGGTCTCTGGCACTCACAGGGCCTGCGTGGCTTTAACGTCTCAGCCACAGAGACTATTTTTAGCCATGCTGCTTCTCTCAATCATGGGCAGTCATTGTGTTCACAGGACAAGTGTCCCAAAAAAAGCCACAAGGGTCTGGTTCCTGAAAGCTACCATTGAGACAAAATATGAGAAGTGTACCTGGGTTTTGCCACTGAAGGCAGAGCTAAGCCACAGGGAAAAACAGGAAGTGATACAATGAATCTGACCTAAGAAACTTACCGTGAAAGGAGAAGGGATATGTCTTTGCTGATGTCACACTTGAAGGTTAGGTATATCCCAGCTTTTGTTTGGGGTCATTTCTGACTCCATCATTCATATTTTATTTAGTCCCTCATTGAATCCCTCCCTATACATAGCCCCTCCCTGTACACTACTTGGGACATGTTCTTCCTTGGCTCCTGGATACTTTCAAGATCTAGGAATAATAATAATAGCTATTGTTGTAGAGATCTTATTACTCACTGAACTCTGGGCTATATACTCTTGATGTATGTAATCACATTTATTTAATCCTCACAACATGAACCATGGGATAGGTATGAGGTTTCCTATTTTTACAGATAAGAAAACAAAGGCTTAAACATCTTGCTCAAGGTCACAGAGCTGATAGAGCTGGTATTTGAACCTAGGTCTGACTCCTGCATGCAAACCCTTAACGCTACTCTACCGTGCCCCAAAGCTAGTCCTTGGTAGCCATGGCCTCAAGTTGGCCTTGGGCAACTGGGCTGGGTTTACAGTAACTCAGTTAGCTAAGTCCTTGCCCCTGGGTGACCATCACTTGTGGCTCTTTCTGTGGTCTACACTGGAGCATACACCATCCAGTGTACAATGCACCAGCCCAGTCATGCCTGGAAAAGCATTTGAGAGATTGTGTTTGGACCGAATCCTAACACTTCTTCTCTACAGTTTCTCTGGAACTTCTTCCACTGCTGCAGCCACCACCCTAGCTCAGGTCCTCACGCACCATGCCTGGGCTGTTTTAATATTTTTCCAACACTTGTGTGGTCTTAGTCTTGCCTCATTCTAGCTCATTATGCACACGGTTGTCAAAATAATCTTGCTCAAGCACAGTGCCGTTCTTGGCCATAATAGTTATGCTCAACAGTTAGGTGCTTTACAATTTGTTAAGTGCGTTCATATTCCCACACCATCTAATCTTCACTTTTTAGGGGGGGAGGGGTTGTTTGTTTTTATAGATGAAGAAATTGAGACCAACTCAGATGTAGACTTGCCCAAGGTCAAAGAGTGATTGGTTGGCAGAGCTGGAACTCAGTTTTAGACCTTCTGACTTCAGATTCAATATTCTTAATAATCTCTGCACGATGATTTGTTGCTGAGAACTGGCACCCAGGATTTCCCACCACCTCATGCTTTGACTTGCCAGACCAATTTCCTCATGCCTCACAATGCATTTACTTCTGTAATTTATAAGATCTAGGCTTCTGTTATTCATCCCCCAAAGGAAGCACATCCCCAAATTTTCTGTACAGCTCCTAGTGTACTAAATGAGTAAGTACATGTAGAGTGATAGGCACAGAGCTTTTAATAAATGTTAGCCATTGCTGTTATACGCCATCTCCCTCCACCCTGACTCTTCCACTCTGATCTCTGAAACTCCAGTCTGCAATTCATAAAATCCCAGACATTTCAGTCCTCCACTTTTTCTGAATATCTCTTTGCCTTTTTGTTTCAATTAAAACTTCATTTTCCTTTGAGGACACTACCTCCCTTTCAGCTGTCAGAGTGGAAGCTGATTTTTCTTACATCCCCCAACTCACTCCAAACTGTCTTTCATCCTTCAAAACCCTCAACTTCTTTGAAGCATATTTTAGCACCTCTCTACCTTCTAATCATGCCCCCTCAGTCACTGATGACTGCAATTTCTGGCTCACAGTCTCACTGTCCCTGTTATCATTCTTAGAAACCTCAGCATCCACATGGTGATCCATTCAACAACCTGGCTTCTAGGTCCTTGACCTTGGCACCAACATTCTTTCAGCGATCCACTGCCATGTCTGTATCTTCCACACCTTTCATGTCCCTACTTTCATGGGTACCCAACCTGGATTTCATGGTCTAGCACTCTAACCATCCCTTGTAAATGTTCTTAAGTACCTCCTATTGATCTCGCTTGGTAAAACCCCAATCCTGGTTAAACTGACTTGTCCAGTTACTCAATGCCAAGAAGAATACTACAAGAGAAGTTCACACAATTGTGTTGACTGAATCACTTCCAAATTACAACAGATGTCAAATTGGCACTGGATACTGCCAAATGATCCAACTATACTTCCATAGTAAATTTACTTTCCCACTTTCTGAGAAATATATTTTACACCTTGTCCGCTCTCCTGGAATCTCCAACATCTCTCTTGAGCTGATGACTAGACTACACGTATCATAGAGAAAATATTCAAAGTCAAATTAGACCTACCTTTCCTGTATGCCTCTAGTCCACCAAGCCAACTGCATTTGTATGTACACATTCTGCCTTGTCAGCTGCTAGAGTGGAAAAAGTATCCCTGTTCCTGTCTAGGACAACGTCTCCAATACCGTCCTGGGTTACAATGCCTCTTGTTTTCTCAAGGACTTCAGTCTTACAATTATCTTCTCTTCTACATCATCAAGTTCCCCTCATACATTGGATCCTTCCCATCAGCATACAAACATGCTAAAATCCTATCTTGAAAAAACAGACAACACGAAAAACAAAACAACCTCTCCCTTGATCTCTCACTGCCTTACAGTCACCATCCTATTTCTCTATTCCCCATCCCAACAAGATTCCACTCTCTCATTGCCCTTTTATCCTCTCTTTGGCCCAGTCCAATGGGCTAGTGTCCTCATCATCGCACTGAAGTGGCTCTTATCAGGGTCATCACAGATCTCTATCTTGACAGAACCAATGGTCAATTCCCTATCCTCATTTTATGTGACTTCTCAGCAATATCTGGCTCCTTCTTGAAACACTTCTCAATTTTTCCTTCCAGCTTTCTGGCTGTTCACCTCCCCAGGGATCTGTCCTCCTCCCTCTCCTCTTCTCTTTCTATGTTCTTTCACTAAACAAGTTCACACTGTTCCATGGGTTCAAATATCGTTTTAATGCTGATGACTCTCAAATGTCTATCTCCAGCTGGAGTCTCTTCCCTGAACTCCAGACTCAGGCATCCAAATAGCTCCTAATCTCTCCTTTCAGATGTCTAACAAATATCTTAAGCTTACATAATCAAAACTTCCTTTCCCAAATTTTTCCCATGAAACTTTTCCCATTTCATTAAATGGCATACCAGGCCAAAATCCTGGAGTCATCCTTGATTCCTTTCTTTCCTTCATGGGCTGCATCCAGGTCTCTGTAAGTCCTGTTGGCTCTACCACCAAAATATATCTTAAATCCACCTGCTTCTCATCACCTCCTTGCTACAGGTTGCATCCCAACCACCATCATCTCTCACCAAGAGAGATGTACTGGTCCCCCTAAACTCTAATCTCCACACCACAGCCTGAACGATCTTTCTAACTACATAAATCCTCCTCCCCAATCCCACATGGAATCTCATTACTCTAAGAATAAAATCCAAATTCTGTCCTATGGCCACAAGGCTCTGCTTGATCTGGACACTTCTTCATCCATGACCTCATCTCCTTCTACTCAACTCCTCATTCTGTATACTCCAGCCACACTGGCCTTTTCTTGGAGCACCCAAGCTCCTTCCTAATAGCCTTTGTATGTGCTGTTCTTTCTGCTTGAAACACTCTTCCTGCAAATATTCCTGTGGTTGCTTCCTTGATATATTGTCTATCTCTCTGTCTTGGCATATAAATTCCTTGGTGGCAGAGCTTCTGCCACTTTTGTTCACTGCTGTATTCCCAGCATCTTGAACAATCCATGGAACATAGTAAGTGTTTAATCAATGACTCTTCTAAAATCTTCCTTATCTTCACTGCTTTTAGGATGGGCATTCTGCTTTAGCTGGGCATTCAAGGACCACAACAATTAAGCTACCCCAACCCACAAACTTTATTTCCTTCTACTGTTTAAAGCCAACTCTCTTCCAGGGTGAGAATGCTTTTTGAACAATGTCTTTGCTTAGTCTGTTTCCTCTGCCTATAGTGCCCTCACCATATCACTCCTTTTATTTCAACTCCACACTTCTAGCAAAGCCCAGCTTAAGAACCATCAGGACTTGAAGGTCTCCTCGATCACATCAATCCACAGCAATCTCTCCCTATTCCAAATTTCTATTGCCCTTATATCTGCTCCTTTCACAAAGCACTACACTGCATCATCGGGGTCTTTTTCATGTGTCCTGTCTCCCCAGTTAGATATAAACACCTGAAACAGAGAATCTGTTATCAAATGTTTTGAATTCCCAGTACCCTCACAGAGTGACTCAGACATTGTAGGTAGGCATTCAATGTTTGTACTTGAATATAATGCCTGTTCTAATGCTTCAACAGGTATAGTCTATTAGCAGTCATTTATTTACTGCCCATTGGGTTCTAGATGCTGTGCAAAGTGCTTTTAACATTTAGTCCGTCTTTCTTAAGGACACCTGACAGATACGACTTCATCATCACCAGCCTTTTACGAATCCTACACGGGCCTCCAGTCTGTATTTCTGCATTGTTACCCTCAAAGGTTTATTTTCTAATTATTTTCTTATTCCAATTATGTTCTATCTTCTAAAACTCAGAATCTGACATTGTAAAAAAATTGTAACTGAAGAAGGTAAATACAACAACTAAATAAAATGCCATATACAAAGTGCCTAGCACTAGAATTGGTATGTATTGGGAGATCGATAATGACAGCTATAATTACGAGTTCTTCTCAAATGATTTATACCTGCCTAGCATGGTGCTGTGCATTTCCAATGTGTAATCATTAATTTTTACTGACAACGTGTGAGCCTCTGTGTATGGAAAACTTTCTATGTTTTCAGTTCTACGGGGAAAGCAAGAGAAGGCAAGGCTCTGGCCGGCTGTCTCTGAGCTGACATCTACTTGGAGTCAAGACTGACAGCCATGAAACAGGGATGATAAAGGATAGCACATCATCAAGCTAAATGGAGTCCTAATAATAGCAATAATTCATTATCTTATGGAGTTGATATACATTATTTTATTTGCTCCTCCCAACCTGGCAAAGTCAGTGTTATTTCCTCATTCCGCAGATAAAAGAGCTAAAGCTCTGAGAGGGTTGATTCTCCCTTTGTAAGTGACAGAGCCCAGGTTCAAGTCCATTATCCTGGTCTCAAGTTCAGTGCTCTTTGCAACACAGTTTTCATTCATTTACTCATCCGTTCATTCACTTGTCTAGATCTGCACTCAGCAAATATTTGGTACCAACTATACATCATGCACCGTGCTAGGTGTTTGTCATAAAATAGGATACTTCCCTTGTCCTCTGGAGTCTAAAACATAGAGAAGAGGCGGAAACAGTATTTATTAAAGAAATTCACAAAGAAATTCCTAAGGGCTGGTTCAAGAAATACTGTCACAGTGAACTAGCTCGCTATTCAATATCATTCCCTCCCATGACAACTGTTTGTTCTTTTTTTTCATTACCCTATCATTCACTATACACTCAGAGAACAATAGTGATCTCTTGTTTCTTTTTTCAAACCCTCGGACACTGAGATGAGGGAAAACCAAATGGCTTGCAAACAGTTATGCACATGAGCATGCAAAGGTTGTAATGGCAGGTGTGCTTTTCTCTTCACCCCAAGTATAGTCTATGGATGTACTCTGCTCAGCAGCACCGATGTGTCCCTGATATTGAACTGACTAATGTTTTACAAACAGAATCTTGTGTAAATACAGTAAGAGAGCTTGCTATTTACAGGAATCTTCTGGTGAATCTTTTAAATTATTATTGTCTTTCTTACCTTCTGCTCTCAACCATGTTTTTTAAAAGAAAACTCTCTGCTTTCTCTCTATTTTCTTGCTTCTTAATTACTTCTCAAACACTTTGAACTCTGATTCAGCCTTTTCTGAAACCGTTCTTGTTGTGGACTTTAGCTGATAAAATCCACTGGACTCTTTTTTCAGTCCTTACCTTGAACTTCCTTCCACATCTCTTGCTCCTGTTTTCTTGAAATTCTCTCATATCACGTTATCTTGTTGATGAATCCCAACTCAACATCTTTAGGCTTGATAACACTTAAGTTCCAGATTCATCTCTCTGTCTACCCACTGAGCATCTCCACCTGAAGTCATTTATTCATTCACTCAGTTATTCAACAAATACTTACTGGGTGCCTACTAGGTGACAGGCAATGGGTTATGTCTTAAGACTAACATGATCAACAAGGAATTTATTGTCTAGGGGTGAGGAGCAGGAAATAGATATACATAGGCAACTCAGTGGGTCTAAAAATGACTCATGATATTTCCTTGCAAAGGCTTCCTTTATTCTACATGCTCTATACCATTGAAAATTCCTACAGTCATCTTAGACACTCAAGTCAGAACTCAGAAGTTTTTCTCTGCCTCCTTTTTGCTCATCCACAAACTCTTGGCTGAGTCCTTTCAAGTCTACATCATAAATTTCTCTTAATCTGTTCCTTACTCTCCATTCCCACTGCTTCTGTCCTAGCTCAGATCCTCATCCTCTTTTGCCTAGTTTACCATGTAATGTCCCAAATGGTCTTTTCATCTCCGGCCTGAGACCAGCATCCACTGCCCCACCCTGCTCCAGCCATACTTCTCTTACCGCAAGAGTGACTTTTCTAAATCCAGATTCCAACCTGACATTTCTCTGCTAAAATCCATTTAAAAATTGCCCTCCCTTCAGACAAAGTCCAAACACCTTCTTATATGTTAGAGGGCCTTCTGGCTGGGCTCCTGCCCACTTTCCAGCCTCACTTCCCGCTTTGCCTCCCCAAACACCTCCACTGCCCACATATACACATCCTATGCTCTAGTGATGAATAACAGAATTTCTCAGATGCTATGTGCAAATTCAGTGCAAATATTCCCTCCTTTGGGAAAGCCATTTCCAACACCCTCCCCTAGGCAGGGTGGATCCGTTACTGTATCCTTTAGACACCACTGCACATTATACATAATAATTAGTGTAGCTACTGATTGTTGAGCATTTACCAGTTCTGACATCATGGTAGATCCAGAAGCGATAAGAATACGTGAGCAAGGACATGAGCTTTGGAGACAGCCGTATTGCTTCAAATCGCAATCGTTAGCACAATCATCTAGGGCAAGCTACTTAAGCTCTCTATACCTCAATTTCTTCATCTTTAAATGAGGATAATAAAACCCTTTTCATTGACTTGTAATTAATGACACAATTTATAAAAAATGCTTAGCATGGTATCTGTCACATACATAAGCTATTATTGAGTTGAAGTCATAATTATGTTGTTGTTATTAGACTATATATATATTATGGAGAATTTGCCCAAAAAGCCTAGAAGAGTTCGTTGTTTTCATTTCATAACTAAGGAAGTTAGATTACTTGCCCGAAGTCATGTAATTATAAAGCAGCAAAGTTAGAGTTTAAATCTATACCACAAAATGCCATTATAGCCCCTATGACATTGTGTGAAACATATTTACTGTGTGTGCAGCTCTCCACCTGGACGGGAAGCTCCCTGAGGGCAGAGACTTTGTCATATTCACGTTTCACACAGGAAAAGCTTAAGAATGAATGAACAAATGAATAGCTATGTTTCAGCCAAGGCAGACTGATGGCCATGAGATTCCAGTCCTGGAAGATGGGAGAAGTGGCTGGTAAGGTCACGGTGGCAATGGAACATGAGCCATCACCCAGGCCCCTGAGTCACTCACTCATTGCTTCTATCTGCACATGGATGAGGTTCTCGATGTCCTCCTCCAGGGTCTGCTGCGGTTTCAGGGGGATGGGCAGGTAGCCATAGTGTTCTCTGTTGCAGAGGTACATCTGGATGCCTGAGGACCCAAGAGAGGGACAAAACCGACCAATCAGAAAACACACATCTTAGCTCTATAGTGACAACTGAAGAAAAAGAGACTGGACTGTGGCTGAAGCTGTTTGGAACTGAAATTGAACAAGTAGTTGTTTCAGGCACTGTCTGTAGACCTCAAAAATGCTCCTTTATTAAGAAACTGTAACACAGCATCAGGGGCTAATAAAAACTCTGGGCCATTCTTCAGCGCAGAGGAAATTGATTTTTCTCTCTGAAGAAAAAGCATACTCGTGGCCTGAAATGAACACTAAAGGCATGAAAAGATCAAAAAGAAGGCAAAGAATTCCTATTCCAGAGAACAGAATGGAACACTGTAATCCACCTACAGGAAATAAAGAGAAAATGAGGAATAAAATCCACATTTGATATGAAAGCAAACAGGAAAATCCTGTAAGGCTGACAGATTATTAAAGCTAAATCTAGGCATATAAAGAAGAAAAAATAAAAAACAAAGGAAATTTAAAATTCTTCATGATTCTCCTTGGTTTTATTTCCTCTCTTAGCAGGCATGGATTTGGAATCAACCAACAGACATGGAACTTCTATAGTAGATTTGTAAAGGGACAAAAGAAAGTCTGCATTTCAAGTCCTGTTAAAAACCTGCAGTATGACAACACCAGAAATATGGCAAAGCCCTCTTGTATCCGACACTGGTCTTCGTTGCCCCTGCTGGCTAACTCCAAGAGTTAGACAACATCTGTGTTCACCCAGATAGCTAGAAATACAGGAATCAAGACGGTCTCATACAGACCCAGCAACTGACAGTCCTGACTAGTGAAAAGATTCCTTAGTTAAAATGACGAGTCTGCCAAGCACTGTCCATGTGTCCAAGCTTCTGATTTGTTAATTGCTATAATCATCTATGCTTTCCAAAAGAGAATGAACTGCATAGTGACTTCTCTATTTTGTGCAGATGAAATTTCCTCCAGGCTGCTGGAACACCTGCCAAATCAGGTGAAGCTGTCTCATGGCATTAACAGAGAAGAACGGGGGAAAAAAAGAAGATTTTATCCTTCTCCTTATTGAATCAGGCTCAAATCAGGGCTGGTCCAGCAAGCATTGTCACTTCTCTTGCCTTCACCAAGCGAGCTCACCAGTTCTGCTGTTTGCCCACATGAATGCTTCTGGGGAACTTCAAACCAAAACGCACCCTCTTGTAAAGTCATAATGAATTCAGGAAGTGGAAGGAAAATGAGTTAATATTTAGATTACCTCTCTACCCTACGTAGGTAAATCATTTTACCATTCAACTTTCCAAAGCTTCAGTAAAAATGGGAGATGAGACCTAGCCAAGCTATCCATCAAGTGTGAGAGGACAAGAAAGGCATTTTTCAGACGTGCAAAGCCATAAATATTTACTTTCCATCACACTTTCTCAGAAAGTTACTGGATGATTGAAAGAAGGAGAAAGAAGAATAGGAGTAGGGGGGAGGAAAAGAGGAGGAGGAGGATTACAAAAAACCCAGGAAGACTTGGGATATAGTGAACAGAGAGTCAATGCAGTTGGGAAGAGAAGGGAGTCCAGGGTCCACCACTCAACTCAGAGTATATCGGAAAGAGTATATCAGACATCTTCACCAACACGCGGAAAGAACATCTGATAAATCTGACCATTCCAAGAGGAATATTAGACAATTAGAGATTAGTTTTGAATTGCATTAGTAATAATAAACTAAGGGAAAAAAGGCAACTGTTAAGTTAGATATAAAGGGAAAACTAACCATGGTCTATAAATAGTTCAGTTTGGGATTAGGTTTGCACGCTTATAACAACAAAAACACTGACCATTGATCTATCTTAAATTAACACATGACCACAGTCATGTGTCGCTTAAAGATGGGTATACATTCTGAGAAATTTCGTCCTTGTGCGATCAAGAGTGTACTTAGACAAACCTAGATGGTACAGATTACTCACACCTAGGTTGTATGCTACTAATCTTATGGGACCACCATGCAATACGTGGTCAGTCATTGGCCAAAACACTGTCATGTGGTGCATGACTGTTTATTGAGAGAACAGGGTGATGGAAAGAATGCGTTTGCATGGAGGGGGCACAGGGAGGAAAAAGAGCTAATGCCTCATCTTCTGCAGTGGAGAGGCAACAGATAACGCCTAAAGTAAAACCAGAAAATCAAGAGGTAGCAATACAAGCGTGTTATTCACAAACGTGGCTGTGAATATCATCTGGAAGAATTAAAAGTGTTTATCTTCTAGAAGAGGGAAACGATACAAGGGGTGATCTTCAGGGGACTGCTAACTTTATAATACACCTTGGGGAACTATTTGCACTCTTTCAACTATGTGCATGGATAATTTGATAAAAATTTTAAAAGGAAATGTATTGATAATTAGGTAAAATCTATGGAATCTGGTACTCTCAGTGAAAGCGACTTCTGGGGAAAACAATTTTCTCTTTGAAACGATACTTTGAAATACACCTTGAAGGACTGGACTTCTCTTATGGAGACATCAAACATTTTCCTGTACTCATACAGTACCTTAACATTGCAGATTGCTATCTTTATCTTTGGTGATGAAAAATCAGAGTGAGAAAGGCTGTGGCTTGTCCAAGGTCATACAGTAAATCATTAGCACTAAACCTCTGTCCCTAAAGAGCCAATGCCAAGTATCTTTCTATGCACCCAGGATTTGGAAGCCAAGTTTCAGAACCAGTAATCACTCTGGATTGCCATCCTTGCACGTGGGAGGCAGTTTTGATCATCACCAGTGCTGTGCAGGAGGCAGATCTGCCTGCCTGTCACCCATGTTTCTTGGCTCTTTTGACTCACAGCAGACATTTGGAAGATGACTGGTGGGCACCAGAGATGTTACCTGTGACCATGATAGAGAACCCAGCCACAACAAGACATGAACTCCTGACCCTAGCCTCATTATAGCCACAGAGCCTCACCTCTGACCCCTGAGCTCTCTTCTTGGGCTAGATGGGCAGCCATGCCCCCACACACCAGTGCACTTGGATTGCCCCCTCACTCATCACTCACAAGTGGAATGACTGGAGTCTGAGGTGAAAGATTAAGGATCAAGGTTCGTGGTTAAGTGGTCCTGCCTGGGACATGAAGACCCTTTAATTCCTTTTGGACATTTGAAAAATGAGGCTCCAATGGGTGACACACAGCTAGGGTGTTTCACAAGAATGAGAACAAAAGAATACAAATCATCTTTCAAGAGAGAAGGGAAGTGCTTTGCTTTGGACCTAAGAAGGGAAGAGCCTAGAAACACTTCATGGGCTGCACAGGACTCCAGGCTCATTCACGTCTCTCCTGAATACCTCAAGACAAATAAAAGTGCTACCTTAGAACCACACAACTGTCAGGAAAGCTTTTTCATTGCCCCCAAGGACAGTCATTCTTTCCTGTCTTGACTCTTGACCTGTTCACTGTACCACCGATCTGACCCTCAGCTTTCACTGTTTTGTAACTATTACTTCTGTTTCCACATGTAAAGATCTCATCTCGCCAACTAACAAGGAGCCTAACACAATGCTGGGCACAAAAGTAAAGCCAATAGCTTTTCTACCTTTCCTCTTCCCAGCTGAATCATCAAATAGCTTTGAGCCTCTGCACCTGCTTTCAGTGTCCTGGGAAGGCCAATGGGAAGTCTGACCGAAAAAGAATGAAGTTCCAATGAACAGGCCAAGCAAAGGACAGAGCCGAAAAATTCCTACCCAGCCTGTCAGTCTTCCAGCCAAAAATCCAGTTGTTGGTTTGTAAAAATATATCATAATAATTTAGTGCCTGGGTCACAATAATGCCCTGTGCCATGGCTATATAGGAGGACTCTGTTAGGCAAGGATCATTAGTGTAATTGTCAATAGCTTACTTTCTTGGAACTTCCTTACTTCAAGCTCTGAAGCAAAGACACTGGCACAACTCGAAGGAATGAGAAGGCCCTGAGTCTGCTTCCCATCCTGGAGAAATCAAAGAAAATCACAGACCAAGCTGAAAGGAGCAGTTTCCATTAACGTTGACACAAGAACCTTCATGAAAGCTTCCAATCCACATGAGGATAAGAACCATGCTTTTACCCTGACACAGGCCTAAAAAATGCTTAACCCTGGCCAAAGGGTCTAAATTTCTCTAGCAGCCAAGGAAAAAGATTCAGCCTCCACATTTCCACCAAATATGCTCATTCCTAGCAAATCTACAACTGATGAGTGGGACACCTATGGCTTCAAGCATGGCCTGATACGTGAGCTATAGATTGAATTTATATTAACGTTGTCGTCTGCCAGCAACCTGCCTCAACTGCCTGAAGTCTTTGCATAATCCCATCTACCCTAACTTAGATGGCAGCAGTGAGTTTATTCACTATCTTCTTGGTTTCTAAACTCACTTTTGCTAGTGGTTAAGTGGCACATTTCTGGCTCATTGATAACGGGACCTCACTTCTGGCAGTAAGGTCTGAATGATCCTGAGAATAAGGCTTTGCTTTAGGAATGTCGTGTAGCTTCCTGTTGAACTGCTTTAGTGAATTACATCCCCCTTGACTGCAGGTGCAGGGTGACGCAGAGAAATAACAACTTCCTACTGACTTGACTTCCTTAAAAAGCCTAGAGACCCCACCGGAAATGCTTTCCTGGTGGTTCACAAAAGACTGAAGTCTGGTTGTGCCTTTCCTTCCATGGGGACTGTGGCAGAGACTTCTGGTTGCCTCTCCTAATCTGTCCCCTCCTCCTTCTAGAGTGAGAGAATTGGAGCTTTAGACTGTATAGAATGAAGATGACATTCTCAGCCTCCCTTACGGCTAGGTGTTTCCCTGTGACTAAGTTCTGGCTAATGGAATATGCATGGAAGTGATGTGTTCAACTTCTGGATTGTACTCTTAAAGGGAAGGAGCATGCCCTCTCCTCTCTGGTTTTCCTTTGATGGCTAGAATGCATCCATACTGATGAGACATCTTGGGTCATACAATGAAGGACGATACTTCATGGAGAGTGGAGAAGCAACAGAGAAGGAGCCTGGGTCTCTGAAAACTTTGTGGAACAGAGCCACTATACCAGCTCAGACTTTTTAGAGAAGAAATAAACCTCCATTTGTTAAGTCTGAGCTCTTTGCCAGTGCTGTTTTGAGGTTCTGTCACTAATTAATAAATGGACTTCTATAGTGAACAAAGCAATGCAGTGGCACCACAGAGAACCAATCATCTGCCGTGGCTCCCACCACCATCACTGTCCCTGCCCTACTCAAAAGAAAGAGAGTGGATTCCTAGGCATGGGCAAATCCTGGCTCTTGGTCATTGATGCTCACAGGGACAGCAACACAGACACTGCTGGTGTGGTTACTGTACACAATTAATTGTCCCTGAAGAGGAAACCCATTTCCTTTATAGGTGTGTTTTTTAATAAGATGCACAAAAGAGCTGGTTATTTGCAGTGTTTCCATAGAGGCAGTACAGCTGAATACAATCAGTACCTGCTTGTCTGCTGGAAAAGGCGAAGACGATGATGTCATCAAAGGTCCAGGTGTAGTCCTGGTGCGGGGGGTAGAACATCAGCTTGTCAGAGGCTTCCTTCCTGAGGTCAATTAGGAATGTGGAGTGGACCATGGGGACAGGAAAGCAGCCCATCCTCTTCCATTCTCTAATCTGAGGGTAGTCTGGCGTCCGCTTGTAGAAGCCCTGTAAAAGAGTAAATCGGTGGGCTGTGTTCTCTCATCTGAGGGCTTCATTTTTCCTGGTCCTCTGCTAGGCTGATTCCTCCTAAGTCATCACCAGTTAAATGGAAGCCCCCAAACGAAGTCCTCTTCACCCTTCTTTTCTTGACCTAAGAATTTCCAAGTAAGCTCAAGAAGTGCCATTTACATATAAAACAATACTAACAGGGTCTTGATACCAGAAATATTTTGGTTTCAGCATATCTTTTGATTTAATAATTTCATCAAAGTGTATTTTATGTTGACTTATGATTGAATATGAAGCATGAGTATTCGAAGGTGGTAGAGCAGAGCAGTTAAGAGCACAGGTTCTGGTATCAGGCTGCCTGAGTTCAAATCTCACCTCAGCTTCTAATTGTCTATAGGTATCGGTTAGGGTACTCAACCTTGCTGTGCCTAGCTCCTCATCTGTAAAACAGGAATGATGGCACAATCTACTCCACGGGTGTCTGTAAAAATTAAGTAAGGCAAAGCCTGAAAAGTGCTTAGAATGATGCCCAGCATCAAGAAAGAATCAATAATTATTGACTATCATTAATATTACTACATTACATTGGCTGATATTTTTAACTAAACACACAGTACTTAAATATACAAATCTGGTCTTCTCTCAATGCAGTCACTTATTCGATATTCTGGTGGAGCTGCTACTGTTCCATACTTTTTTGGGGATTCCCTTTTTGAAACGTCCCTCCTGGCAAGCACACAGGACCACAAATCCTCTTCCTTTGTGGTTTTGAACACACTGGTTTGGAACAATCCAACTTATTTTCCCTCTAAACTCAACCATTCATTCAACAAACACGCTTTGAGTTCCTATAATCCAGGCACTGGGTTAGATGCTGGAGACAGCAGGAAAGAGACAGCCCCAATGTTAGCCCTTATGGAGTGCAGAGTCTAGTAGAGGAGCTCATACTCCAGTGGCACCAATTGTAACTTGACTATTGCCAATCCTTAAATCTATTGCAGAAAAGATGAAAAAGTCTTTCAACAAAACATACTTAAAAGTATGTGGAAGCTTTGAAGGCATTTCCAAAAATGCTATAGGTGATGGCAGGTTCATAGAACGATGGTAAAGTTTTGCAAGGCCAGTGCAGCATGCTGACGGGCACAATACTCATTGGACACGTAAGTTCTGGTGTGTTCATTAATCAGTCACATTACTTTATGGTCACTTTTTCTGTTGTGATGTGAGTGCCCACACATTAGGTACTGCGGCCTCATCAACCTCTCTGACGTTCTCTTCAGCGTCTAGACTAGTGCTCTAGCTGAACTAACCCTAACACTGACCATGTGATAAGGTAGCAGGACCACAAATTATGATTGAGAAGATGTGAGTCTTGGAGCCATTTTAACCATCTTCTAGCTCTTTGATCTAGCCCATGCTTCACCTCTTTGAGTCTCAGTTTCTTCTCCTGAAAAATGGGATAAAAGCCTCTTTGTCTCTCTCACAGGGTTGTAAAATGGATCACCTGTGATCAGGTATATGAAGATACTTTGAAAACTGTAATTCACTATATGAAGTATTATTATTATTATAATTTTTTATTAGCATTTAACTTAAGGATAAGTGATCCTTAGGTTAAATTAGGAGAACCTCTTAAGGAAGAGGCTGCAGTACCTATTGTGTGGGTGCTGACATCACAACAGAAAATGTGACCATAAAGTAACTTGACTGATTAACGAACATACCAGAACCTGAGTTCGCCTAACACTTCAACTTCAGAGCATTTTTCCAAAGGATAAACAGAACATTCGTTCTTTGAAGGACTACCTAAGAATGCATGACAAATATAAAATTCTAAACTACTAAGGAACAATATTCTCAGAATGAGAAGCTTGGAAAATTCATGACGATGATGAATCACTGAATATCCTGGGAGTAGGGGGGAAGGAAGCAAAGAAAGAAAGAGAGAGAAAGAGAATTAATATGCCTCCTGTAGACAGGTGGAGGCAACAGATGTGTCTCTTTTTCCGCATAAATTGAATGTTGTTGGAAATAATTCCTGTTCATTGGCCAGACAACAACACCGGGTCATTTTGTTTTGGATGTGCTTAAAGGCTTTGGAAACCAGGGCCTGCCTTAAGTTTATGAAGGCACTGGCTGTTTCTGTTCCTGCCCTAGCAGAAGCATGACTAGGGATGGTAGAAAGCCAAAAACAGATGGAGAAAAATTAGAATTGGCCCTAAGTTGCTTGGATCTTACTTTTACTGTCCAAAATAAGTGAGCACAGTTCTCCTGTTTGCTTTTAATGATTAAAACAAATAAAGAGATAATAGAAACCTGTAGACTGCCCTCACTAGGACGATCCACCCTTGTTGCTGATGTCAACGCATAACTCATTAAAAACAATCCTTGAGTGATTCTGCCACGTGAAACATTGCCGATTATCAGCTGAGAGTGGATGAATTTAAACGAAACAAATGTAATGTTTTCTCCTCGAGGAATTGAGTGGCTTTGATAAATATGAACTTAATACTTCCCTAAAGAGATGTGGATAATAACATGCATTCAAAATCTCTCAGAACTGTGGGAAGTAATCATAACAAAAGAGGAATGCCTCCTCCAGTAGTGTGCTAGAACCACAGATTATTAAATTCTCAGGAATTTTGCAAGCCAGTTGGCATGTTGGTAGCTTAAAATTGCCACCATTCTAACAACACCACAGATAGCAGCTTTGCATATTTTTAATAATTATATCATCAAGTGGCTATACTGCAATTTACTTAACCTTTCCCTTAGCTTAAACGCCATTTAAGTTGTTTGCATGGTGAGAGTATTTATGTCATGAAAACTAGCAAATACTACCAATCAGGATATTTCCCCCACAGAGAACTAGCTACTATATACTTATCAGCACACCACTGGCCTTGTTCTTCACCCCAAATCAAACCAAATATAAAAGAAAGACTCAAAATTTAGCTCTGTGGGTGTGAGAACTCATTTAACATACATTTTTTCCCTTAGCATCTCTTTATCTTGCATTGATGTATACTACATTTATCAGTTTAATTTATCTCTCTAATTCGCTAACTAAAGAACAAAAAATATAACCAGCCATAAGCATTCACTGTAACAGATGTCCAGACTTTGAAGATTTTACAATGGAAAAGGGAGATGATGGAAATTAAAAATGTTGTTTTTAACTTGAATTTTATAAAAACAAGCTACCATAGCAGTTCTAATTATTAGATCTCCTTGGAAATAAACTTGGCAACACACATCAAAGGTCATCAAAATATTTATACTCTTTGACTCGGTAATTCCACTTCTAAGAAGCTATTCTAAGGAAATAATATTAAATACAGAAAATTTATATCAATCATAAGGGGTGTTATAATAGCTAAAAGTTGCAAACAACTTAAGTGTTTTTAAACTAAGAGAAAGGTTAAGTAAATTGCCTTATAGCCGCTTGATGATATAGTTACTAAAAACATGCAAGCTGTTATGTATAATCTTAGAGTGGTGACATATATATTTTTTTTACTTTTTTCCATTTCCAAATTTTTTTGTAGTATTCTTATGTTAGTTTTAATAATAAATATTTAATTTTTTAAATCTCTAAATCAGGGAGGAAAAAATTACAAATCCTAGCAAGCTTTACTGGTTAATTTAAAGCTTCTAAAGCTAAACTTGTTAGAATATTTTCCTTATGATTCATTAATACAGAGAAGTTCATTGAGTTGTAGCATTGGACCTGGATTTATCTCCTTTCCTGAAAATGCTTGCTCTAGTAACACAAGGACATGCATGTTTCAAGGGAGGAAATGAGAAAAAGGTTAATGGGGCTACTGTTGACACACAGCTGCCTTGTTAAAACTCATACCTTCATTCATTAGCCAAAGACTTGCCTGAGGTGTGATTCCGCACCAGAAATTAGAGTACAGACCCCGAGACTCGAGCATGGGGGCCACAATGGTCTTGTTTTCTGCAATCATTAGATTGAGGGTCTGTGGATTTGTCAGGAAGTTGTCAACATCTATGAACTAGGGAAAGAAAAAGGATAACGTCAGGTGAAAAGATCTTTTTCAGTAATGGGTTCAAGAGTAATCCAGCACTTTCAAAAGATCACAGAAACTTGCTCATGAGATATGGAACCAGTTAGCTATCTTCTTCTTATGGAAACCCACTGAAGTTGGATGGCTTTCACCCAGGCAAAATACATTTGGTCTAACTTCCACACGTTCAGCTCTGTGTAGGCACCAAGCAATGAATCAGTGTTACCACATTGGGCACACACTCAACTAGGACCCAACCTACACCTTGGTTGGTGCTTTAAGTACAAGATATAATGGCTCCCAAGCCCTTAAAGGTTCATTCAAAAACACTTATTGAGTGCCCACTCTAGGCATAAGTGGACAGACTTATTTAGGTTATCTATGGTAATGCCAAAATGGCGCAACACAGATCCATCAATGCTATTTGAACATTACAGGTAGAATTTTCGTTTAAATACATTATATCATCCCATGCTAACCAAAGAAGCTATTTCCGATTCTTAGCAGCAATCCACGTTAACATTAATTCATTTACTGGGGCAGTGGGACAACATGTTTCATCATATAAAATAAATAATCACACTGAACTGGACCCTTAAAAATGATTAAAATAGTAGATTATATGTTATATATATTTTACCACACACATAAAATAAATAACCAGAAGGCTTCAGTTTTATGATAGTCGATCTGTTTACCAAAAATTTTGTAGTTCATCATTTGTGCACTTCAATGACACTTAAACAGCTACACAATGTTAAATGGCATCAGTATAATTTGAAAACTTCTATGAAATTATTTGTATTGAAGATGTGTATGTGTGATAAATTATTGAGCTGATTTTTGTCATGGTTGAGGGGCTGGGGATGAACATAGGTCAAAAGTTTTCCCTTTAGGAATCAGAATCTAGTGACAGGGAGCAGCAGTCAGTAAGTTTAAAGAAACAACATTGGCTTTGCATTTTTGGTGCTGTTTCTAGTGTTGTACAGAAAAGGTTTGCCAAAAGAATTAAATGGATTTGGGGGGCCACAGATGAAGAACTTGGTTCCCACAAATTTGCGGGGGAAAAAAGCCTCTTGTCAATTTTGAAAAGGGAAAAGGGGACTGCAACTCCTTGCTGCTTACGAAGCTGTCCTTCCCAGCTGAGATAGGGTCCCGGAGGACAAGGATGGAATAGAACATTGATCCGAATCATCAAGTCCAATATTTTTCTGGGCCACTCTCAAAGTTCTAAGGAAAGTGATGGAACATCTTCATGGACGGAAATCCTCCATGAGAACCCAGCATAATTAGGAGCAACCAGGAAGCCAAGCAGAGATGTCTTTCCCCAAATCACTCAGAAGCAAAAGGGAGTGGAGTTTCAGAGCTGTTAATCTGAATCTCTTTTTATGTAATTAATTTCTCATATCTGCAAAATTCTTCTAAAATGTTATTCAGACAATTTATATTGCTTTACCTATGGAATTCTCCATGAACTAAAAAGATTCAGAATTTCTTACGCGTGTTACATGAAAGAGACCAAATAATTCAGGAGCTTATTCACTTAAACTCTCTGAAAATGCATGTCAGGAGTGGGTCTGAGATGAAATCTGGGTATCCCAATATTAAGTTCCCCAAATTTTCTCTTGCACCTTTATTAAAAAGTTGGAGAGGTGGTACCTAAACACAAGGTTGTTTTGATTGCTTCCACACTCGTAGGTTTTAGATAATTAATTGGCACACATTCTAGATAACAGCCGTCAAGAAGTCAAATATCTGTTTTTACCAGAATGTAGTCTGACCATTTTTCCCTCGCAGTTCGAAGGGCTGCCTGTCGTAGTTTCATCACATGGGCAAAACGAGAGCCAGGCCAGTGCTTGGGTCCAATTTCATCAGGATAAGATCTAAAATAAGAATAATAATAATAAGGACAACATAATTATTGAATGCCTTTATTTCCAAGCACTATGTACTAACTCATTTAATCTTCTAGCACCCTAGGAAGCAGATACTGTTATTGTTATCATCACCCCCATATTACAGATAAGGAACTTGGAACAAGGAGAGATTATGTAATTTGCTGCTTACCGTACACAAGAATCTTTATGTGAAATATTTCAGTGAGTTCTTATTAAAACTCACTGAGTCCATATGAGGTAAGTACCACCATTCTCCCCATTTTCCAGATGAGGAAATTGGTGTAGAGCGGTTAATTCATTTGCTTAATGTAACACAGTTAATGAAGGGCTCAGTTAGGATTTAAATCCAGGTGTAACTCCAAAGCTCACGTTTCTAGACTTTTTTTTACACATTCTGCTAGCAAATAAATTTGGAAATGTTACAGCATAAAAATATGAGTTTCCCAGGAAAAAAAAGGTTAATTTACTTGGTCAAGTTTCAATAAAGGATTCAAAAGAGCCTAAGATGTTGATCCATCCCAGGGAGAGTGAGATCATGGAGCAGCTGTATGATGTTGTTGGGATCTCCATCAACATCCACAAAACAGCCAGGCCAGGACTCTTACGTGGCCACGTAGGCAAGCCAGTTGGCACACTCTTGAGAACCCTTCTGAAAGCTCCCACGTGGTATGGACACTGACACTGTCACAGAGGCCCAAAACTGGCCACCACTTAAGTTCTTGTACCTGTGCTGGCAGTGCATTTGACTCAGTGAATGAAAAACCACAAAAACAATAAGACTCTAACTATACAAATAAGATTAATAAAGCTATGTCCTAAACAGAAATTCTCTGAGATGTCTTCCCCAATTATTGCTTCGATGAAATCAGGAAAATTCCTCTTTTTCTGAATATATTGCCCAACAAGCTTTCCTTAACATTGTTCACACTGACCTTGGCATACAATATGTTTGGTCAAAATTTGGCTATCGAGAAAATTACCAGGATGCGAGGTAGGTACGTAAAGTCTTTTTGGGTGATTTTAATTAGGCCAAATTCCATTGTAAGAAACTCCAAAAGAGTGGCTAAAAATCCAATTACAGTGTTCAAATTCCATCATTAAATTTTGCTCAATATGTGGACCATATGCTGGGATTTGAGATATATGTGCATATATAAAGAGAGACTAGAAGAACAAAAATTTGTTCTGGAATGGTATTTATTATTATTATAATACAAATTTGGCTTTCAATAAATGACTTATCCTGGGCAAAAATTCAGGCAACTCAATTCATTCTACTTCTATAATTCCTTAAGCTGGAAGGTGTAGCCTTGGGAACGTTTACAATAGTAAGTTTTAAATATATTTATTTATGTTGTCATTCACTCAGTTGTTCAGCCAACAATTATTAATTTAGTGCCTGCCAAGAACATAGCATTGGGGGGAACTATGAAGTATTTATGTGCTCTACCCCTTGCCAAAGAACCTAAAAATTACTTAGAAAAAAATGCATAAATTGCATATTTAATTAACAATATTAGCTAAGCGTCTTGTGTCAAAAAGGATGATGTACAAAATAAGCAATGCAAGTGTTGAGAGAAAGGTAGCTCCTTGTAAGTGGAATGACTATGAACAGCTTCTGTACTAGGTGGGATTTGGGATAAGAGTTGGTTACAAAGAAGGAAAGGGCCTTCCCAGAGAGCAGACCTGCATGAGCAATGGCTTGGGGTTGAAAATAAAAAGGAACATTCTGGATGAATCAGGTTTTTTGAGGGGGAAGAAGTCAGAAATATGGGTGCATAGGTATGGGTGCTAAGTTTATGGAATCTTTTAAAAATATGAGTCTGAGGTATTTGAACTTTTTTCTGTAGGTACTGAAGAGCCACTGGAGTCCTTTTAACAGAAAAATTAAACTATGCCATTAGTATTTTAGGTAGATTGATTTGACAGTGTGGTATGTAGGATGACTTGAAGATGGAACCAACTAAGAGATTGCTATGGTTAAGATTGGAAACAATCTAAATGTCCATCAGTAGGAGACTGATTAAGTACATAATTATGGTATACGCACACAATGCGTACTCTGCACTGATAAAAATAACGAAGAAGATCCTTAACTACTGCTATGGAATGATTACCAAGATATGACACGAAAACACAACATGTACGCAAAAAGTATACAAACCTTTCGCTATGATCCCTCAAGTATAAAAGGTTTATACTCAAAATATGAATAAATAATATCAATATTTTAAAATATATACTGCAGTAATTTACTTGTGAACTAATGAGAACCTTAACTTGGCTGGTAGCTTCAGGAGTAAAAAGGAAGAGAGAAGCATGAAGATCTGTCAAAGGAAGAAATGGATGGCTGGAAAACTGGTTACGGGAGAAAGGTAAACAATGAGTTGACAAAACGTTCTCTTGCTACTCACTCAGGTTCATCCATAGGCCTCCACTCCACGTAGTGATAGAGTCTCTGTACATTTTTCAACCACTCCCTGAGTATTTCTGTTGTATTATCCACGTTGTGATCAGTGGCCGCCCTACATGGGAGAAAGTACAACATAGTTTAGTTATGTCATCCAAAGAAAGAGGGGGAAATCCAAAAGACCCCAGATTAACTGAAAGGACAATTTCAAGTTCTGGAAAAAAGTTTTATACGTGAAAATGATTCCCTTGTGGTCCAAATTAGACAATGAATTTCTGAAGTAAGAGAGACTGCTTAAAATCATCTTTGTGTCATCAGATCCTTAAAAAGGGCTCAGCCAACAGTAGGATCAATAAGGGGTTGTACTAAAACAGTAGAAGTATAAAATGAATTAAACTTGAGTAAGTTAGTTAATCTTCTTGGAAATTTTCCTATTTGGCTTAATTTTTATTTACCTAAGATGTAAACTCTGCTTTTTTTAAAATCTTTTTATTGAGATTATGATAGTTTACAACCTTGTGAAATTTCAGTTGTACATTATTGTTTGTCAGTCATGTTGTAGGTGCACCACTTCACCCTTTGTGCTCACCCCCCACACCCCCTTTCCCCTAGTAGCCACTAATCTGTTCCCTTTTGGTTTTTTTTAAAGATTTTATTTTTCCCCCTCGGTACATAGTTGTATATATTTTTGGTTGTGGGTCCTTCTAATTGTGGCATGGGGGACGCTGCCTCAGCATGGCTTGATGAGCTGTGCTGTGTCCACACCCAGGATCTGAACCGTCGAAACCCCAGGCTGCTGAAGCGGAGCGCGTGAACCTAACCACTCGGCCATGGGGCTGGCCCCTAAACTCTGCCTTTTAACTTCACTAACAACTACCCTCAATTTAAGCAATAATTCAATTGCATTTTCATTTCAAGTCAATTTTCAGGTCACAACAAAACTTCTAGTCAGTGTTGTTTTAATCATATGCACTAGAGGGGAAAGCCATAACAGTTCCCAATATAAATTCAAAATCTAAAGTATCTTCAGCTATCATTTTGAGTTGACCTTATCATCACTTATACAAAATAGAACATCTTCAAAAACCTTCAAACAATGTATACAAAACTTATTTCTGATTTGTGCTGTGTATAAGATACACATCTAAAACCAAGTTATTCAGAATACCTAAAAATAAAGAGATATATCAGTCAATTGGAAAAGAAAACAAGCGAGCAGGGGTTGTAATCTTGACATCAAATAAGGAAGAATTCAAGCCAAAAAATATTAAACACGGCAAAGAAAGATACTTTATAACTCCAAAGGATGCAATTCACATCAAAGATATAATAAATGTGAATATCCATGTACCTTCATATAGTACAGGGGTTGCAAATTTTTTCTTTAAGAGCCAGACAGTAAATATGTGGGTTGGCAGGCCGTACACTCTCTATTGCAACTGCTTAACTTTGCCATTGTAGCAAGAAAGCAGCCACAAACAATAGGTAATGAATGAGTACTGCTGTACTCCAACAAAGCCTTCTTTACAGAAACAGGCAGTGGGCCCATAGGCTGTAGTTTGTCAATCCCTCATATAATAAAGTATAGAAACTGCAAGGAAAAGTAGAAAAACCAATAATAAGAGATGTTAACATATCACTTTCAGTTGAAGTTAGCGCAAATGGGATAAAAGTAAACAGAGGATCTATAGAACACAATAACATTTTCTCAAGTGCACATGGGACATTCACAGGAAATGACCAAGAATTACAACACATAGAAAGCCTCCATAAACTGGGAGTAATATAAACAGACTTCTCTGATCACAGGGAAATAAAACTAGAAATTAGTAATAAAAGAAAAAACAAAACTTCCTTTAAAAACCCTCTAGTGACTCAAGAACCATTGAGTGCAAGAAGAAATGCAAACCAATTTCAGAACTTCTATAAATGAATAATGAAAACACTACATATCAGAAACTTGCGATACAATTAAAGCAGTGGTCAGAGAAAAATTTAGTTTTATATCCTCAAATCAATAAAGATAAACGAGTTGAATTCCTACTCAAAAGCTATAAAAAGAGAACAAACAAGCATAAAGAAATAAATAATAAAGATAAATGTAGAAAGTCACGAGGTATGAAACAGAAAAAGGGTAGAACTAATAAACAAAAAAAAATGTTGCTTTTTTTGAGGGGGAAAAAAACAGTAAATGACCCCCGTTAGTTAATCTAATCAAGGCAACACAAATATAAGAAATGACAAGGATAAGGGGAATATAATTGACATGGAAGAAATCTTTTTTTAATCATACAACAACTCAGTGAAAAGTAAATTTAAAAAACTAGATATAATGGAAGATTTCCTAGGAAGATGCATGTTAGCAAAATTGACTCTGGTAGAGATATAAAGGTTAAATAGAACAATTTCCATATTGTTGAAATAAAGAAAGAAAAAAAAGAAAATATTAGGCCTACACGGTTTCACAGAGGAATTCTACCAGATATCTTAATAGACTAGATATTTCCAATGCTGTGTAGCTTTCCAGAGCATAGGGAAAAAAATTCCAAGTTCTTTTAATAATGCAAGTACAATTTGATATCTAAATCTGATGAAGATACACACACACACACACACACACACACACAAACTATAGACCAATATCTTTAAATGACTATGTTGCAAAAATCTTAAACTATTAACAAACAGAATCCAACATCCTATGAAGAAAATATTATATAGCATGGCCTAAGATTGTTCATATAAGGGAAATCCATGAATATAATTCACTATATTAATAGACCTGAAGAAAAATCATATGATTATCTCCGTAAACGCTAAAAAGGTCTTTAACAAAATCAACACCTATTCCTGTTTTTTAAAAGCCACACTGGATAAAATTAAATCAGAAAGGAAGGACAGGCAAACAGAAAAGAAAGAGTCATGGGAAGACAGAGGTGTCTGAGACTCTTAAAAGGGAGTAGAAATGCTCAGATTTCATTGGCAATTCAGCAGTTCCTTCTGGGAGGGACAGCTGTTGGCATTTTCAGCAGCAATGGTTCCCTGGGAGCACGGCCTTGATACGAGCAAAGAAAGAGATGTGAATGGGAGTTCCACATACGGCAGTTTAAGGAAATAGGATTTTGTTAAACCCAATCCATTATGGCTTTTGTTCTTCTTACTTGAGCTTTTGCAGGTCACTGCTACTCCAAAAGTAACAAATAAAATCTTTAAGAGAAAGAATCTTCAGGAATGCTCAAGAGAACAGAAAATAAGCAAAGCATAGTGGAACCCCATGTTGTTTGGGGAAATTCCTATAAAACACCAAGTAACATGAAACTATGTAACTAAAGTCATAAGGTATAGAAAAATGGGGATAGAGCTGTGTGACTAATATTTAAAAATCTTATTTTGTAAAATGAATATTTGAACTAAAACTAGTCTTAATAAAAACATTATTCAAAAAAGAGAGGGTCAAGATGTGATGCCCATGGCCAACTTGATCTACTTTCAAGTTTCTCCTGGAAATCGGATTAGAACCAGCTGGCCCCTTAGAAAAACGTCTAGGCAACCCACAGGCCCACATGGACATTCCACTACCTGGATGGGAGAGAAGTGCTGTGGGCAGCTGACAGTGTTGAGAGACACTAGGTGAGCACCTTGGGAGAAAGACGATGTAGTACAAGGGGGAGGGAGAGTGGGCCAGAAAGCAATGTGGAAGAGTACCACAGGTTCCATTCAGCTCACAATTGTCCTGAGAAGGGCAGCATGTCAGTGAAAATCACATCCACTGTCACACATGGCCGCAAGCCACCAATGTCCAGTGTAATAGCCACGAAGAGCACTATGAGAATAGAATCGCTCATCTCACAGTATGAAGCAGTAGAGAGAAGATCCTGAAACTGGGAATCAGCTCAAATGCACATTACTCTTTGCTCAAAATATTATGAGTAAGTTAAAACAAACAAACAAACAAAATTATCTTGACTACAGTGTTAGCCAAAAGTTATGAGGATTAAAATTATTCCCAAATTACTTGTAAATGACGCAGGGGAATTTATACCGCATCTGCTTCTTTCCTTGATTATTATTTCTTCATTACAAGCACTTAAATTCTCTTTGCCCTCCCTACACATTCATGCATTTCCTAATCATTCTAACAAAGTGGTTCTCATTGTATGAACTTTATTTTCCTGATGTACAGACTAAACAACCGCAAACTCTGCCTATGTACGTATCCACTATTGACAAACATCCTTGGAAACTAGCTGCTTGGAGTGTGCAAAGACAGATGTGTCTAATTAAAAATAGAAGCATAGATTTTAGATATTCTCCTTATGGAGTTAAAAAATTTCCTATACATTTACTTCTCCGAATTGTTAAGATTCTCTTTGTTCTCAGGCTTCCGAGGAAATGAACAAATGCTCCAGCTGTGTTCGGAGGTCCATCCACACTGGTCTTTGATGTGCAGGACCAATCTCCTGCACTGTCCCAGAGGAAGAGCAGTGCTGACCACCCCAGCCCACTGAGGAAGTCTTGCATTCCCACCTCAAGTCTAACCGCCTTGCCCCGCCATTCCCCTGGCGAAGGCAAATAAACAGAAATCCAGGCAGACTCTTCTAACTGCTGCCTTTTAATCCATCTGACAAAAATATGTTTCCGTTTGAATACATAATCATGAAAGCACGCAGGCTCTGGTCTATTCAGAGGGTTGGAGAGAGAGATACCAAGGCCCAGATGCAAGTTCCCTGGAGGAAACATGAGGCTTGAGTTAATGGCTCTATTTTCAGAGCCCTGAAGAACAATGCAACAGTGTGGAGCCTGTCCTGCTGCAGGAGTCCACAAGCAGCTGGACACAAAAACCTCTGCAGCTGAGCTGGATTTTTCCATCGAGCCGTGAAGCTGAGGACACAGAATGTATGAACCCTTCAGGAGAAGCCGAGGCTTCTCTCCCAACCTGAAAGCTCCTTCCAGTCCCGTGGAAAATAAGTGCTGCCTCCAGTTGCCATCCTTCTCCCAATCAGACTGGAAAAGGCACCCAGAAAGGTAACAAAAATTGCTAAAGGAGTCCTTGAAGAAAACAAATGATGTGAACAGACATCTGGAGAGGTGATCTGCAAGTGATTTACAGACACT